TTTGAGCCAGATGGAAAGAGACCAGCTAGAGTTCCATGTGGGTCTTTCAGGCTCAGGAGAAAATCTAAATGGAAGGTCTAGCAGGTTCCGTTGGTCTGTTCCATTTACTACTATGTGTCCTTAGCCCACCCAGGTTAAAGAAGATGCTGATTCCTACACCTCACAGGGAGGTCAGCCTACAAGGGCACGGCTTATGGCTTGAGACACACACTTACAGCTTGAGACTCTTCTATGGTGTTGGTCAAAATTAACCTATTTCATCCCTTTCTCAGCCAGAGTCCAAACCAACTGGGGCCACAGTGGCACAGCTGGAGTCCTACTCGCTGCTTTCTAAACCCACCATCTTTTTTCATGCACTTGACTTGTAAGTCCCAGAGAAGACAGAGATGAATAAAGCTTCGAGCCAGGAGTACATTAAGCAAAGATGACCTTCTCAAAAATGTGTCTAAAGTCAGTCCTGCTGGAAAAGACAGCAAAGTGGGTTTGGGATTTCCACAACAAGCGCATTGAGAACCTGCGAGGCTTCTGGCTTACAGAACAATTCCAATTAATGAACCACAAACTAAGAACTAAACAAAATCAAGCCTTGACTGGTGTGACTCAGTTGGAACATGATGCCGTACACCAAAAAGGTGGTGGCTCAACTCCTAGTCAGGGCACATACCCAGTTGCAGGATCAATCCCCAATCCGGGCACCTGTGAGAGGCAACTGACCATTATTTCTCTCACATCAGTGTATCTGTCTCTCATATCTCTCTCTCTCTCTCTCTCTCTCTCTCTCTCTCTCTCTCTCTCTCTCTCTCTCTCTCTCTCTCTCTCTCTCTCCCACACACACACACACACACACACACACACACACACACCCCTCTCATCAATAAAATAAAATTTAAAAGAATTAAATAAAGTCAGATATGAGCAAAATTCTAGGATATATATTTGATAGCTTTCTTTGTTCCCCTCATCTTATTGTTTTCACTCCTTACTATCAATTTAAAAAGGCAGTCCTCTGGTGTACACAACTGTCTCAGTCAGGTCACTTTCCCTAAAACAAGTCTTTTATGTAAATATTAGGGTCACCCAACAATGTACCTTAGGACCACATACTTTGGGATGATAGGTCCAACTTTTACAGAAAAGTGGTCTTAAAAAAATAAATATAAAAATACAGACTTGGGTTTCACCTAATTCTTTCAAAGGGGGATTGGGAAGGCTCATCAAAAACACATCAGTTCAGGTATTTCCTATAAATTTTACATCAATATCTAATCCCACTGATTAATATAAGGCAGTGAGCCTTCAAATTTAATTCTTACATAATATAGGGGCCAGTATATACATTTTCAAAGTCTGAGGTTTTTTCTTTCCTAAGTAACAGATAACAATATTTTTAAAGTGCATGAGTCAATTAAGAAAAAAATAACAATGGCCTCATTTCAGGTTGCTACCTACTTCTATTATAAAGCTATAGACTGTCTGAGGATTGAGGTTTAATGTCAGAATCCTGAGGATGTCTCATAGAGCAAGAGAGACTGCAGTAAAGTCCTTCCATAGCAGCTTCACAATTACCTTCCTCCAATGCTGGCATGCTGGAGAAGAAAACGTGAGAAATGACTGAGGGAAAGGGGCAATACAGTGTGAGTCTGGAAGGTGGAGAGCAGGGAACACTTTTATGAGGACTGCCTCCCAGGTAACTCACGTTGCATTAAACAAGTTTGCAAAGATCCAGGAACTCCCTGACATAGGAGAGTTGGTGTCTGTGTAGAGATCACAGGCTAACTGGACTCTTGTCAAAAGGAACAGAGTGATAGAATCATCTTTGTCTAAAAGTTAGCAGGTTATACTTTTAAAATCAATGTGGTGGGGTATACATAAGGGTGTTTTTTGCTGAAATTTTTTCATAGTAAAATGTTGGGGGGAATTAATCCTTTAAACATGTCTTCCTTTCTAGAAGCCCCATCTCTCAACAAAGTAGCAAAACCAAACAAACTGAAGAAATTTAAGGAGTTGGCCACTCTGTGTAAAGAATTCCAGTCTCGCCGAAACCAGTTTGGCTCAATGGATAGAGCGTTAGCCTTCGGACTGAAAGGTCCCGGGTTCGATTACGGTCAAGGGCACGTACCTTGGTTGAGGGCACATCCCCAGTGGGGGGGGTGCAAGAGGCAGATGGTCAATGTTTCTCTCTCATCGACATTTCTCTCTATCCCTCTCAATTTCGCTCTGTGTAAAATCAACAAAATATATGAAAAAAAAAGAATTCCAGTCTCTCTCCTATGAGGAAGTACTTTCTTTCGATTATTAATATTTATCTGTGCTCTGGAGGACAGGGTGAGGGTGAAAACAAATGATTTTCTTTTCATTGTTTGGTTCTGTAAATTTGGACAGGGTAAAACTAAGTCAATAACTACCTCTTGGGATTTGCTGGGCTATGAAATTCTCAGTAATTACCTTTGCTTCAGTAAGTAATATTTTGCCCCTACAGTACAGCAATTTTAGAAATTTAACATGAGAATAGTGAATGAATTTTAAAAATACCTTCTCTCAGCTATTTGGGCGAATGGAACAAAGAAACCCTGTCAGGGAAACACCAATGTAGAATGAAATATAACAACATTCAGGGCTTCAAAAGTGACCAGACAGTAAGAGGCACACAGAGGCAATGGGAACAAGTCCCTCAGACTTCCCTGATGCAACAGAACTAAGAGCCCAAAGAAAAATATGTACAGAGACTCTCACGGCAAAAATAAACAGTAAGTTTATCCAGGGAGCTTGCTACGCCTGGCAGCTCCATTTTAAGAGCAAGTCAGAAGTTAATAATAAACAGGAAAAATAAGCAAGGCTTTGGCTGATTGGAAAACAGCTCAGTAGAAAATTATTTTATAAAGACTATGTTAGCAAAGGCATGATTCAGCTTCAGTGATGAAAGAGTGGTCACTCAGCTATCCAATGGGATGATGCACAGCAAGTTGGCTTTTCGCTGCCCAAATAGACAGTCACTAAAATAATTTCTAATTTCTTACTAAGCATATCAATTTTGGCCAGTGTAATCCTCTACAAAATGCACTCATATGTAAAATAATGGCGGTATGAAGCTGCTCAGAGGACGGGGATGCTATGGCAGTCCACTAATCCCACCCTGCTTCGGACTTTGCTCCCAGAAGGTGCAGGCTGGACCGCTCCTTGTTCATGCAGCAGCCGATGCTACTACACACCTATGGTGAGGAGCCCTTGTCTTCCATGTCCTGCTCCAATAGGGAGGGGAGGCCTGGTGTGAAGCACCCACACCAGGAAGGAATGAGCTAGAGAAATCATCTTGAAGAAAGTGACTCCTCAGAGCAGAAAAAGACTTTGACATCTGGGAATCACAGGACATCTCTGATTGGCTAGTCAGGTCCTCCGTACTCAACCCGGGGCAAATGGGCAGGTTTCCTCACAACCTAGACTTCCTCAGAGGGAATGCTGGGGTAGGTCATACAGCTCAGAAGGAGGCAGATTCCCTCCAAAGCATCACAGGACTGGCTTGCAGGAATGGGCGCTTGTCACTTTCCTGCTCCTCCTAAAATCATCATCAGCTCCACAGAGGAGGCGGCCTCAATGGCTCAGAGCAGATGGCAGTCTTTTAAGAAACAGATGGAAACTGTTTCAAAGACAAAATGAAATGTGCTTAAAAAAAATAAATAAAGTAATAAATAAATCTAATTCTTCTTCAAAATTCTAAGGCAGTAACAGACTTGACACAAGGAATAAGAAGCAAGGAGGTACCGACAACCACACTGGTCCCTCCTCTGCCCCAGGCCCTGCCACCCTCCCGCTGTGGTGACCTCTGGCTGCAGCTGCCTGTGGCGCTCCTGAGCCTCAGGGTCATAGTGGAAGAGGCTGTCACCAGGGAAACCTTCACCAAGGTCTGACCTGGTGAAGAACACATTCGATCAGCAGCAACAGCGAAGCTCATTACCACCTTTCCAAAGAGACTCTGAACACCAAAAGCTTTAAGTCCTCAATGTAAGAAGACATCTAAACACAGAAACTTTGGAAGTCTGATTGGTTCCAAACCAAAGTTTCCAAATAGCATTCTTACTCCAAAGAAAGAAAAAAGTGGTGAGAATCTGGATGGTGTTATTTTTTTTAAACTTTCTAAGATAACACCCCTTCTTTGATTATACAAAAAACAAACAAACAAATAAACAAACATTAGTAACACTTGCCTTTCAAAGATGTGGGCTCTGGCATCAATCCAGTACCTAATTGGCACCCTTTGCCCTTCAACCACAGGTGCCTTTGGTAAGGGCCACTACCTCCTGAAACAGGAAGTGATGGAGGCACCTTTTCTTCCCAGAAAAGTTACAGTGACCATCCCTTTGGATTGCACAGAAGTTCTTACTGTGATGGTAAACACACAGGTGTAGGGAAGGGAAAAGAGGAGGCAAAGAGGCAGAGGCGAGCCCTCAGGACTAGTAATGCCCCTCACGGGCCTTGAGGGCTCCCAGCCTGTGCTAGCGACCATGAAGAACTGGCAGGAATATGGCAGTGGTGAGCGGCTGGACAGAGCCTTCTCCAGCCAGGGAACTGGGCTCCTTCATAGACAATGTGCTTTCCCTCTCTCAGCACTTGCAAAAAGAGAGTGGGTACCACCAAACACATCTGCAATCAAGGCTCTGAGAGAGGAGTGGAGCAGCAATTCTGTACCAAATAATATTTTTAGAAGGCAACACCCAACTTGCTTTTAGGCTTTTGCTTAGTGGGCACCTTCATAGAGGGATTCTGCTGGAGTCTGAAGCAAGAAGAGTGTGAGTCGTGGACCACAGAACAGGGGCACTACACCACCACCTGCAGAAGCCGAGGAGCGGGCAAAGCTACGTGGGGTCAACGGTCAGGCATGCCAAGCAGGGCATGAGGGTCAGGAGCCTCATGCTCAGCTTCGAGCTCTTGCCTGTCGGAAATAAGAGGCACCAGCTGGCAGCCTGTTCAGCCAGCAAACACCACCTGCCCGGTCCCCCGGGCCTTCAGCTAGTGTAGTAGACGTGGAAGTAGAGAGTCTTGTTGCGAAGCAGGGAGTAGGAGTTGTCAAACTTGAGCAGGTAGATGCCCTCCCCGGGGTAGTCGTGGCTGCCAGCCTGCACATCTCGGTGGCTGTCCCGCCGGTACACAGGCATGACCTCCCCATAGCGACCCCGCAGGGAGCTCCTGGAGCCTCTCTCCACATCGCCAGCTGGGACAGGATCTGCATGAACAAAACAGCAGAGTGTCTGGACATGAGTTCAGGGAACACACATAAGTCCTACCTGAAGGTAAGAGAATGGACCCGGTGGACTAGTGGTTTACACCCAGGTGGGGGGGATGCTCTTGCCCTCCTACAGGAATGTGAAAATATCTAGGTGACCCAAGGGTCCAGAAGTGCTAAACATGAGAATAGCACCTGCCTCACAAACAAGCATCCACCCCAAATGCCAATCACGCCTCCACTGAGAAGCGAGGATTTAGCCTTATGGAGCCTAGCTAGCTCCAGTAGTATCCAGACATTAACAAGGGAGAGCAGATATTTAGAAGGGATGATTCTCACATCCTTCACTCAATAAGGGAATGAACTAGCTAATGGAAGTATGAAATGCAGACAAACATGCTGCACAGAGTGACCTAGATCTTCCAGCTGGCCTCCTGAAGAGCAGCAAATAAGATATGAGGTTCTCCTCTTCCCTAAATAACTTAAGGTTTCCTACAGACTTGTTTGTTCACAAAGAAGCAAGTTAAGGAAATGATTTTCAGATGATACAGGAAAATCACAGAGTAAAACTAATGTTTAGATTTATATGATAGTCACCACCCCCCATAGTGCCCTAGGACCATTCTGAGGAGGTATTGCAAGTAACAACTAGGATGGAGCACAGAGACTAGTTTTAAAACTGCTCCAGGCATAAAATTAAAAAAGTAAAACAGTCAGCCAGCCAGCCATGATCATCTGTTAGGGGAGGGGGGGAATATGGGTACATTTAGCAAATTATAATCACTCAGTTTGGTTCCAGGCCAAGAATAAATACAAATATCATAAAACTAAGCGATAAATGAAAAAGTAATCTCAGGTTTATGTGTGATCTGAATAACACTGCCTCTATGCACAATAGCAATGACCCACCTGTTTCCCTGTCCCTGTCCCATCCCTGTCCCCAAGGAGATGTTGGGAAAACAGCAGGTACTGATTAAAAGGAAAAGATGCTTCCACTAGGGCATCTATCCAATCCCACCCAAAAGCTCTTTGAGGGTCTGACTTTGACCTGCATCACTCAACTTAGCAGGGGATGCTGAGAGGGATTCCTCGCCAGCATTCTGAGGAAGAGGAGGACTGGCCCAACACAGGAAGTGGTCACTAGATATTAGGCTGATCCTGGAAAGGAAACTGCCAACTAGGTTCAAGTTACATTTACCTTCAAGCCCCTCCTCGTCTTCCTCGTCTTCATCCTCATCCTCACTCGAATCGCTGACCTGCACGGTTATGTCAGTGCTGGTGACAGGGGTCCAGTCAAAATAAACTCCAAAGCCAATATCATAGTCATCGGTGGCAAACTCCCAGCAGACACGCTTCCCCTCTGGATGGGTAGGAACCCGGATGGTCACCACCTCACCCCGCTTCACCACCAGGCAGCTGTTCTTCTCCTTGCCCAGCTTGCTTTTGAATTCCTTCATCTTGGCAAAGGTCCAGATGCAGGGAGGAGCCATCAGCGGTGGGGAGACTGAAAGGACAGGCAGCTTACTACAGAGGAACCAAGAGGAAATGCTGCCACGCCTGGCATTTTGCGTATGGAGGTTGTCATAGTCAAAGGCATTCCTTCTACTGGCTTTTTTTTACTTCCTTTCACAAGTCACTTTCTCTTTCCTTCCATCTGTCTGTCTGCCTTTAAGTACCTGCTGGTACAGAGAAACCACCTCCCAAAGCTCTTACCTTTCCTGTGGTCCCCCAGAAGATCTGCAGATTCCAAGTCAGCTGAAAGAATATCTACAGCTCCCGTGTGCTCAGACTGGATCATAACAATGTCCCCAGACCTCTGTGGAGCTTGATACTTGGCCATCTGCATAACAATTCCGGTTAGAGGACATGTTAAGAGTGGCAGATTCCAATTACCTCCACTCTCCCAACTCTGAGCTTAAGGTGTTAGTCAACATTCCTTCTCTTTCTTCCAGTGAGCAGGGTCCCTCCAGCAGGTGGGGTCCCTTGGCCTGGCCTGTGGTGATCAGGCCAAAACCAGCTCTCTGGCATTCCCCAAGGGGTCCCAGATTGAGAGAGGGCGGTTCTCAGGCTCCCTCCTCTCTGGTTCCGGGGTGCATCACCCAAGAACTGCTGCTGCCAAGTCACCACAGCTCAGCAGCTCCTGTGTTGAGCACCTGCCCTCTGGTGATCAGTGCGCATCATAGCTACTGGTCCGACAGTCAGACGGTCAGATGGTCACTTAGCCTTTTATATATACAGATGTTAGTAATTATATAAATAACCCATTATTCTGTGGCAGAACAGCAGTGCTATCAATTCCATCTCTATAGAATCTTTCCCATAAATCCTGAGTAGATCCACCATAAGACAAGTGAGACTAAAATGCAGTGCAATGGTTTAGGCTCCTCACATTGAGGAGATAATAGACAACATGTAAACATTCATTCTAACACTTCATTTTTTAAAGAGGTGCCTACTGGTACACTGATGGGCCCTGTGGAAGCTACACATGATCAATCACCAAATAATTAAAAATGAGATGCCCAAAAAAAGCAGAGAGAATTCTGGGAGGCACCCTCACAGTGCTTTCTAATTCATATGTACCTAGATTCTGGTGCTGTAAACTCCTCCTTTTAAAGAGAGAGTGAGAATGTGCTTCCTACCTTGTTGAGGACCTCGCCCTGGTCTGCAGGCCTCAATTTCTGTTCCACCAAGGCCTGAGCCTCCAAGGCACTGGCTGCTTTCCGGAGATCTTCTGCGGCATCCTCGCTCAGTGGAGGTACCATCTGCGGCCTCTCAGAGGAAGACAACATGTCATTCAAGGGCTCTTTTAAAAGGCACACTAGGCCCGGAGAAATTCAGCAATAAAACACTCTTCAAAGGACACCCCCACACCCCTCGCTTTCCTCTGGCATTCAGGTCTCCTGTCAGTTTAGCTGACCACTGCCCAGGGCTGAACAAGGCCACAATAAAGTGGTGACAGTACATGAGGGCCCACAGATGAACAAAGCCACATCCCAGGCTCTAGGAACCATAGTGAATACATAGCTCAGGCATCAGAGATGGACTGCAGGTCTGGTTTTATTCCTCTCTCTGAGACCCCTGCCATTTGTTCCACACAGAATTTCAACCAGAGAGAGAATCAAAATAAACATAAAATCACAGGTTAAAAGCAAAGAAATGGATTGAACATCAAGACAAAGAAAGTGCAAACTGATTAGCGAGGCAATCCCTGTCCACAGTTATCCCAGGAGCAGGGTTTCAGCATTTCCATCGCACAGCCTACCTTATGCAACCCTGTCACAGATATCCATATTGCACCCAGCTCACGTGGTAATAAGAATAGGTAATCAATCATTTTCTTGTCTTTTTAATCTATTATCCTGATGGCATGAACTATGTCTAGTTGAATAGTTATTTTAAAGAAGCAAGAAAATAATTACGCTCGCTTCCATCTTCCCTGGCTTCCAGAGAGACTAGAAAGTGCGTGAAGCACCGGGGCTGCGGCACAGCATCCAGGTCTCTCAGGAATGATCCGTTTCCAACAAGCAAAGGCATGGATTCTTCAGAGCAGCAGTTATCAAAGTATCTTCCAGGACCTCTGGGTCCTTAAGACTCTTTCGTGGCAATCTGTAAAGTTAAAACTTCTTCATAAAAATTCTAAAATATGATTTGTCTTTTTTCATCTTCTTAAGAGTAGACAGCGGAGTTTCCCAGAGGCTACACGTGATATTGCCACAGAACGAATGCAGAAGCAGATCTGAGAATCCAACTGTCTTTTGTTATGGCAGACAATACAGAGACTTGCGGCATCTCTCTTCCCACTAAATTATTTATGCTTTGGAAAATAGTTGTTTTTCATTAAAAACATGTTATTTATATTAACATGTAATGAGTTTGTTATTGGTTTCTTTAAATGAATCAATAACAATGTTTTTAATTTTTCAGTTTTAATTTCTAATATAGTAAACATTGATAGATACAACCCACATAAGTAAAAATTCTTTGGAGCATAAAGGTTTGAGGACTGCTGCTTTTGGGCACCATTTCCTCTGAGAAAATGGCTGGGAAACAGTACTTTTAACCACATGGGAAAGAGAGGGCTTATTTTGGAGCTGGTCAGTTTCGTTTCTCTTTTTTTTCCTTCATTTTCTTTCTTCCTTTCAATGCAAACAAGAAAATCCACTCCTAGCTAATAAACTATCTCTTCTTTAGATAAAACAGAGCCATCTTTTGAAATATCCTAGTCACTCCAACCTACCTCAGAACAAACAAGAGGTAGTTACTATGAAAATTAGCTATGAGATACTGTTGATTCTTATGGGTTTGCTTGGGTAATCCTGTGTAAAATGTAAACTGATCTATGTTGTGAGTCTACTTTATCCTCTTAAACCCAGAAATTACGGTCCATTCCTTTTTCTTGACACTTAGGTGAGCTTGATAACAAGGATTGCTCTTACTCCCTCCGTTCGCACAGTGTCTGCACCCGAGCCTATCACATGGAACCCTAAGGCCCTTTGCACTCTGACCCTGTCTCTCCTAGACTGACCTGATCTCGCCTAGCTCCATCCACTCCAGTCACAAGGGCCTCCATATGTCTTGAGAATCCTCAAACAGTTCAAGCACTCTCCCACTGGAGGTTTTTTTTTCACCTGTCGTCACCTCTGCCTAGAATCAATCCCCTCCCCCTAGTTACCTTCTGGCTTCTTCCTTCAGGTTTCTGCTCAACCATGACTTTCAGGAGACCCCCCAAAATGGCTGAGTTCAAAATGGCTCTCCCCTCCCTGGCCCATCACTCTTTGCCCTCCCCTCCCCCGCCCTTCACTTTTTCTCGCTGCACTCATTTCTGCCTGACATATTATGTACCATATTTTGTTGATTGCAAGATGCATATTTGTTTTCAGATTTTAACACAACTGAAATATGGGCTGTCCTAAAAATTGGTGATGTCTTCAAACTGCCTGGGGCCTGGGCTGGCATGAGTCCTCCACAGAAGATGTGCATCTGCTCTGCCAGGGCGTGGGAGCCCGGGAGCACTACCAATGGAGTCGGAGTTGCCTTGAGGTTCTGTTGAAGGGTTTGCTTCGACCACACGAGCAGAGTGAATTTAGGAAACAAACTGGCGACTAAACGTGTGGCTCATATATTCGGGGGACATATTTTGCCCTGCCCTCATCAGTGCCAAGGCTGAGACTTTCACATTTCCCTGTTGCCCTTTGCTGTGTAGGGAATTTTCCTTCATTTATCTTTTCACGGAAGGTGCAGGCTTTTGTTGAGCCAGAGCTCCATGGGGGTGGGGGTGATGTCTCTTATTAGACCCACTATGGAGCATTTTTTCTTTCTTGCTGGTACATAAAGTAACAGTTCATCTTACAGTTGATGGCAACTAAGATCTCATGAAATAATTTCTTAATTCTATGGTATACTTGCTTTCTGTCTGCCTCCCTCACTAAAATATAAGCTCCATGAGACCAGGGACTTGGACTGCTTGTTCATTTCTGGCATCTTCAGTGCCTAGAACAATGCTAGGTACATGGCAGGCTCTCAATAACTATCTGTTGACTGAATAAACAGCAGCCACCCATTCATTATAAATGTTAATTTTTGTTTGGGAACAAAGGAGAAATATTTGGAATGTGAGGATACAACAGTTCATCTGACCATTAGCCTGCCCTTCTGGTATTTGACATCTAAAATTTAGTGTCTTTGCTTTTGTGCAACTTACTTTGCACGAATATAGTTCTGTTTATTTAAAAATACATATTTTACACAGGACATGCAACAGCCACATGAATTTAGTATTCACGTTAGCATTTTATGCTCTGAAGAATCAGTGAAGGGTATTTTGGGAAAGACGAATTGCAAATCACTTGATGCCAATGATAAACCATATAAAGAAAACACTCTCACTGTAGGCCTCTGGCTGTGCTGACCCAGAGCAGGCAGGCCATCCCAAAGGGAGGGGCCAGCCTCACTAGGAATGATAGAGCGCTCAGCCATTTCCGTTCCCAGTAAAACACAAACACTAAACTTCAGGCACTAAATATCCTGACTGCTGCATTTTGTTTTCTTCACACACTAGATTTTAGAAACAAAACTTTTAGATTATATTTTCTTCTTCACTCAAAAAAAATGTATTTATTCTCGCCGTGGCCGGTTTGGCTCAGTAGATAGAGCATCGGCCTGTGGACTGAAGGATCCAGGGTTTGATTCTGGTCAAGGGCGTGTACCTTGGTTGCGGGCACATCCCCAGTGGGGGGTGTGCAGGAGGCAGCTAATCAATGTTTCATTCTCATCGATGTTTCTAACTCTCTACTCCTCTCCCTTCCTCTCTGTAAAAATTCAATAAAAAATATATATTTTTTTTTAATGTATTTATTCTTAGGAGGAAAAATCAGTTCTGTGCCAAAACCCATCCCCCAAAGTTCCTTCAACTCAACAGAAAAAGGGTGGTGGCAGGAAGATGGAAAGTTCTCCTCAGGGGATTTGATGAGAACATAAATTATCTCAAATAATCAAAGCCTGAGGAGGCTGTATCTTCTAAAAGGAGTGTTATATACAGTAACAATCTAGTAGTTCTAAGCATAGAACTCAAAACCCTTCTATCTGTATTTAAGAGACTAAGATTTAGAATAAAACAAAATTAAAGCTAGGTAAATTGGAGCAAGTTAGTGAATTCACTGTTTGATTTTCCTCATCTGAAAATAAACAATAGGTATACTTATTTAATGAGAGTTGCTATGAGGATTAAATGAGATCACACATTTTAACACCTGGAATAGTACTGAGCAAATATAAATAGTCAATAAAAATGGCAATTTTATCATTATTACAGAAAAATATTCAGTGAAGTGTGGCTTATATTATTACCAGCAATTAAATTAATCATTATCTTTCATCATCTAAATTCTGGGGGGAAGAGTTTTATTTCATATACAAAGGTGAGAAGAAAGAACTTCTACTCAAGAAGTCAGATATTCTTGCCCAGCTGGTGTGGCTCAATTGGTTGAGCATCATCCTATTCTGCTTGACAACACTGTGCTATTCCCTGATCAGTTGGGACTATGATATCCACTAGCAAAGTGTTCTCCAAGATACAATTTTTCATTAATTATCCAACTGATGTTTCGTGTGTCCCCTCATTCTATTGCTCAGTACAACTTGCTGCTATATACTCTATCACTGATGGTGGAGGGATGAGATGGACAGAGAGGGAAATTAAGAATGATAACTTGAAGGTGATCATAATGGTTGAATCTGAAAATTACATAATAAAACACCCTCCAATAGTGTATGTGGCCAAAACCAGTTTGGCTCAGTGGAAAGAGCGTTGGTCTGTGGATTGAAAGGTCCCAGGTTCAATTCCAGTCAAGGATATGTACATTGGTTGCAGGCACATCCCCAGTGGGGGGTATGCAGGAGGCAGCTGGTCGATGTTTCTCTCTCATCGAAGTTTCTAGCTCTCTATCCCTCTTTCTTCCTCTCTGTAAAAAATCAATAAAATATATATTTTTTAAAATAGTGTATGTGTATGTGTATGTGTGTGCATGTTATAAATAAAAATCCAAACATATATTTTCTTGGAAGACCACCTAGAATCCATTTCAAATGTTTTCACATTTGAACATAGTCTTCAGGAGAACATAAATAAACAACTGTTCTTCACAGTTTTATTTTCTGAGAGTAAATGAACTGTTCTTCACAGTTTTATTTTCTGAGAGTAAATGAACATTTTATAACTTGCAATAGATCTGGCATTGCCCTAAATCCACTTAAGGGTTGATTAATTAATGACAAAACCATTCACTTGTCTTCCCCCTTGATGTCAATGCCCACTTCTTTCATCAATTCCTTATCGCAGAAGAGAAAATCTCTAGGAGCATTTTATCCTAAGCAGTTGCTGTCCCTACCTGTAGGATGAGGAATGGGGTTCTGGATCAGAGGCAGAAGCCACTGGAGAGATGACCTTGGTGTCTTCTAGATCTTCATTCTCTAGAAAATCATGGAAAGAAAAATTCAATTTCTAAGAGGGAACACAACCATAATTATCTTGTATCTTTTTAAAAATCTGGCCATTCAACAACCTTCCCTTTCCAAAAATATTCTGGGCATAAACTTTATACTCTGGGAGGCCCAGTACATAAATTACAATCATCATATCCAAGTATTTTCAGGTAGTCAAAGCCCATTTATTAAAAAAATAGTAAGTCTTTTTCTAAAATAGGTATCCACAGAATTAATTCTAATTCAAGAACCATTATATCTCAGAAAGCAAAAGGTTACAATTAGGGGGGGAATATAGTGCACAGTAAGATGTAGGATGAAAGGAACTGCAATTCAGTGCCAAAGTATACAATGCCACCTCTATATTCAGATCACTGTATCCAAGATCAGGTAAAAGATTTTTGTAATTTCATTCGTTTACTAACTCGCTCAGTCACCAATAACTTATTGAATACTGTCAGGCATCTACAAGGAATATAGTGAGGTGCATAATGAAGGCTATGGTCCCAAGCTAACAACAAACCTCTGGCTGTTATTATCATTGCCATTGTGCAGGTAAGGAAAATAAAGCATAGAGACAAGATTCAAAGCCAGGCAGCCATGCTCATAACCATTAGGTGCTACTTGGTTTTGTGTTTTATTCATTTAGCCTTTCCTTGAGCACTCAGATACTAAATAACCCTTGGTTTAACCTATTCTGGCTAAAACTGAAGCCTAAAGTTCACATCTCAATTCAAAATCCAACTTACTAAAGCAAACCTTAAACCCTGAAAGTTTCAGAGTTTGGGGAACAACATAAAAATGCAAATGCCAAGCAAATATTTGTGACCCAATTTTAATCTAGTCTCATTTTTTGTATGTAAATATGAGCTATTTTTCTTTTCACACTCTCATAGGAAGAAAAACCTTAGAGCTTATACTACACAATTTTCTTCTTGTAAGATAATAGAAAATATATATTAGTCTCTGCCCCTGGTTCCTGGCACAGAATTCCTAAAACCCTTATGATTTCCTAAATTATAAAAGCTGGGAACATCTTTTGTTCTAATATTTGGTCTTTAATCCCGGTTGCTGACACTGAGTTCCTAAATCCCTAGGCTGGGTGATCATAGTGTCTTTTGTTTTAATGAGATGACTCCTGGTAGGCTCCTGGATGGGGACCCATGCACCAAAGGGCCTCGGGTTGGATTCACAGTCAAGAGCATCTACCTCACTCAGTTGCAGGTTCATTCTTCCCCAGTCGGGAAACATGGGGGAGGCAACTAATTGATGTTCTCTCTCTCTCTCTCTCTCTCTCTCTCTCTCTCTCTCTCTCTCTCTCTCTCTCCTTTCCTCCCTTCACTTTCTCTAAAAATCAATGGAAAGAAGTCTCCTCAGACTAACAACAAAAAAAGAACAGTATCCTCTATTACTTAAACTTAGGAGCTTTTTGTATTGCCTTTTACATGCACTGGGCCTTTAATATATTATAATCTTCTGTAGAAAGACTTTGAATACAACTTGTGAGATTTATTCCTCATATTTTTACTCTGTGGTAAATAACATTTTATTTACTTTGTTGCTGGTATATATAAATGCAATGGAATTTTGCAAACTGGCTCTGTAGCTAGCAATCTGGCCAAACATTAATTCTAGTAACTTATCTGTAGGTTCTTTTAGATTCTTCATGTTTATCGTCACCATCTGCAAACAACAACTTTAACAGGATTTCTTTCGAATCCTCATATATTTTATTTTTCTTGTCTGACTGTGTTAGCTAGAATATCCAGCAAAATAATAAATAGTTAAGTGGTGAGAGTGGTTACCCTGTCTTATACCCAATCTTAAGAAGAAAACTTTCAAACTTCACCATTAAGTTTTATGTTGCTTGTAGGCTATTTGTAGATACGCTTAATCCAGTAATGAAGTTTCCTTTTATTCCTAGTTTGATAAAGTTTTGAATCATAAAAAGAGGTTGAATTTTATCACACACTTTTTTCTGCATCTAGTGCAGTGGTCGGCAAACTCATTAGTCAACAGAGCCCAATATCAACCGTATGACGACTGAAATTTCTTTTGAGATCAAATTTTTTAAACTTAAACTTCTTCGAATGCCACTTCAAAATAGACTCACCCAGGCCATAGTATTTTGTGGAAGAGCCACGCTCAAGGGGCCAAATAGCCACATGTGGCTCGTGAGCCGCAGTTTGCCGACCATGGATCTAGTGTATGAAAATGGTGATTTACAGACTTTAAAAAATGTTAAAATAACTTTTCATTCCTGGAAAAACCCACTGGGACCTATATAATGCTGGATTCAAAGTTAATATTTTATTCATCACTTTTTGCATCTATGTTAATGAATGATATTAAACTGCAATTTTCCTCTCATCTAGGATCATTTTGATGCTGCCTCAGTTAGTTATTCCTCTGGTGCAGGTATGAAGATGATAAAGCCTGTACTTGATAGTCTGAAAATATCTTCATTTCATCTTCATTTTTTTTTTAAATGTTTTTATTGCTTTCAGAGAGGGAGAGATAGAAATATCAATGATGAGAGAGAATATTGATCAGCTGCCTCCTGCACACTCCATACTGGGGATCGAACCCACAATCTGGATGCATGCGCTGGCTTGGAATCGAACTGTGACTTCCTAGTTCATAGGTCTACACTCAACCACCGAGCCATGCCAGCCAGGCTCATCTTCATTCTTGAAGACTTTTTTCTAGGGGGAAAAAAGTTCTATATCAATAGTTTTTCTTTCAGTATTTTAAAGTTAATCTAGCTCTCACTGCTCTGTACAGAAATCAGTTTTCAGCCTAATCACTATTCCTTTAAAGGTAAACTGAAATTTTCTTTGACTAGTTTTAATATGTTCTCTTTGCTTTGGTTTTATAGCAGTTTTACTTAAGGAATACCTACTGTAGATTTCATTGTACTGATACCACTTGAGGTACATAGAGCTTCTTGAATCTATAGATTGCATTAGTTTGGGAAAATTCACAGCTATTCTCACCAAACATTGCTTCTATCCATTCTTGCTCTGAGTCCTCACCTTCTAGGATTCCAATTATACAAATATTAGACCTTCTCATAGCCTTTATGACTCTTAACTCTGTCCTAAATTTTCTATTATTTCATTTTTATATGTTTCCTTCTGGATATGCTGCGCTGACCTTTCTCAAACTTTTCTCTCTTTGAACATCTATAATAATAAAAAGCGTAATATGTTAATTAGAGCAGACTTCCTTCTGGACTAAGGTGGGCTGCAAGGGAAGCCCAGGTCCTGGGTACTAAAGGGAAGCCAGTGCCAGCAGGTGGGGGAAGGAAGGCCTACTCTTGCATAAATTTCGTGCATCAGGCCTCTAATAATAAATATAATTTTTTAAGTCTGTATGTGGTAACTCCAAAATCTGATGCCTGTATTAATCCACTTTTACTGTCTGTTGTTCACATATCTCTACTCACGCACCTAGTCATTTCAATATGTGGCAGAAATTGCCCTTGCAAAACTATTTATAGAAATAATTTGAAGCCTACAGCGATCTTTCAGAGATTTGCCTTGCTTCTTCCGTGTACTCAGGAGCACAAGTATCCTGGAGTCACCTTAGTCCAATTACTTGAACTGAGATGTATCTGAGCAACTCTGAGCCAAGCCAAATGCATAATTTCCACACTGCTTTGCAAACCCAGCTTAACTCTAACTCAAGATTTCTCAATAGTATCACTACTGATGTTTGGAGCCAGATAACTGCTTTGGGGCGATCCCGTGCATCAGAAAATGTTTGCCAGCATCTCTGGCCTCTACCCCACTAGAACTGAGCAACAGCCCTCCTCCTCCCGCCAGCCTAGAGTTGTGACAACTAAAAAGTCCCCTGGAGGAGGCAAAATCACTCCTGACGGAGAGCCACTGCTTTCACCCAACGAACGTCCTTGGATTATCTTAACCCTAATTCCTCCTAATCACTTGATGCTCCTCCAAATCTGTGTTGAGACTTTGTCTCACAATCCAGCAAATACTTACAGAACCTCTGGGACACAACACTAAGGGATCTAGGAGATACACAAGATAGAGTCTGTCTCTCAGACAGGTTTCTTGGGGGGTGGAAAAGCGGGGTAAGTACATCAAGAGCTTATAATAATAATACATCCACTTATATGTTTTGAATTTTTTGCTTTTTGTTCCTGTAGGTATTCTCCTCTTACCAAACTAAAACCACCTTGAGAGCAAACACCATACCTGCCCTGGAGTACTACTACTTGATTTTTGGCCAACAAAAATTAAAATAAGCTATGGTAAACTTCATCATAACAAGGTGGCAATTTCATATGACCAGTAAAAACTACACAGGTAACTTGGGCAATAAATTCATCTCTCAGGAGAAAATGATTGCTGACAGGAAGCCAGATAATAAAAGTAAGTCTCTTTTCCACTTCTGGCACAAAGCAAGCAATATAAGGTATCATTACTATTATTTTATTAGCTATTTTATTAGCAATAAATCATACCCCAAGGGGAAAATACTGCTCTAGGATACATTACCAAGTCCCTACATGAAATAAAAAGAAATCAACATTCACCCTGCTTTTTGAGGCAAGAGGGAGAAAGTAACCCTAAGTATTTCTGTCAGTGTCCTGGGAGGAAAAAGTGAATGCAGGAACCAATTAAGAGGAAGGGGGGGTGGGGGGGGGGCGTTCAAAAACAAACCCATAATCCTTCAATATATCTTGAACAATTCTTTTTTCTTTTTTTAAAGACAGAGAGGAAAGGAAACCGGGGGGGGGGGGGGGGGGGGGGGGGGAGTTGAGAGAGAGAGAGAGAGAGAGAATTAGTTGCTTCTTGTATGTGCCCTGATTGGAGATCGAACCTTGGTGAATAAGGACACACTACCAACTGAGCTACCTGGCCAGGACCCTGAACTATTCTTAAGACCTTTCATTTAATTAGTTTAACCCTCACCTGCTTGGAGAGAGGGAGAGAGAACATCAAAACCGATCAGTTGCCCTTCACACATGCACCGACCAGGGATCCAACCACAACCCAAGTATGTGCCCTGACCAGGAACTGAACCCTTCGGTGCACAGGACAATGCTCAACCAACTGAGCCACTCTGGCAGCCAGCACCTTTCTATTTTAAATGCTTGGGTATGTTTTCCATAACCACACAAGGATGTAAAGGGGAAGTAAAAAAACACAAATAAATCCTTATTTTATAAATGTTGACACATGCAAGGGACAGATATTTTTGAGACTTTCTGGGTGTTTCTTTGCTTAATCTTTTAGAAATGGTGCTTCCCATTTCTGTTGCTATCAAGTTACACACATGCCATCAGCTGTGAATTTACTACAAGGCAAGGCATGGGAAGGAAACACGAAACAAAAACTGTTACATGTTTAAAAACAAGAGAACAGAACATAAAGTCAAGGGGGAGAGGTAGGTGACTCAAAGATAGGTGTGTGTTTGACCAAAGCAGCTTTAGGAGATGGGAGATGTTGGAGGTAGAAGTGAAAAACAGGAAAAGCCACCTTCCTGGGGCACAGGCAGACAGGTACACTTCTGACAGCCCACGGCGTTGACATGAGCAAAAACAGATCTTATCCTCATCATAACGGACAACACAACTGCTGTGCCCTGGGCTAGGCAGCAAGTGCCTCCTGCATAGTAAGTAGCTCCTGAAACTCAGCCATCTTACGAGGCAGGTACCCACCGTTTGCAGAGGAGGAAACGGAGACTTAGAAAACTGACCTACTCAAAGTCACTCGTTAGCAACCTGAAAAGTCAGATTCCAGCCCAGGCAAAGTGGCACCCCCTGTACCGCTATACGAAGGTGTCTGTTTTCATTTCAGACCTGGAAAGCTCATGTCTACTTGCTACTGAGGGAGACCAGTTCTCTCTCCCTATCCTTCTGTAATTTCAAAAGAACATCCATTTCGCTGTGAGCTGTGTGGCGATCATACAGGCCGGTCAGGTAAAAACATGTGATAAATGGACCGGTTTGCCTTTGGACTCCCAGGAATGCACACGGAGGAACTTGCGTGGTGGGTAGCAATAGAGACAGGCCCCCCCCGAACAAGATGAAGAAGGTCCTGGAGAATGAGGGAGGTCCCCAAAGCTCCAATTTCAGCGCCTATTTCCTGGTCACGTTCATTCCAAAGACCCCCGGCGCCCACCCCCTACCCGAGCTAACGGATAACCGATTCCAATTCTCCTCCCAACTTTCCCACTAGAGACGGAGGGTGGAGGTAAGGCGGGGAGGGGGAGAGGGGGAGACCCTCGGGGCCAAGTGCGATTCTGCACGGAAAGCGAGGCTGCCCACCGGGTGCGGGCAGAGAGGCGCGGGGAAAGGTGGGTCCAGGGCAGCGGTGGGGCCGGGTGGGGAGCCAGGGCCGGGGGCAGCGAGGCCAGAGGGGCTGGGGTCGGCGGCCAAGGCGTGCCGGGCGGGTGTGCAGAAGCTGGAGAGGTGCCGGGCGGAGCAGTCCTGTCAGTACCACCCAGGAAGCGGGGCAGGAGCCGACACATTTTCAAAACAGGAGAAAATACCGTCGAGCGCAGACCACCGCCCGGGGAGAGGGTGGCGGGGCCAGTGGTCGCGGCCCCCCCAAAAAGCGTGGCCCCACCAGAAGCGAAGGCTGGGGCTCCGCGCGCGAAGGGGCTGTGAGCCCAGGCGGGGCTGAGCAGAGCGCGGCCGAGCCCGGAGCCGAGGTGCGGGCCCTGCGGCCGGGGCGGCGCCCACCCGCCGGCAACCGGGCCTTGCGTACCTGAGGCGGCCGCTGGGCTCCCCTCCTCTCCCGGGACGTCCCCGAAGCCGCCCGCCGCCGGCTCTCGACCCGCTGCGGCGCCCCATAAGCCCGGCCCCTGAGCCGCCTGCGAAACCGACATCTGCAGCCGCGCCGCCAGCGCCTCCGCCGCCCTCCCGCCCCGAGTGGCTCCGGAAAGAGCCGAAGGCGGAGCGCCCGCGGTCGGGACGAGCCGGAAACAGCCGAAGGCGGAGCACCCGCGGTCGCGATGCGCCGGAAAAGGCCGAACGGAGCCCGAGGCCGGAAGAGGCAGCTCGCCCGCCCCGAGCGGTCGTGGGAGCTCTGGCTGGAGGGGCGGGCTGGCAACGCGGACGCGGGGAGGATTGCTGCGTGCTTTTGGCAAGTTTTTTGTTTTGTTTTGTTTTTTGTTTTGTTTTGTTTTGTTTTTTTAAGTCCAGGGCTGTGAGGACAAACAAAACCTGGAGAAGATTCAGGAAGACCCGGCCGGAAATCGTAGTATCCATAGAGACGTTATCGGAAGTCGGGGTTGCTAGGAGGCCAGGGCGCGTTGGCTAATCTGCGCCATGGCTCAAGTCCCAGAAGATTATGATTCTGGGCCCGGTGAAGATGAAGACCTGGAGACTGAGATACCACCAAAACCTAAGCCTTCTAAAACGGATGAAGATGCCGAACCAGACATCCCGGCAGAGATACACCCAAAGCCACTTGGAGAGATTCACCAAGAGCCGCAGCCAGAGGCGGAGGAAGAGAATTTGAAAGACCAGACGCCAGAAAGTGCTGAGGATGTACACCCACAACGAAAACCAGCCAGGATAGGGGAGGAAGAGATTCGCAAGGAGTCAGAGATAGATCTTTCAAAGGAGACTGAGGTAGGGATTTCCCAAGAGGTAATATTGGAGACATCCAGAGAGATGAGAAGAGAGTTTGTCAAGGATTTGGAGGTCCCTATGGATGAAAAACAGGAGGAGCCAGACCTAAAGCCACCAGAGGAGACCAAACCAGAAGTTACAGAAGGTGTATTCATAGAGCCAGCTCAAGAAACAAATCTAGAGCTCCCAAAGAAAACCGAGTCTGAGGTTCCAAGAGCCACAATCAATGAGACAAGATTAGATTTACTAGAGGAGACCAAAGTAGGAGTTCCAGAGGAATTGCTTAAGGAGCAAAATGAAGAACCTTCAGAACAGATCAAACCTGAATTTCCAAGTAAGAAATCAAGAAAAGTAATTGAAGATAGAGATCTACGATCACCAGAGATGACCGCTCCAGAATTTCCAGAAGAGACACAAAGAAAGTTATCTGAGGAGAAAAGCACAGAGCCATCTGAGCTGACCAAACTGGAGTTTACAGGAGAGAAAACAACAGTGTCTACTGAGGAGGCAGGTCTAGAGCCTCCAGGAGAGGCCAAACCAGAGGTTCCAGAGGAGATACGAAGAAAGTCGACAGAGGAGAAAGAGATAGAGCCATCTGAGCCAACTACACTAGAGTTTCCAAGGGAGAAACCAAGAAAGCCTGGTGAGGAGGCAGGTCTAGAACTTCCACAAGAGACTAAGACAGAGGTTGTAGAGGATATAGGAAGAAAACCACCCGAGGAAAAAGGGACAGAGCAGACTAAACCAGAGTTTCCAGGTGAGAAACCAATTGAGTCTACTGAGGAGACACAAAGAAAGTTAACTGAGTGGGAAGTTCCAGAGCCACCAGAAGAGATAAAATCAGAGTTTCCTGAGGAAAAATCAAGAACACTAATTGAGAAAACAGGTCTAGAGTCAACAGAAAAGACCAAACCAGAAATTCAAGAGAGGACAAGAAGGAAGTCAACTACGGAGAAAGTTCTAGAATCACCAGAAGATACTGAACCAACAGTTCTAAAAAATAAGCAAAGAAAATTAATTGAGACAGGACTAGCACCACCTAGGAAGTCCAAATCAGATGATATACTGAGAGAGTCAACTGAAAAGGAAGGTCTAGAGCCTCCAGTACAGTCTTCATCATGGATTCTAAAGGAAGAACCAGAGACCCAAAGTAAATCAAGTCCTCACTTGTCACTAAAAATGAGCAAATCAGAGATTCAAAAGAAGACACAAAAAGAGCCAACTAAGGATAAAGATGTAGAGTTACCAGATAAAGCCAAACCACTATATGGACGAGAGACACGTGAAAAATTAAACAAGGAAGATAGGCCAGAACAAATCAAATTTAAGCATTTTGCAGATGAAGACAAGCTGTTGGATCCCCACTATAAAATAAAGTCATTAGTAAAAGGAACTAAAAGAATTACTAAACAGCTAGGCTCTTTCATAGTAACAGAAGTAGAGACAATAAATATAGATGATGATTTTTCAAAAGAACACCCAGTACAGTATGAGCATACTGATACCAGTAAGGACTTAGATGAGTCCGAGTTTCTGAGGGATTTAAGAGAGTCATGGAGTGAAAAAGCTGTAGATTTGCCCCCAGAGTTGGAGGATGATTTGCCCCCAGAGTTGGCCGAGCAAAATGAAAGGCCTGAGCTACAATTTGAACATCTTAACTGGAGCCCAGAAAAAGTTGCAGAGTGGATTAGCGAGTTAGGCTTCCCTCAATACAAGGTATACAAAAATAACATTTTTCGAAATCATATTCTCATCTGTCTATCTCTTATTCCTCTATTTTACCCGAGCTCTTGCCTCTGCCTTACTAGAAGGATTATAGAAATGTCCTGGACCAAGGTAGTGGTAACTTGGATTTTAATTTGGGTCTTCCCAATGATGTATATTTTGGGACAGAAAGTGAGAGTCACATTTTTATGTGTTTTTTATTTATCACAGTTTATTTCTCTGCAATCCTTGAATAAAGACTAAGAAATTTATATAGGCCTCTTTTCATAGGAAATTGTATTTTTTAATAGACTTTATTCAAGGTAGACTTTTTTGGTTCTTTGTGAAGTTATTTTAGCTCCCTAACTTGAACTTGTATTATTAATCTTAAGTATTCCTAACATTTTATATCATGAGCACCTAGCAGTACTACTTTAAATAGCCAGTTAATCAAAATTAGTTTTATTTAAAAGATAGAATGAGTCCTCATTTCATTGATGCCAACTATGTTCTTGGGCTACCACAAAACAAGATGTGGAATCTTATGTAACCCTGTAACTTAATGTAATTGAGGCATGAAAGGTTGTATCGTGCCAAAAATAAATAAATAAATAAGGGGCAATATGAAATTTTGTCAAAAATTTAGATGAAAAATGTGTGATTATTAGAATTACTACTAAATTTACACTTAAAATTTTCTCAGTACATAAAGGGAGACAAACATGATTTATTCCCTCCCTTCCTTACCTTCTTCTCTCCTTTTTTCCTCCCTTTCTACCTTCCTACTCTTCCTTTCTCCCTTCTCCATTTCTCTCTCCTTTTACCATCCCCCCTCTTTCCCTCCCTCTTACCCTCTCTTTCTTCATCCCTTCCTTCATTCTTTCCATTTGTTGTACATCTTTTGAGTGATGTTTTCATTGTACTGACAGGAGTGTTTTACCACAAACTTCATCAGTGGCCGAAAACTCATCCATGTAAACTGCTCAAACCTCCCTCAGATAGGGATAACAGATTTTGAAGACATGAAGGTGAGTTGTATATCAAGTTTCCCCATAGAGCACTGTTAACAATGCTACTATTTTCCAACCAACCTCCTTTTCTCCTTCCCCTGGCCTCCTATTTCTGTGAGTAGTAGTATTATACTCCCAGTCCCCAGGCTCACAGTGTTTCTTCTTCTCTCTCCTTGGATCACCACAAAGATCCCATGATCTGTCAGTTCCTCCTATAGCATCTGTTTTTCTCCATTCCCATTTGTTAAGACCTTTATTTCCTTATAACTAAAATGTTCCTGCTTTCAGCCTCTGTCTGAAGGCCCTTTGGATTCAAAGGCACTACTTTTAACTCTCACCTTCCAACCATTTATATTCTACTCAGAAACCTTCTTTGGATCCCCTCTGCCTACAATATAGACTCAACTCCTTAGTTTAGGATTTGAGGTTCTCCACAAGTTTTCTCCAACCACCATTCTCTTCCTACCATTCTTCCACATGAATCTTCTGCTCCAGCCTCACAGGTCTAACTCACACCTTCCCAAACCTGGCTTTTGCATTCCTCCTCTGCAGCTTTCCCAGTTCCCCTTTCCCTTGTTAGACTAATAAGAATCTTAATCATCCTTAAGACCCAGCTCAATTTTCATTTTCCCAAGAAGTCTTTCCTAACCTTTCCAGGTCATAGTAACCTCTCCTCTCAAGCTACACATTTTATGTCTCTGACATCCATTTGGCACTTCCATAACACCATATGTGTTTTGCTGCTTTGCTACCTAACTTGAAAAACAACTTACATTCACCTCTCTGGTGAATTTCCCAAGATCTTTCTAGCACCAGGCTATGATCATGCTTCTTTGCATAACAGTACCCTTTATTTAAAGTGCTTGATAGTTTACAAAGCCTCACACACATAATATCATTTATGTCCTTTCCTGTAATATTCCCCAACATACACATGGTTTCATTCAGTAAATATTGCCTGTAAATGGTTCTGTCTTGGTAATTCTCAAACTCAGATAATCTTAGAAATCAGGTGAGATTAAAAAAAAAAAAAAAAAAAAAAAAAAAAAAAAAAAAAAAGATTCCTAGGCTCCACACTCCAGAGATTTTCTTTCTTTTTCTTTTTTTTTTAAGATACAGTTGGTAATTTTATTTTAATATATTTTATTGATTTTTACAGAGAGGAAGAGAGAAAGATAGAGAGTTAGAAACATCAATGAGAGAGAGAGACATCGATCAGCTGCCTCTTGCACATCCCCCACTGGGGATGTGCCCGCAACCAAGGTACATGCCCTTGACCGGAATCAAACCCGGGACCTTTCAATCTGCAGGCCGACGCTCTATCCACTTAGCCAAACCGGTTTCGGCAAGATTTTGATTCTTTACATCTAAGGTAAACCCTGGAATCTGTTCCCTATGTGACTTTTGATCAGGCCTTAGAACCATATAATTCCATCAGTCACATGATTTAGAAAATAAGAAAATTATACTTAATACCTAACCCATTTTTCAACAAGATATAAAGAAATCCTTTAAATTATTAAACACATAATTCTAACTGAACATTTAATCTCTTGAATTCTATTGATACTATCCTCTCTAAGTGCTTACTGTGTGTTGGGCACCATATATATATAGTATTATATCACTTATTTCCATTTTATATAAGAGAAAACTTAGGCCCAGAAGAGTAAAGCAACTTGCACAAGATAGTAAATTTAAGAGCCAGGATTCAAATCTATTTTGTGTGACTTCCCAATCCATACTCTTCTTAAACTGCAATCTAAATGAGAAATTTTATAACCTGAATCTCATGTCCATAATGTAGAAAAGGACCACTTATGACAAATTGGTATTTCCTACCATGCCCTCACATAGCTACCAAGAGCTACCAGATACATCTTATTATTTTTTATGTTTAAAGATGTGACTGTGTTTATGATCTCTAATTCCTACTTATGTTTATAGTATACTAAATTTTATAAATAAAAGTAAAGAACAAAATTATCAAAATAGTAACTTGTAATCCAAATTCCTGAAACATTAAGTACCAAAAATTTTGCTTTTTATCATGAAACTAAAGGCCTGGTGCATGGATTCTTGCACTGCTGGGGTCCCTCAACCTGGCCTGTGCCCTCTCGTAATCCAGGACCCCTTGACTGCCAGTTTTGGCCCGATCCCCATAGGCTGAAACCAGCAGTCTGACATCCCCAAGGGATGTAGTAGTGTGCAAAACGACAGGCAGCCAGGGAGGAGCCCAAGACCCGAGGGTACCATGCCACCCCCACTCATCCTGTCCCCACTGTGCCTGCTGCCACTACAGCTCAGTAGCGCTGCCACTCAAGCAGCTGCAGTGATGCTTGCCAGCCATGAGCCCAGCATCTGGCACCTATTGATCAGCTGAGCTGTGCTCCCACTGTAGGAGTGCACTGACCACCAGGGGGCAGCTCCTGCATTGAGTGTCTGCCCCCTGGTGGTCAGTGCACATCATAGCAACAGGTCAAACAGTCATACGGTCTTCACTTGTTCAGTTGACTGGTCACTTAGGGTTTTCTATATATAGAAAGTTTATTTAAGAGTCTGCTGATTCATTTTGCCTCCTTGACATTCTGATTCCAAAAGCACAATATCAACATGCAATGTTGAAAATTCCAATTGTGTTTTTTCTGGTCTTATAAGAAATAAGAGGTCTTTAAAATCTTCTGAAATCCTTGAGTAAGTGATGAATCCAGTCGTCTATTCTTAATATCCCAAGAAGTTTAAATTAAGCAAACTTCAGAATATTCATTATTAAAGTCACCAGACAAATGTGGCTGCTCCTTGACGTCACCAGAGTAACATGAAGATCAAGACATTCAAAGATATGTTAGATAAGCATTGCTTGACACTTAGGTCCACATAGAAAAGTTAATTATACACTCTGACACAGGCAACTTTTTAGAGATCATCCCTGAACTTAGTTATGCCATAGTTCCCTTCCTTATAGATATTCTTAGCATATTTTATCCCACTGTTGTAATTATAGTACCAAGTACATCCACAATGCCCAAGCAATGAAGTTTTCTTTTTCATGCTCTCTCTCCCACTCATGGGCTTTGGGAGAGGTGGGGGAGTGAGGGAAGAGCAGGTTGCTTGAGAGTACAGAATGCTGAACATGCTGCTAAGAAATGGAACCACATTTGAGCTATGTGCCACATTCACAAGCCTTACAGTTCATTTATAGCCAGTTTCTAATCTCTTCAACTTTCTTAATTTTGCAATTACTCATGCTTCACCTGCAGAAATAACTCACCTTTCCCTTTGCCCTTCCTACAACACACTTGGATGGCAGAGAAAAGGTAAATGTGTAGAGAAGACTTTACTAACTACAGACTTTATTAAGATTTCTGCAATTTTCCCACTGATGTCCTTTTGTTGTTGTCCCACAATCCAATCAGGAATACCACCTTGCATTTAGTTGTCATGCGTCCTTGGTCTTCTCCAATGAGTGAGGGCTTCTTGATCGATCTTTGCCTTACATGATCTTGACACTTTAAAGAATAGTTGTCAGGCATTTTAGTTTGTCCCATGTTTCCCATGCTTTGGGGGGAAGACTATGACAAATCAATAAATATCACAGAAGAGCCCTTCTCATCTCATAAGTTCAGGCAGTACATGACATCAACACAACTCATCATTGGAAATGTTTATCTTGATCACTGGGTTCAGGTGGTATCTGCCAGGTTTCTTCACTGTAAAGTTACTGTGTTTCCCTCTCATATTCTGTTCATTAGAAGTGAGTTACTGAATCCAGCCCACACTCAAAGAGAAGGGAACTAAGCTCCACTTCCTGAAGGGAAGAGTATCAAAGAGTTTATGGACATAGAGTAAAACTACCACTGTAATAAATATATTGGAGGAGACAGTTTGAGGTTGTGGCAATATCCTGTTTCTCCTTCAAGTTGTACTTAGCATTCATCAATGGCTCTTGCCTGCAGCAGTTATTACTATGTTGTTCTAATGATTATTTTCTATTTCCCTCATTCCTTCCATGTTTTCTAAAAATATATTTTTATTGATTTCAGAGAGAAAGGGAGAGGGAGAAAGATATAAACATCAGTGATCAGAATCATTGATCAGCTGCCTCCTGCACGCCCTCTACTGGGTAGCAAGCCAGCAACCTCAACCACAATCCAATCGGGGACCCTTCAGTCCACAGGCCAACACATTATCCAGAGCCAAACCAGCTAGAGCCCTTCTATGTTTAATTGGAATTCTTCTTAGGGAACTCTTCTGTAAGTCCTGCTCAGGTAGCTCAGCTGGTTAGAGCATTGTCCTGAAACGCCAAGGTTGTGGTTTTGTTCCTGGTCAGGGCACATACAAGAAGCAATCCATGAATGCATAAACAAGTGGGATAACAAATCAATGTTCCTCTCTCCCTCCCTCTCTCTTTCTCTTTCTCTCTCTCATCTCTTTCTCTCTTTCCCCTCCTCTCTCTCTCTCTCTCTCCAATAAGTAAAAATTTAAATAAAGAAAGAACTCTCTCCAATGCTTAATTGTCCCTTCTCTCCCTTTTTGGGACTCTTTCACATTGGCTTCTGTGTCCTTTTGCATGCTCCCCTATTTTTACTTGCATTTTTTGGTACTTTTTGGCACTATGAGTTCATACTGATTAATATTTCTGACTCTAGTCCGGGACCACAAAGTTTATTCCAGCCTTCCAGCCTTCTTATTCCCTATTTCCCTTTGATTTTTATAACTTCTTTCTCTGACAGTGAAAAGCTGGCTCCTCTTATCTGTAAATATGTATCCCTATGAGAAACATATTTATCAGATAGAGTACAGGGTTGTGTGCAGTGATTTTGTTCTTAGCTTTACACTACATAGACAAAGCAATGTTTTTCAGAGTCATCTTCTTTCTTTCCTACCTCCTTAAATGACATTTTGTCTTACTTTGTAATACAGTTAGATTCATATATGCCATCAGGGTTACCACAACATCCTGGCTTCTTAAAAACTTGCAAGCCCTAGCCAGTTTGGCTCAGGGAATAAAGTGTCAGCCTGTGGACTGAAGGGTCCTGGGTTTGATATGGGCCCTGGATTGCAGGCTTGATCCCCAGGAGAGAGCATGCAGGAGGCAGTGGATCCATGGTTCTCTCTCTCTCCCTCCACCCCCCCTCCATTCCTTTCTGTGTAAAATCAATAAAAATATGCTTTAAAAAAAAACTTGCATAAAGTCACTTTTCATGGTATACAGTTTGACAAATACACAGGATCATGTATCCAGAACAATTCTATCTCCCTAATATTTTCCATTTACCCTCTGAGGTCAGCCCAGCCCTCCTATCCCTGGCAACCACTAATCTGGTTTTTGTCCCTTTAGTTTTGAATTTTCGAGGATGTCGCATAAATGGAATCAAATAGTATGTAGCCTTTGACTTAAGTGTCTTTCCTTTAGCAAAATGTATTTAATTGATCCACATTGTTATATGTATCAACAAGCTGATTTTAAGGAAACTATACACCTTTTTTAATAATGGTGCTATAGATGATTCATGTTTGAATCACAACAATTATGTCTTTAGGTTTAATTATTTGCTCAGATGGTTGGTGAGATTGCTCAAAAGAAAATAAATGAACCCATCGGTGGCCATTGGATGCAAGGGTCTAGAAACACCTTTAAATAGGACTTTTAAAAGGAGAAATCATATGTGTCTCAAGATCTTTGTGTTGATAAGGCCAGGCTAGTAAGCCTTTTCATTACTTAATTTTCCCGTAGAAATAGCTTAGGAGGTTAGCATTCAAAAGGCCTATGATTATAAGTAGAACTGTTTTGATTTAGTTGTATTTTTGGGTTAGTCCCATTAAAAAATTATCCTTGTATTTCAGGTAATTTCTCGGCACACGCGGGAGCTACTGGGATTTGAAGAACCATTATTTCAACGCTCCATCCGACTTCCCTATAGGGACAATATTGGCTTATTTTTAGAACAAAAAGGTCATTCTGGGGAAAAATCTGATTCCTTGACCTATTCTGAATTTGTGCAAACAGCAGGATTACAAGATTATGAGCCACAAATAACCGCCCCTGAGGAGTATTAGACATTCTATTACACTGAGCCCCAGAGAAAAGCCATTCCACTTAGCTTGAAAGATCAAACTAAATTACTTGGTGGAAGAAGTGTGGTCTTTTTGGGTTTTCTTTTTCTCCTCATTAAGGATCAGAGTAGAACTCCTGGCACTATTCCTAGTTCTGTCACCAACTCGCAGCACATTCCTGTATTTCTGTTTCAATTTAGCATGTCGTTAAAACAAAGATAGTGCCCTGGCCCGGTAGGTCAGTTGGTTAAACTCAAGCATGGCCCCAATACACCAGGGTTATCGGTTTGTTTCCCAGCCAGAGTTCATACAAGAATCAATCAATGAATGCCTAAACATATTCATGTCCTTCTGCATCTCCCCCATCCTCTTCCTCTCTCTAATATATATATATATATATATATAATAAAAATCAATTAAAAAGAAAAGAAAGAATTTTGCCCCAGCTGGCATGGCTCCCTGGTTGAACATGGACCCATGAATCAAGAGGTCACGGTTCAATTCCCGGTCAGGACACATGCCCCAGGTTACAGGCTCAACCCCAGTAGCAGGAATGCAGGAGGCAGTCGATCAGTGATTCTCTCTCATCATTGATGTTTCTCTCCCTTGCCTTTCCTCTCTGAAATCAATAAAAAATGTATTTTTTAAAAAGAAAATTGTATTATTAAATGAGTATTAAATCAGACTTTGATGCGTATCAGGCAAGCTGCTAAAGAAATCTCATTCTTTTATATAGCCAGGCACACATTGCATACATGTTAACTGTATCTCACATCTCCATGTCAAACAGGAAGTTATTACTTGGAGCCAGGCACTAGGCTGAACTCCCACAGATTCAGGGAGACCAGGTGCTTACATTTCAGAGGTGGCTCCAAGGCCCCTCAGAAAATCAGTCCTGGGATATAAAACTGTCAGAAGGCTTATTCAGCTTCTTAAAATATTTATATACATCTCAAAAACAGAGAAAAGGGATATATGTTACAATTTTTCTAAAGAAAATATCTTAAGAAAAAGGAAAGGGGAAGCTCTTTCCCTTTCAGCATCAGAAAAATATTTTTTAAAACCTCTTAGATTTGCATTTATCTTTACAAACAGCATGGCTCTGGAAGCACCCTTATGAATTAGGGGCTGAGGTTTGTTTAAAGGCTCTTTTATGTGGCACTTGCTAGACCTTTATAAAATGAAATTCAGAGCAGAGTCTACCCATGACTAGACTGCTCAAAAGAAATTACAAAATACTTTGCCACTTGAATATCTCTAGTTCCTCTCTACTTTTATAGATTTAACTGTTCTTTCTCCCCCCCCCCCCCCCAGTTCCACTTCTTACTCCTAAAAACCACTAAAGGGCCACCATAATCCAGAATGGCAATGAAGTATCCTGTCCAGTTCCCCACACCTGAATGGTCAAAAGAATACATTTCTTTTTCTTTTTTTCCTCCTGAGAGAAGGAACAGTGCTTTAAATTTAGCATTCAAGAGAATTTTAATATTTAGTGATGAGCACTAGCCGGTTTGGCTCAGTGGATAGAGTGTCAGCCTGTGGACTGAAAGGTCCCAGGTTCAATTCCAGGGCACATGCCGGGGTTGCAGGCTTGATCCCCAGTAGGAGGCAGCCAATGAATGATTCTCTATCATCACTGATGTTTCTATCTCTCTCTACCTCTCCCTTCCTCTCTGAAATCAATAAAGATATATTTTAAAATATATATATATATTTAGTGATGAGCCTAATTTCCCTCCAAATTGGACTAACAACATTTTCAATGCCATTGATTTGCCTGACTCATAATCATGCAAAAAAGTGTGAATGACTAAGGTAGGGCCATGGTGATATTATGGAGTGAATAGCTTTGTTCAAAAGCAGTTTAGCAGTTGGCACACAATGGTTCTGTCCCTCTTTCCCCACTTGGTGGTCACTGCTGCTCTTTCCTGCTGTATTATAATTGACAAAGTAGTTGCAGCATAAACTTGCACTATAGAAATAAGATATCTATTATACAAAATTACTTTTAGCCACTTAATATAAACGCCAGCTATTTAAAAAAAAAAAGTTTGTATGGTTGTATGGTTAAAAATGCTTTAAGTGGGAACAGCTTTTTAAATAAGATAGTACCAAAACAGTCATATATAGATGAAATAAGCATGAAATGAGTCACAGTTAAGTTGTTTACCACACATTTTACTTCTCTATCTAAAACGGTAACAAAGTGAAGCTGTATCACTTGTCAGCTATATACCACTACAGGAAAAGAAGTTACGGTAATAATGACCTTATAGCTTCTTAAATTTAGCTTTTAGAAGAGAGATCATTTGTATTTACAAGGCCTCATGGGGAAGCAGCTTACTGTGTGCTGGGTTATGTAGTTTCACAGATACACACATATATACCAATGTAAAGCACCTCTTATTTTAATCTACATTATAAAGAGCCATCAGTACCATTTTCTGATTTCTTCATGCCTAACTGTTGGCAAACAGTTCCATGAGTCCCCACTGTCAGATGTGATGATCTGGGTATGACCATTGTAGAGAGAGGAAGAATCCTGAGTCCTGCGCGGTCTTCTCTTATTAGAATATAGAGCTTGTGGAAACCTCTGACTGTTGTTCTTTGGTTAAGGAGAAGCCAAACTCACTACAGTATAGCTGGATAATGTGGTCCTGGAGACTAGTCCAGGTTAAGAGCTTCACGCTAAAGGGAGTGTCCCTCAGTTGCACAGCAGTCAGATCAAACCAGGGTAAAGGCCTGGGTGGGGGGAAAAACAAAACAAAGCAAAACAACTGTTACCTTTTTGTCTGATCAATACATATGATTTACCTGTACACATTTCCTTTAAAGAACATTTTCTGCTCTGACCAATGGGTCTTCGTTGGTTGGAGCAGCATCCTGTGTGGGAAGCAACAAATGCATGTTTATCTCTCTCTCTCTCTCTCTCTCTCTCTCTCTCTCTCTCTCTCTCTCTCTCTTCTCCTCCCTCCCCTTCTCTCATTAATTTTTTTTTAAATGTTCCTCCACTTGGAAATAAGGTTCTTCATTTGCTATATCAAACTAATTCAAATGCACAGTTAAATGAAAAATTCAACTAAAACTATCCAATATTGTACTTATATACATTTCTCTAAGTGCATCTTGGGAGGAATTGATAATCAAAGAATGATTATAACAGTGACATTGACATCCTTTTCAGTGTATCTTCCTTGAGTTTAGAGACACATAAAAGGATCATGTTAGGACAACTGGCTTTCAAAAATGAATAAAAACCCTGAGTTTATTAAAGATTTAAATATTTAAAAAATAAAATCCTAGAAGAAAAAGTAGAATATTTTGGGATAAAGAAAGTCTTTATGACTTAAAACCATGAAACCATAAAGAAGTAACTTGAAAATTTTGACTACAAAAATTAGAAGCTTCTGTACAGCAAGATACCAAAAAGAAAATGATATGAAAAATATTTCTAATACTTAAAATATATTCCTACTGAAAACCCTTGTAAAATAATAAATAAGAAATAAACAATCCAGCCAAAACCGGTTTGGCTCAATGGATAGAGCGTCAGCTTGGGGACTGAAGGGTCCCGGGTCCGATTCTGGTCAAGGGCATGTACCTTGGTTGCGGGCATATCCCCAGTAGGGGGTGTGCAAGAGGCAGCTGATCGATGACTCTCTCTCATCGATGTTTCTAACTCTCTATCTCTCTCCCGCCCTCTCTGTACAAAATCAATAAAATATATTTTTAAAAAGAAAAAAAAAGAAATAATCCAAATGAAAAATAATCCAAGAACATAAAATGATGAGAGAGAACACAAGAGCAATGAGTTTGGAAGCTGGAAGGAATATGGACAATAAAACTGAGCCAAGGCACAATCCATTTACATCATAGAACCCACAAAAGACTCAGGTTTCAGAGAAAGGATGAATTAAAAAATTAGAGGGACCCTGGACCTCTCTCTCAACAGTAACTCTAAAGACTGAAAGACAATGGACCAATGCCTTCAAACTTCTGAGGGAAAATTATTTCTAAACTAGAATTCTAGGCCCGGCTACATTCCCAATAAAATATTAGGTTAGAATAAAAACATTTTCAGACATCATATCTAACAATTACTTCCTATGTATCTTTTTCTAAGGGAGCCCCTGGAGGAGTACCTGGTCCCCAGTGAAGGAGTAAGCCATGCCAGAAGAAGAGAGATCCAGAACAAGATCTGCAATAAGATAGCAGTGGAGGGAATCCCAGGAAAATGGGGGAGGGAAATCCCTAAACTGGAAGTGTAAGGCAGGCCATTGGTGATTGATTAGAATACAAAAAAGGGAAAACCCAAGGATTACTTCCAGAGGTCTGGCTTGAACAACTGATGAAGAAGCTTGTAACTAGATAAGAAACCCGGGAAGAGCAGGTCTGAGAGAAGGTCTGCTTTGGACACATCAAGTTTGAGTGGAGACAGAGAGTGTGAACTACCTAGGCATGAAACATACTAGAGATATAGGCTTGGTGGTGTCCCTGTAAAATTGGCAACCTAAGTTCCCAAAGTGGAAAAAGATCACCCAGGAACCATGTGTAGAAAGAAAAGGAAGGCCTAAGACAGAGCCCTGAAAACTCCCCGATTTAAGAATGGGGCAAAAAAGAAGCTGGCCAAGGAGGGGCTGGAAAGACAGGAAGAAAATGAGAACAGGAGGGTATCAGGAAAGCCCAAAGGGGAAAAAAAAAAAAGAGAGATTGTACCACCCTGACTGGTTTGGCTCAATGGATAGAGCATCAGCCTGTGGACTGAAGGGTCCCAGGTTTGATTTCGGTTAGGGGCATTTACCTTGGTTGCGATCACATCCCCAGTTGGGGGGGGGGGTGTAGGAGGCAGCTTATAGAAGTTTCTCTCTCATCGATGTTTCTGACTCTCTATCCCTCTCCTTTCCTCTCTGTAAAAAAATCAATATATATATATATATATATATATATATATATATATATATATATATATTTTTTTTTTTTTTTTTTAAGAGATTGTACCAAGAAGAATGGCATTTTAATAGTCAAGGAAGAAGAGGATTTAAATGTGTCCAGTGAATTTAGTGACAAAAAGCATTTGTAACAAGAGCAGCAATTTTTCCATTTAGATTATCAAAGGATAAACAGATAGATCTTAGAGTTATGAAGCCATGGGCAATGGCACTCTTTTATACTATTGGTGGAAATAAAAATAAGCACCATATTTTTGATAAGCAATTTACAAATGCCCACAAACATAAAACACAGAGTGTCCCCCTAAAAATGTATACACACTTTACAGCTGATAGCTCAATTAATGTTTCTTTCTTTTTACCCATTGGAATTAATAATTATTGAAAATGTGTATACATTTTTGGGGGATACACACACACACACACACACACACACACACACACACACACACACATATGGAGTGACCAGATTATTATGATCTCTGAATGCATAAAAATCTGGCCACTCAGGGTACATCCTATATAATAAAAGGTTAATATGCAAATTGTCCCCTTGACCATGAGTTTGACCAGCAGGCAGGCCAGCCAAATGCCCATGTCCCCTCCCCCTGGCCAGGCTAGCCAGACACCACCCATGCACGAATTCATGCACTGGGCCTCTAGTAAGAGTGGCCAGATTATTATGCGTTCAGAGATCATAATAATCTGGCTACTCAGAGTACCGTATTTTCCGGCGTATAAGACGACCCCTAATTTTACAGTTAAAACATAGGTTTAGGCCTATATTCGCTGTATAAGACTACCCCCCCACTTCTGAGGCAACACCAGTTTTTCAGGATATACTCAGCATATAAGACGACCCCCGATTTTCGGTTGACTTTTTTTCATTTTAAAGGTCGTCTTATACGCCAGAAAATACGTATATATCACCTCAAACCCAGAAATATTGTTCTAACTATTCATCTAACATAAATACTGATACAAGTATGCAAAACAAGTAGAAGAATGTTTAATATAGCCCTTGATGTGAAATTTGGGACAGGGAGGACTACAATACCATCAAGAGGAAACAGGATAAATAAATTTAAATCTAGAAATGGATGCCTATGCAGTTGTTTATACATGAAACAAATATGATTGTATTAACAGAGAATGTATCCATGACATAGTGAAGCATAGTAATGATCCCTCGTTAAGGAAAACTGCTGTTTGAAACTGCTGTTTTAAAGTTCTCTGCTATTTCTTGCTAGTTCCTTGTTCCATAAGTCAACTCTGTTATTTTTAGACAGTCTCTTATTCTGTAAAAACTAGAGGCCTGATGCATAAAGATTTGTGCAAGAATGGCCCTTCCTTCCCCTGGCTACCAGCACTGCCTTCACTCTGGCCAGAGCTGCCTTTCCACCTTTGCTCAGGTCCTGAGCTGTTTTTCTGCCTTCCCATGCTGCCCAGAGACTTGGAGCAGCTGAGGCAGTGCAGGACACCTACATTGTTGCCATTGCGACGACACAAGCATCCCACCCCCAGCCGCTCGGTGCCTGTGTATGCAAACTAACCTGTCATCTTTGTTGGGTTACTTTGCATACTCACTCCTGATTGGCTGGTGGGCGTCACAAAGGTATGGTCAATTTGCATCTTTCTCTTTTATTAGTGTAGATAACTTTGTTTTTTAGTTTGAATAATAGAAAGAATAAACTTAACTGACCTTGAAAGCTAGCTATCTAAAGGGGCTGATATGCTGATACTGATAATAATTCCCATATTCTCATCCCAAGTCTTTATTCATTATGTATCAAGGTTACAGATGTCTGAATAGATAGGATATGTACTCATGGCTACAAGTTATCTGTACAGATATCACATGTGTTTGTTAGATATGATATATACTCAAGGTTACAAGCTGTCTGCAAAACTAACTTATACAAAGAACTAAAAGGATATAAAAAGGGAATACTCCTTCCTGTGTTTGTTCAGAATTTGACAGAGGTAACCTGTGCAAAATAAAGATGACTTCTAAGCCAAAACGAGTTTGGCTCAGTGGATAGAGCGTCAGCCTGCAGACTGAAAGGTCCCAGGTTTGATTCCAGTCAAGGGCATGTACCTTGGTTGCGGACACATACCCAGTAGGGGGTGTGCAAGAGGCAGCTGATTGATGACTCTCTCTCATCAATGTTTCTAGCTCTCTATCCCTCTCCCTCTCTGTAAAAAAATCAATAAAATATATTTTTAAAAAAGATGACGTCTAACTAATTGGCTTATTAAGGCATCTTGTCTAGCTCACTGATTGATAATACAACAATAGTAAGTGACAATGCAGCATATATAGTCCCCATGTTTCTAAAATGTATATCAATACAGATGTCCACACTTTAATATAATGAAAATAAATCTAAAATCCATTAGAGGTAAAGTTTATGAAATGGTAGTTGGGGAACAAAGGAAGGCTTTCCTCCTTCTACTAGCTGAATTTTTTTTTACAAATATGTATTCCTTCTTTAAGTTTGCAAAGATAACATAAAAGGGGAAGAACAGAGTGCCTGCTAAAACAACGTGGGAATTAGAACAGCCAGCTGCCATACTTTACCTCCTCTGAGGCATATCCTTGGCATAGTCTTGGCTGATAAAGTCTTGTAATTGAAGTTTTGGGCACGATGCTCCATTTTCCTCACAGTTGTCAGTGTGCGCAGAGAGGAACAGCTCATTCATAATCTGCAGCGTTTGTGCGTGGGGCATGTCCTTTGCTGTGCAGGTGTTCAAGGCTGCGTAAAATACTCCTTCCAACCACTTGATATTGATGATTATCCCACCTACAAATCAATGACAGAGGAAAGACCAGTTAGCACCACCAAGAACATTTGCAGGGACCCGAGGACCAACCCAGACAGTGAATAGCCACCTTTTTTCCAAGACAAGTTGGTCAAATGAGCCTCAAGATAAGCAAACACTCCCCCTCCCTGGGCCACGAGCCTTGCTTGTGACCTTTATAACACATCATGTTGACGCTGCCACGGTAGGACAGGTATGACTAATGTGGACCTTTTTTTTTTTTTTTTTAAATAGATGTTTTCATTGATTTTAGAGAAGAAGGGAGAGGGAGGGAGAGAGAGGAAAACATCAATGATGAGAGAGAATCATTGACCAGCTGCCATCTGCAGGCCCCACACTGGGGATGAACCTGCCTTGACCAGGAATCAATCCATAACCTCCTGGTTCATATGTCAATGCTCAACCACTAAGCCACCTCAGCTGGGCTAATGTGGACATTTCTAATGGTAAAAGCATCTCTAGGAATTTCTACATCAGACCTTGCCAATTAAGAAGGAGCTAGGGCAGAGACAGTAAAGCAACAAACAGACTGTCAGATTTAGTGGGGAGGGGAGGGAAATATGGGAGAGATAAAAGATCAACCAAAAGACTTGTATGCATGCATATAAGCATAACCAATGGACACAAAACTCTGGTGGGGGCAATAGTAAGATATGTATACATATAATATCTTAATTTAAAAAAAAGAAAAAGAAAAAGAAAAAAAAAAAAAAGAAGGAGCTAGGAAAAAGATTAGAGCAAGGGAAAACCCCTTAATCCTAGCCCAGCCACTGTGGCTCAGTTGGTTGGAACATCATCCCATGTTCAAAGGGTTGCAGGTTCAAATCCCAGTCAGGGCACATACCTGGATTATATTTCCAAACCAGGTTGGGGTGCGTGTGGGAGCAACCAGTTTATGTTTTCTTTAGTCTCTCTCTCTCTCTCTCTCTCTCTCTCTCTCTCTCTCTCTCTCTCTCTCAAATTGGTAAGTACATCCTCAGGTGTGGATAAAAGAAAAGCACACAAAAACAACAACATTTAGTCCCAGATAGTACATCCTCCTGTTTAAATAGACTCTCCCCTCTGGTCATTTCCAATTCATTCTTAAAGGGTCCAAATATTCAGACCGTCTCAGCTTTCCCTAATTAGGACTGTTTTGTTTGTTTTTTTGCCACCAAGGTTGATCCTGTATAAAACCTAAATAGCTGAGAATGTATCTAGTTGTACAGTACTCCCCACAGTCCCCCAGCGCATGCACACACACACACACACACACACACACACACACACACACACTGGGATCTAATAAGATAGCAACAGGCTAGGAGGAAAGTAATTTTTAAAAGAGTGCCAAAACTAGGATGAGCTATTACCAGCAGGGTTGTAGGGGCAGGTAGCCAGAAGAATCACGGGATCTTGGAGAGCAGCAGTGATTTCCCTGTTGGACTGCCAGATGTTAGCAAAACCTTCCACACACTGATAGTGAGGCCGCAAGATATTGGTGTGGTTCAGCAGCCTCTTCAACCTGAAAGTAAAGCCACCAAGACAGGGAGTGCAGGCCAGGACTAGAATAAACCACGTGATCCACTGAGTTAACTGCCAACCCCAACAACAGATATCCCCACCTCCACTCCCCAGCCCCCCACAGCACAGGTGCGGTCAGCGCTGAGGGCAACCACCTCTTTGGATTGTTTAGCCCTCTGCCTAACAAACACTCACTGAATGTAATCACTTGCCAGGCACTGGCCTGAACACTAGGGGTAGAAAAATAACACCTGACGGGTTCTCAAACACTCTTCATCCTGTGACTAGTGGTTTCCCCTCTCACTGATGCACAAGAGGAACGTGAATCAGCTGCAAGCAGTGGGAGGCAATGCTCTATTGCAGTTCCAACCTTTTGCACATCAAAGAAAATGACCCACCCTCAGGGGCAGTTTGCAGGGAAGTGGGGAAGACACAATTACAAAGGCTGGCTGGACCCTGCAGGTGAAGTGGCTTCCATTTTACTCCTGGAATGACCGCCTCCCACAGGTAGGAGCTGTGTGGAGGTGGGAGCAGAAGCCAGGGGGGAGGACACAGAGCAGGTCTGCCAGTTCTGGGCTCCCCCTCGCAAGGTACCTGGGTATTGGGATGGCAGATACGAAGCTGTATACAATGCTGTCTTTTTTAAAGCTGGTGTTTATTTCTGCGCAGATATTAGGCAGCTGAGATGGCAGGCAGCAGAGGAATATCATGTCGGCCCAGGCCGCCAGATAAGCGTTATTGTAAAAGCACCGGATCCCCAGCTTCTGGAACTCCTCTGGGAGGGATAAAAAAAAAAAAAAAAAAAAAAAGACAGAAAAATCACAGTACAGAGGAGAGTTGGGCCTGAACATCGACTGTAGGGAGAGGAAGGCAGTTATTCTATCTCAACTCTTGTCACATAAATCAGAAGAGATGTGCTCATACCATCTAGGAGCCATGTAGCAATGCCTTGTGCCCTGCTAGCAGCCGCTGGCAGCCACAGTTAAGATTATGAGACTCTTCATCCTTACCTCAAATGCTGGAGGTTTTCAGAAGCTTTCTGCTCCAATTTAAATATATATATATATATATTTTTTTTTAATTTTTCCCAGAGAGGAAGGGAGAGGGATAGAGAGCTAGAAACATTGGTGAGAGAGAAACATCAATCAGCCGCAACCAATGTACATGCCCTTGACCGGAATCAAACCTGGGATCTTTCAGTCCACAGCCCGACGCTCTATCCACTGAGCCAAACGGGTTTGGCTCCAATTTTTTTTTTTTTTTTTTGTAAAATATATTTCTTTATTGATTTCAGAGAAAAAGGGAGAGAGAGAGAGAGAGAGAGAGAGAGAGAGAGAGAGAGAGAGAAACATCAATGATGAGAGAGAATCATTGATTGGCTGCCTCCTGCACGCCCCCTACTGGGGATCAACCCGCAACCCAGGCATGTGCCCTTGGCCAGAATGAACATAGCACTCTTCAGTCCGCAGGCCTACGCTCTATCCACTGGGTCAAACTGGCTAGGGCTTTCTGCTCCAATTTACTGAAGGTTTATTATGTGTCAGATAATTTACAAAGTGCTTTATATGTATTATTGAAGGAAGTCCTCATAAGGACCTTATGAGGCAGAAACTAGTATTTTTAAAAAATATATATTTTATTGATCTTTTACAGAGAGGAAGAGAGAGGGACAGAGAGTTAGAAACATGGATGAGAGAGAAACAGCAATCAGCTGCCTCCTGCACCCCCCCCCACTGGGAATGTGCCTGCAACCAAGGTACGTGCCCTTGACCGGAATCGAACCCGGGACTCTTTAGTTCGCAGGCCAACACTCTATCCACTGAGCCAAACTGGCTTTGGCAGAAACTAGTATTTTTTAATATGTTTTTACTAGAGGCTTGGTGCATAAAATTTGTGCATGGGGAGGGGGGATGGGGTCCCCTCAGTCCAGCCTGTACTCTCTCCAATCCAGGACTCCTCAGGGGATGTCTGACTGTTGGTTTAGGTCAGGGATTCCTCTCACAATCTAGGATGACTGGCTTCTAACTGCTCACTTTCCTGCCTGCCTGATCCCTCCTATCTGGCCTGGTCACCCCAACTACCCCCCTTAATGGCCTGGTCACCCCCAACTACCCTTCTGCCAGCCTGGTTACCCCTCACTGCCCCCCTACCCCCACTGGCCTGATCACCCCTAACTATCCCCCCTGTTTGGTCATTTGGTCACCCCTAACTGCCCCCCCTGCTGGCCTGGTTGCCCCATGCAGCCTGCTGTGCGATTGTTTGGTAGTCCCTCACTAATACCCCTGCCAGCCTGGTTGCCCCACACAGCCTTTTCAGTCATCCATTTGATTGTTTCAGTTGTGACAAGCACTTAGGCTTTTATATATATAGAGAATGATTTTAGAGAAGCGTCGATGTTTAAGAGAAACATTGATTAGCTGCCTCCCACATGTACCCTGACCAGGGATCGATCCCACAACCAAGGCATGTGCCCTGACTGAGAATTAGCCATGACTTTTCAGTGGACAGGACCATGCACAGCCAACTAAGCCACAACAGCCTGGGCAAGTCAGAGACTAGTATTATTCATATATTATAGATGAGGAAACTGAGTCTTCAAGAAGTTATATAATTGGGCTAAAATTACACAGCTAACTGGCTTGAGTTGGTAGAAGACTAAGAAAATAGTGTAAGGAGCCTCTAGGACAACTTCAAGCATACCAACATCAGAATTATGGGGTAGCTAGAAAAAGAGAAATAGCAAGATATTGAAAACAGAGACCGGTTTGGCTCAGTGAATAGAGCGTCGGTCTGTGTACCGAAGGGTCTCAGGTTCGATTCTGGTCGGGGGAATGTGCATTGGTTGCAGGTACATCCTCGGTGGGGGGTGTGCAGGAGGCAGCTGGTCGATGTTTCTCTCTCATCGATGTTTCTATCTCTCTATCCCTCTCCCTTTCTCTCTGTAAACAATTAATAAGCTATTGAAAGCATATTGAAGAAATAATGACTGAAAACTTCCCCCACCTGGTGAAAGAAATAAATTTACAAGTCCAGGAAGCACACAGAACCCCAAACAAAAGGAATCCAAAGAGGACCACACCAAAACACATCATAATTAAAATGCCAAGAGCAAAAGACAAAGAGAGAATATTAAAAGCAGCAAGAGAAAAACAGCTAGTTACCTAAAAGGGAATACCCATATGATGTCAGCTGATTTCTCAATAGAAACTATGCAGGCCAGAAAGGAGTGGCAAGAAATATTCAAAGCAATGAATAGCAAGAACTACAACCAAGATTACTTTACCCATCAAAGCTATCATTCAGAACTGAAGGTCAGATAAAGAGCTTCACAAATAAGAAAAAGCTAAAGTAGTTCATCACTGCCAAACCAGTATTATATGAAATGCTGAAAGGTATTCTTTAAGAAGAGGAAGAAGAAGAAAAAGATAAAGATAAAAATTATGAACAATAAATACATATCTATCGACAAGTGAATCTAAAAATCAAGTGAATAAAATATCTGATGAACAGGATAAACTGGTGAATATAATAGAATCAGGGACATAGAAAGGAAATGGACTGACAATCCTTGGGGGAAAGGGGTGTAGGGGGTGTGGAAAGAGACTGGACAAAAATCATACACCTATGGATGAGGACAGTGGGGGTGGGTAAGGGCGTGGGGTGGGATGGGAACCAAGTGGTGGGGAGCTATGGGGGGGAAAAAAGAAGAACAACTTTAATAATCTGAACAATAAAGATTTATTTTTAAAAAATATTTCCTTAATTAGAAAAAACATTTACAAATGAATAAGAAAAAAACAAGCTTGCCAACAGAAAAATTGGACCAAAAGAACTCAAAAAACACAAAATAGCAATAAACATATAAAAATATCAAACTATTCTAGTGGTCAGTAAAAGGCATATTAAAATAAGAAAAATTTTAAAGGCAATGTAAAATAGTAATAAAAATAAATAAATAAAAGAGGCCCAGGCCCTGGCCGGATAGTTCAGTTGGTTAGAGTGTCAATCCCATACACCAGGATTATAGATTCAATCCCCAGTCAAGACACATACAAGAATCAACCAATAGCCAAAACTGGTTTGGCTCAGTGGATAGAGTGTTGGCCTACAGACTGAAGGTTCAGTTCCAGTCAAGGGCATGTACCTTCGTTGTGGGCACATTCCCAGTAGAGGGTGTGCAAGAGACAGCCTATCAATGATTCTCTCTCATCGATGTTTCTAACTCTCTATCCCTCTCTCTTCCTCTCTGTAAAAAGTCAATATTTTTTTTTAAAAAAGAATCAACCAATAAATGCATAAATAAGTGGAACAACAACAACAGGCTCAGAATTGAAAAAAATATATAGTAAAATGGGTGTTCCTATATAACACTGGTGAAAGTTTATATCTGAACAACCTTTTTTGTAAGTCAGTTTGAAAAAAATGTATTAGCGTTCCTTTAAAAATTAAATATTCCTACCATATGACCCCCATTTCACTCCCAAATATGTACAAAAAAAATTAAAGCATTTTTCCACACTAATATTTGTAACAAATATTCATAGCAGCTTTATTTGTAACTAGTAGCCCTGCACATGAATCATGCACCAGTAGTTCTCCAGTAGCTTGCTGCCGCCCTCCAGTAGCTCTCTGCCCACTGCCTCACCCTCTTGTAGCTCCCCCTGCTCTTCCTCATAGCTTGCTGCCCTGCCCCCTCCTGTAGCTCTCTGCCACCTGCTTGTAGCTCGCTGCCCCACTCTCCTGCTGATCCATGATCCAGTCATTACATGGCTAGTCATTAAGCTTCACAGTGTAACAATCATTTGCATTTTATATCTTTATTATATAGGATAGCCCCAAACTGGAAACAACTTGAATGTCCATCAACAGAAGACTAGGTAAGTTAAAATATTAACACCATGGAATATCAATCAGAAGTAAAAAGAATATCAATACATGAAACAAGATTATATCTCAAAGTAATTATGCAAAGTGAAAGAAGTCAGACCAAACAACAGTAAAAACTATATGATTCCATTTGTATAATGTTTTAGAATATGCAAATAATTATGACAGATGACAGAAGTCAGATCAGTGGTTTCCTAGGTAGGGGGCTCTAGAGAGATAGATAGGAATTACAAGGGGACTTTTAAGGATGATGGATAAGTTCATTATGTATTGACTAGAGGCCTGGTGCACAAAATTCATGCAGCGGGGAAGGGGGAGAGGAGTGTCCCGCAGCCCAGCCTGCACTTTCTCCAATCTGGGATCACTTGAGGGATGTTAAACTATCTGTTTAGACCCAATCCCACTGGATCTACTGGGGATCAAGTCTACAACCGGGGCATGTTCCCTGACAGGGAATCGAATCCTGACCTCCTGATAGATAAGTTGATGCTTAATCACTGAGCACACTGGCTGAGCTCAACTCTATTTGGAAAGCTCTGTATCTAAGACCCAGAAAGATATCTCACCACCAAGGGCACGAGGAAGAGAGATGGCTATAAAACATTTTAAGTGGAGAAGGAAGTTGTTTTAAGGAACCAGTTAAAAACCATCTTTCTAGCTCTTTTCAGACCAGGAAGCTGAGAAGTCAGCACGCTGCACCTGAGGATTCCCCTTTCCCAAAAGCCTCGTTAACACCTCGAGGGCACACCCACGCCCCTTTCTACCGCACACTGCTCCTCACCCAGGGCCTCGGGCCTCCGAGTGGAGATCCACAGCTTCTCAGGAGGGATGGGGACAAGATGAAGCAGTACTTGAGCCAGTTGCTTTCCAAGGTGGCCGCCTCCAATGATGCCCACCTTTAACTCATCTTTAGGATTGGTATAATGCGATCCAACGGAACGGTAACTGGAAACCTTCATCTCATATATTAATTTTCTGGAAATCGAACACACAGATACATGCATAAATTCATGTTCACCCTGGCTCTCTTCTTGCCTGTCAACCTCTGATGTTCCCTGCTCTGACTTCCTCAGATGGCAGCCTGGGGCACCTTAAGGAGGCAAGAGAAGCACTCCTGCAGCATCACTAGGGAATAAAATGTGCTCCATGAGTGAATTTTCCAGAAAGTAAAGCATACCCCTTCAAAGGACCAATGCTGGTTTAAAACATTTTTAAGTGAACATCTTCTTGGTGAAATGTGTGGTAGGAATAGTAGATTTTTATGTCTGTTGTTCCTGATTTTCATGGGAATGCCTCTGATTTCACCCCACTTGAATAAGATGCCAGGTTTTGAGCTGGTGATGTATATTTATAATCACATTAAAGCATTTATCATTGTTACTTTATTGAGCGCTTTAAACATGAGGTCTGAATGTCAAACCATTTTTTGACGCAGGACCATCGTTGTGAGCAGCCACTGTTGTACATCATCCTGGAACATGGGCCTGTTCCCTGTTCCCTGTGCAGAGAGCACCATTTCCAGCCACACTCCTATTCTTTCTAGTTTGCTGCTTCAGTTCTGCACAGATCCAGGAAACCAGGTAACTTTGTTTTTTTCAAACCTATGATTTATAAAAGACAATGGTTTCTAATGAGGGAAAACAGACCTAAGAAACTGAGGGTCAGGATTGGAGCCCTCTCTTTCCAGAGGCTCACTTCACTTACTGTTGGTTCTGGATGTATTTCCTGGATCCAAGATAAACAAAGACTGACCTCAGAATACATCAGGCATTGTTTTATGTTGTTACATGACAGCCTTATATTTGTTCCGTATTTAGTTTTTGAAAAATTAAAGCTCAAAAAAATAAAAGAATAAAAATCAAAATTATGGAGTTTCCCTATAAGCATCACAAGCCACATTATATGTAAGGCTTCTCTCTTGGCTGACAGGAGAGCATTTTCTCTCAGAGCCTGACCCTTCCAAATATAAAATCCTTCCTGGAAGCTTCACAAATCAGTTTCTCATCACTCATCTTGAATTAAACAATGGGTTTATGCTTCTTATCAGTCAACCAATCAGCAAACTCCTTGAGCAGCCTGCCTCCTTGGGAAAATGCTGCTGTATCTATAACATGTTTATTTCAGGTCTAGATCCATCAACAAGGAGTTAATCTAATTGCAACGAAAGTAGACTAAGAAGTAGACTGGAAGGGGGAGCGGGTGGATGGGGGGTGGGGCGCTTTCAAAGACTCCAAGAGTAACCCGAGTGTTACAGAACCCGAGAGCTTAGACCTAGGTACCTGGTTCTCACATGACTTCTATTTAAGTATCTGAAGCCACATTGTACAGTATTAAGTAGCAGAAGCCAGGGTGGTCTGAGATTTTTCTCTGTAAATCAGTGTTCTGGTTTCAAGCAAGTCACCTGGTCATAGGGACCCAGAAGTCTAAGATGGCTTTCCTATAAGGGAACATTCCACTATTAGCCCCATAAAAAGGAACTTACACCATCTTCATAGAATGACAAGTCATTGGTCATCTCCATGAGTGAATGAATGGTGGGATGAGTGAATTTATTATTTAATCAATGCACCCACTGAAAGGAAATTACCACTGATCCATGCTTTATGACAGAACCACAGCCAAGGGACTCCAGTATGCATTTCTCTGGTGTTTTCAGACCAGGAATAATAGGCTTTGGGTTGGAAAAGGTAGGAAGACACCAAAGTTATTCTCCAATATAAAAAGCTAAAGCCATTTGGAGTCTTTGCAGTGAGATTCTTCTCCATCTGTCTCACCCTGGAAACCTCGCTTACCTCAAATTATGGAGTAGTTTGCAGAGGAAGATTGCATGGGCACAGGCCTCAGTCATCCGCCCCTGATAACGACCCTGCAAATACAGCCAGCAGCGGTCTTCCTCTTCAATCCCATACTCAAATTGCAAGGTCTTAAGGTCCCTTAGCAGGTCCATCTCTAAGCCAACTCCAGCAACGGATCAATTTGGTTCCCTATCCTGGAAGAAGAGGGAGTCTATGAAGGAGGGTGTGTGTGCCCAAGTCCTAAATTCTCATGGTGGTGAGAACTTACAACTTGGGCACACACAGTGTCTACTCCGAGTCCTGAACTCACAACTCTCATCCACTTCTCTGTTTTAGCATGAGAAGTCCTAAGCACTGACTGTCCACTAATCAAGAATACCTGGATTCGTGAAAAACCTGAACAAAAATCCAGAGTGATGTTCTTTCATCGGCACATCTCTCAGCAGAATGCATTTACATTAGCAATGGGTTCACAGGTGCTCTTGGGGTAAGACTTTCTCCCTCCCATTCCCTCTTGTTTTAGAAACAGGACGGAGCACTTAATCCATATTTCACAGAAAGTTTTCTCTTTCACTAAAAGCCTTGTATTCTCCCACAGAATAGAAAAGAGCCCAAATGAAATACCATGGTCTCAGAGACATTAGACTTTAGGAAAGGAAGCCAAAGAAGTGTAAGCCCATTTACATAGATCTCTCTCACCGATCCAAATGAGGAGATGATAGCTCTGCTCCTCATTACTTCTGGTCCTCAAGGTAAGAACTACATTTCCAAGGAGAACTACCCAAGAAAATTGCCATTATGACTCCTTAGCTACCAAATTACTTGCCTCAGAGTCTTAAAGGGGCCAGTCTCACCTAAAGGTTTTCCTGTAACATGAGGACACAAATTCACTACTTCTAGCTAGAAGTTCTACACCAGGGCAGTACAGGATTCTGCTTTTCCCAACAGAAGATTCTAGAAGTCCTTTGTTTTGGACTTCTAGATTTTTCTGTAGACTAGGATACTATACAAGTCTTAGCACTACTCAGAGTTATTTTTCAAATACTTTTTATTTTTAAGAAATCAATGAATAAAATAAGTTCTGGGAATGTAATGTACATCATGGTGACTATCCTATATAATAAAGAAGTAATATGCAAATTGACCATCACTCCCAACACACAAGATGGCCAGCAGGGGATAGCAGTTGGGGGCAACCAGGCCAGCAGGGGAGGGCAATTAAGAGCAATTGAGCCAGCAGGGGAGCAGTTAGGCATCGATCAAGCTGGCAGGGGACTGGTTAGGGGGTGATCAGGCTGGCAGGCAGAAGCAGTTAGGGGCAATCAGGCAGGCAGGCAGGTGAGCAGTTGGGAGCTAGCAGTCCTCGATTATGAGAGAGATGTCCAACTGCCCGTTTAGGCCTGATCCCATGGAATCGGGCATAAACGGGCAGTTAGACATTCCTCTAGGGGTCCTAGATTAAAGAGGGTGCAGGCTGGGCTGAGGGACACACATCCCCCATGCACAAATTTCGTGCACCGGGTCTCTAGTAGTTAATAATACTGTATTGTATACTTGAAGTTTGCTAAGAGTAGATCTTAAAGTGTGTTCATCACACAAAAGGTAACTATGAGATGATGGGTATGTTAATTAACTTGATATGGTAGTAATCATTTCACAATATCAAATTATGTTGTATACCTTAAATATATATGACTTTTAACAATTATACCTCAGTAAAGCTGGGGAAAATCAATGATATTTCAAACTCTATTGTATAACAATAGTGATATTGAGACCAGAATTTAGAACTACTCATCTGCATTTAAATAAAAAATTATTTAGGTGAAATTCACATAACCTGGACATTTAAAAGTGAACAATTTCAGCTGAAACTGGTTTGGCTCAGTGTACAGAGCGTTGGTCTGCGGACTGAAAGGTCCCAGGTTCGATTCTGGTCAAGGGCATGTACATTGGCTGCGGGCACATCCCCAGTAGGGGGTGTGCAGGAGGCAGCTGGTCGATGTTTCTCTCTCATCAATGTTTCTAGTTCTCTATCCCTCTCCATTCATCTCTGTGGAAAATCAATAAAATATATTTTAAAAAAGTGAACAATTTCAGTACATTCACAATGTTTGCACCCTCTACCTCTCTCTAGCCCCAAAACTTTTTCATCCCCACACAAAGGAAACCCTGCACCTATCAGGGAGTTACTCCCTACTCTACCCTCCAATCAGCCCCTGGCAACCACCAATCTGCTTTTTGTCTATGAATTTACCTTTTCTGGATATTTCACAAGAATGGAATCACAATAGGGAAGTTTCTGTATCTGGCTTCTCTAATCCCTTTTATGGGGGGGCTGTTATATTACTCTCCCAATCTCTTTAAAAGCTAAGTCTCCAGCACTTTGAAGTAAAGAAGTTCTCATCAAGTCTAAGAAACACTTCCTTAGACCGAAACAGTGGGTAGGGCATCCTTACTTTGTGAGTGATGTTTCCTGCTCCAAAGGAAAGAACTTCAGACGTCCCAGCTCAGCAAGATCACTTTGGCACAGGTTAACTTGTACAAGCTCGGATGCTAGGCCCATTTTTCCCTTATTTCAAAATCGGGAGCCAGTGGTTGTGGCTTTGTAGTCAAGGGGGCTACATGACCTACATTTTCCAGACTTACCTTCTCTGTACATTTCCAATTAGATGTGCCACAGGAGAGACTTCTGGGAAAGGTCCAGAAGATGGAAGTGAAGCAGTGGTCAGTTTGTAGTGATGCCTGTAAAGGAGGCACAGACACTTTGGTGTCTGCTGGGGACCCTCTTGGAGATGGGGCAGCAGTTGGGCCTGCAACTGCTACCTTCGCCTTGATCCTCCTGCAGCTTTTCACCCACCTGGGCCAGGGCTGCTTTCAGCTCAGTGACAAGTGCCTTCAGCAAGCTTCTCCTGCAGGACACCCACTTCATCAAAAGTGAACACTGACATGGGTGCCAGTCCAGCCCAGTGGGCTCCAGCTTGTCCTTGCTCGCCCCTCACTCTATTCCCATCTCTCCTTCCCCACTGCCTGCCTCATGGATTCCCATCAGACACGCAGACAACCTTCCAGAGACCGTTTAAGTAACTGCCATCTTTGAATAAGGTAGAATCTTGGTGATAAATCTCACATAGAGGTTAGATTGACAGACACAGACTGAATACTCCCAGCAGTCTACTTCTCTAAATGAACCCTAATACGCCAGTTACTAAAGCTATGAATGTCTGAAGACCAGCCAATAACTTTAGCACAAGCTAGCAAATGAAACTCCTGTTCCTTCACAGCAAGAGAGATGATGAGGGGAGGAGACAAACATGGTTACCCGGAATCACAAAGAGGACTGCAAAGTGGAGAAGCAAGTGTAGGAGTACAGTCTCCTTAAAGCCGGATTTCTCAGCATTGTCATCAGTGATATCTGGGGCTGGGTAAGTGTTGCGGAGTCTGTGCTGTGCACTGCAGGATGTTTAGCAGCATTGCTTGCCTCTATCCATTAGTAGTACCATCCAGTTGTGGCAGCAAAGTGTATCCAGACCTTGGCACAGGTCTCTTGGAGGGGGAAATTGCACCCACTTGAGGGCTACATTGCCTTAAAGCCTGTGTGTACCTCTGCACTCCACAGTCACAGGAGACAGGATCCTACAAGCTTCGAGAGAATTATGCCCTTCTATTACAGATTAGGATCATGTGTCCAGAGAGAGAAGGACTCACCCAGCATCATACAGCTTGTCAGTAGAGCCGGGACAAGAGGCCAGGTCTTTTGATCCCCAGCTCAGGTCTCCTTCTGTTAACCACAAGGCCCTGCTCTCTCTAAGCACCAGTGCTCCATAACCTGACATGTGTTGGTAGGCTGCTGACTGCAGTCACTGAGGCAGACAGGTAGTGGTCCCAAGAGACTGGGCGATTATGTCTTTGTTCTGCACAAAACAACTGGAGGGAAAGAGAAGGCACCAAGGAAGAAAGAGCTTTATTAGGAGTATACTCATGTCTGGGGAAACCCAGGCCAGTCATAGAGAAGAGAAGCTAACTTTGAATAGGGCAGGCATCTAGCATTACAGAACATCCTTTTAAAAACCAAGTGTGATACTAAAGCCTCCATCTCAGTATCCTAACAGTCAGAAATGCTGCTGAGGTCAGCCCTACTGGAACTTCTGGAGGCTCCTAGTGAAACAGAGAGCTCTGTGCATATGGGAGAGCTCCGGTACTGCCGAAGCTAAGCTCCACACAGGCGGGCAGTCTGGGGCAGGAGAGTTAGAGGGAAAGGCAATGGGGATGTTCTCGTCACCCACACAAGGTCATCTCAGGCTGCAGGTGAGAGAGGAACCACAAGTCCTTGAACAGAGGCTAGACGGGGGCAGCAGAGTGAAGACACAATGTCTGGGCCATCTGTCATAACTTGGAGTGCTCCGTGCAGTCTGGAGTGAGGGCACCTCCGGCAGGTCCTGCAACATTGGCTGGCTCCCTTCTCGAGGAGTCTGGGAGAGAGCCATTTTAGTTCTGTTCTGACTCCATTCACAGCAGAACTGGCCATGTCCAGCACCAAGTCCAGGGTCATAGTCGCTAAGAGGAACTGAGTAGTCACTCTATGATAGCTGCACCTCTTAGGCTAGGAGACTTCTTTAGCAGAGCAGTCATTTTTCTCAGACCAAGAGAGATCTTGCCCCAAACGGGCCCAGTCTAGAAATGACTCCACTTTCACGTGAGCACCAGGTGGAGGGAATCATTCCCGAGTCGAAGCTTTAGATTTCGGCCCTCAGATGATGGCCCTTGTACAGAAGACCAGTGCTCAGGAACCAGTTTCTGTCCCAAGAGTAGCAGGTGTCATCTGTTGATGACAGACCCAAGCGATGTGCTTCTGTTATTCTCCCAAAGGAGAGTGCACGCTCTGTCAGCTTCAAAGTGAAGAATCCTGGGTTCGATTCCAGTCAAGGGCATGTACTTTGGTTGCAGGCCAGATGCCCAGCCCCGGTTGGGCGAGTGCAGGAAGCAACCAATCAATGTATGTCTTTCACATCGATGCTTCTCTCTCTGTCTCTCCCTCTCCTTCCACTCTCTCTAAAAATCAATAAAAAATATCCTCGGGTGAGGATTAACGAAACAAAAAAGAGAGTACACTCTTTTCAAAGGCAGAAAAGGAAGAAACGAGGAAAGTCTCAGGATAGCTGATGCCACTTAATTCTTCCACCGAATTTGCTGTGGGGAAAAACAATGATCATTTTGCACTGATCCATACAGAGAGGTAGTGGGAATGCAATAAAACAAGACTCACAGGTAGATACTATAAGGAAAAGAGGAATGGAATGGGGGTGGGGATTTTAAAAAATACGTAGTAGGGTTCATTTACTCAGATAAGAACGAGACACCTATTCTGTATCTCACAAGCCTGAGTTGGGGATTTATTCTGATGCTAACCTTCTCAGGGCCAAGATTAAACTAGCTTCTGCAAGGACTAGTGTGGATCGATTCCCAGTTAGGACACATACCGAAGTTGTGGGTTCGATCCCCAGTTATGGGGCGTATGGGAGGCAACTTATAGATATTTCTCTCTCACTTTAATGTTTCTCTTTCTCTCCCCCCTACCTTCCTCTCTCTAAAATCAATAAAAGCATGTTCCTGGGTGAGGATTAAAAATAAATAGCTGAACAATCATTTTTAAAATAAAAGATTTACTAGCTTTCAATGACCCCGGATAGGTCCCAAAACATCTAACATGGAGCTAAGATCAACATTAACAAAAAGCTCAACAATTTCATGCTACGAGACAAGCAGGCTGTGTTTCCCAAATCGCTAACATCTATTTCACCCCCTTCTTACTTCCAAAAGGTAGGTAATATCCATTCTTGGTATGTTCTGAATCTGTAACATTCGTTCCTATATTGCCATTAGTAAGTCTCTCATACCTGCTAGGTTTAATAATTTTCAGAGCAGTTACAGTTAAGTCTCAGCTGGAGGTCCCCAGGTTACCCTTTTACACACTTGATGCTACTTTGAGAACTGTCTGTCTCCCGAGGCTGTGGAGGGATAGCTGCCCTACTCACCATGCTGCTGAGAATGGCATCGATCTTTTCCTCCTCTGCAGATCCTTTGTCTACCTTACTCCTGTATGCTAGCAACTGCTGACGGTCCTTCAGGTCCCGGCAAGTCTGCACACCAAAACAGACAAGCAGTGAATCCCAAATCAGCCTTTTCTAAGAAGATCTTTTGCTTTTTGTTACTTCCATTTTGAGCCAAGGTTCAAGAAGCAGCTGGGTGACAGGGGCCAAGTCCCCTCAGAACCTCATGATGGAGTGAAGTCTACGGAGCTTATGTGGCTTGATTCAGTTCTATGAGTTCTCTGAGTAACAGACTCATAAGAGCACAGAGGAACCAGTCGGTAGGTGAGAAAATAGCCTAGGAGTGCTGGCCTCCAAACTAACTCCTGCCAGACCATTTTGCCCATAACATCAAAACTGAGGGCAGGATCTCAGGGTCGAGGACAGAGAAGACCTTAACCCCCACTCTCCACGAGGCTCTAACTCAGGGTTCTTATTTCCTGGGGACTCACATCAATGACGACATCGTGACACTTGAACTTCGTAGCTAAGTTCAACTTTGTGTCCACATCTTCCACTAGATTGACATACTCCTGTAATATCTGTGGGAAGAGGTACTTCTGATTAATGATTCACAGAACTCTGAAAAGTAGAAAAAAAATCCTGAAGAAGGCAAAAGAGTTCATCTACAACATCTGATGTTTACAATTCCCATCAGCAACCACAGGACCAGCTCTGTGATGGGAATGAGGTGGACCCCAAGCAGCGTTCCGCACCCCCCAGGAAAGCAGGGAAGAGCACGCTCCTCCATAGTCCAGAGCTGGATACCCAGGCCAGCAACAGGCATGCTCCACACCTGATCTCCACTGTGCCCTGATGTCCCTTCTCAGTGAGTTCTCCTTTTGTATCATTTCATCAATATGGCAGTACCCCACACAGGCTAAACCCAGTGGGTGCTCCTCAGAAAGGGCAGGTTACTTCTAAAGGGCAGAGGAGAATGTCTCTCCCTGGCCTGTCCTACATTAAGACCAATACTCTCCTTTAAGGGGAGAACAGAACAGGTCAGGTCTCCTATCACTGGCCAGTAAGAGGCTACAGGTTAGGTCTCCTAGAGGATCCTGTCCCCAACTCTCTTCAGGAGCCATTACCTGGACGGGGGCATTGTTCTTGTGCAGAATTTCCACAACCCGATGGAAGCCAATGGGTGCTCTCTTCTTGGTGTAGCCCAGCCAGTTCTGAGAAAGAAAATGGCAGGAGTAGGTAGGCTGGACATTAACAACACACCCTGAGCTCGTCTCCCTGCATTTTACAGTCAGCCTAGAATAATGTGATGGTGAGGGTGGATGGACTGGGGTGGGGAACTGGGAAATGAGAGATGAGAAAAGGCAAGAAACTTAAGGGGGATGGGAGGGGAGAGTCAGAGGTATGAAAAGTTCTTAGATTTATAGGCACTAATGCAGAAAAATGTGAAATAAAAAGCTAAATGAATTAAGTAATTTATATAGCCACACTTGTAATATGAACTTATCTAGGAAATAAGTCCTACTCTTTACATTAATTGAAGAGGGAGACAGAGATAGAAACATCAATGAGAGAAAATCATTGATTGGCTGCCTCCTGCATGCCCCCTCCTGGGGATCGAGCCTGCAACCTGGGCATGTGCCCTTCATGGGAATCAAACATAGGACCCCTTAGTCTGCAGGCTGATACTCTATCCACTGAGCCAAACTTACATTTATATATAAAGATGTTTCTTTGTATTTTTTTTTTATTGGTTTTTAGGGAGAGTGGAAGAGAGAAGAAAAGACAGAGAAACTTCAATGTGAGAGAAATACATCAATTGGTTGCCTCCTGCATGAGCCCTTACCAGGGCCCAAGCTGGGGAGGAGTTTGTAATAAGATACATGTCCTTGACCAGAATCAAACCTGGGATCCTTTGGTTCACAGGCCAATGCTCTATCTTCTGAACTTAATCGGCTAGGACAAAGATGTTTCTTTGTAAATTCATGAGGAGAGATCTGGAAAGCACCCATCAAACTTCCAATGGCATCTGCCTTGAGGAAGGGGGTGAGACTAGGAGCAGGCAGTTGGTGGAAGAGAAACTTCACTCTTTACTCTTGATACTTCCATACAGTGTTTCATTTGGACACAGACACTATTGCTTGGTAGTTAATGTAGCTAATTAAATAACTAACAAAGGGGAAAAAACAGAAACTTCTTTAACCCATAATGGAAAAAAATCAGTATTTAAAATGTCAACCAGTAGATATGACAACCAAATGTAATGCAAGATCCTTCACAGCAAACAAACACAAGAACAAACAGAAACAGCTCTAAGAGCTAATTTACTACACACTTTCTATATGATTATAGTACTACATTAATGTTACTTTTTTTTTGCATATGCTATATGTAGTATACTATTACTAGTACATGCATATATGTATTAGTTTAATTATAAAGTTAATTTTTCTTTTCATCTGTCATCTTTTTTTAAAAAAATATATTTTATTGATTTTTTTTTTTTTTTACAGAGAGGAAGGGAGAGGGATAGAGAGCTAGAAACATTGATGAGATAAACATCAACCAGCTGCCTCCTGCACACCCCACCAGGGATGTGCCCGCAACCAATGTACATGCCCTTGACCGGAATCGAACCTGGGACCTTTCTGTCCGCAGGCCGACGCTCTATCCACTGAGCCAAACCAATTTCAGCTGTCATCTTTTTTTTTTTTTTTAATAATATATTTTTATTGATTTCAGAGAGGAAGGGAGAGGGAGAGAGGGAGAGAGAGAAACATCCAAGATGAGAGAGAATCATGGATCAGATGCCTCCTGCAAGTCCCCAACTGGGGATTGAGCCCGCCACCCGGGCATTTGCCCCTGACCGGAGTTGAACCTGACCCTTCAGTTCCTAGGCTGAAGCTCTATCCATTGAGCCAAACCGGCCAGGGTTCATCTGTCATCTTGATTATAGCTCAAATTGAACACACCATTTATATTTCTTAGTTGCAAGCAATAAAAATTAATTTGTTTATTTAACAACACCCCCACCACACACACATACACTTCAAAAAAGGGAATGTATTACAAAGATACTGGGTAGCTTGCAGACTCTCAAGAAAGAAAAACGCCCCAAATTATGCCATGGAAATAATTTGAAGACACTAATACTTCACCATCTGAAAAACTATAGGGCCAATTACACCACCAGCCCTAGCCAGACACTATATTACTAAAACAGGAATGATGGAGGGTAAAAAAAGACAGGTTTTAGGAAATGTTAGTAGTGAAGGGGACCATGGAAGAAATACAGGCTGCAGAGCAACAGGAGGAATATTTCCATAAAACAGGGATCTAGGCACTCACCTTTGTGGTGAAAAGAGCATCAACATCATGCCAGGCCCGGAGCTTGGCACGGGCGGCCAAGGCAGTCAGCACATACTGTTTATCTGGGATCTAGAAAGTAAAGACCAGCGTAAGAATTTAAGAGGTAGTAAGAATGTGCCAGAGGAGGTACTTGAGAATTCTGGAAAAGGTAAGCAAAAATATACCATAGTGTTGATTCTGACTCTTAAAAAATCTGTAAGTCTCTCAGGTCACCAAGAACCCCGTAGTTCCCAAGCCCCAGCACTGAGGTAGGCCATTCAGTTAGAGCCTTATCTCACTCCCTACAAACACTTTCCTTACCACCTTTAACCTTGAATATAAGACACTAACAAAGCAACATCCACTCCACATAGTTACCCTGATACCACATTTACCAAAGCACTGACCATTTCATATCTACCTTAAATGTCTTCTTCAGGTTGACCGGACTGCTGAATGTCCCCTAGGGTGAAAGTAGAGAAGGAACTGTAGTGTTACCGACTTTCCCAAATACCACCCAATCCTTTTGTACTGACTAGACTCTCTACATTTTACTCTGTAACCAATTAAACCCAGAAATTATTTTAAGAGCAAAGCTCCATCGGGTCTAATCAGGTATCATGCAACCCGGCTTAACAAGACTGGGTTAATAAATACGGTATTTTTCTCAATTTCAGGCTAATCCAAACATCCACTTGTGATCGTTAAATTTTACAAAATGTGTTCAAACATCCAGTTACCTGACACCCTGCTGCTCTTCTGTGTCAATCCATGTGCATTTACGGGCCTTTGAACAGAGCCCACTGTGGGACCAGCTCTGCTGAGACAGAACGTGCTATGCTATAGGCCAGTTCACCGGACACCACACAAGCCTCACAAACCCCTCTTCCCTCCTGGCTCACCCCGGAGGGCCAGGAAAGCCTCCAAGTGGATTTCCAAGAGCTACACGCACCCCTTGATCACAGGGTACATCAAAATACTGACTTCGAGCTACGTTCCTCTGTGCAGTGGGAGTGTGTGGGGTCTTTCCTGTGTTGCCTGTACCTCGGGCTCTGTGTAGTGGTAGAAGCAGGAGTAGAAGAGTGTCGTCACTAGAGGCATATTGAGGATGGAAGCTTTGCGGGGGTGCTTCCGGAAGATCTCAGTTTGTCCTGCTGATTCTAGATGGCGGTCATTTGCCTGTAGTGGAGAGAGCCAAGTGATAAAAAGAACTATGTCCATGCAGTAGAAGCAGAGAGAAACTTAATGCTACCCTAGGAAAGAGGCAAGGAAGAGAAAAAGAAATGGCCTAGGATAACCCACCATTTTAGCCTAAAAGGTGATAGACCCAAGCTGGATGGAGGCAGACAGAGAAGTGACAATGCAAGGGGAACTCTGGGATGAAGAGAAAATACTTCTAGGTTAATTGCAGGTGAGAAGAAAAAAGATGCTGAGGACAAAGTAGGGAAGGGGTTATGGTGGAGAGGGAGAAAACGAAAGGCCCTTAGAGACTGTAACAGGAAATGACATATGTGGGCAGAGCCCAGCTGTGTCCCAGAGGCTGATGGCACTGAGCTTTGGTGCTGAAGCGGAAAACACAGATATGAGGAGTCTAACCTCAATAATGATCTGACGTTCCAGGAGTGTGTAATGGTCTTGTATGTGTGCAGCATCTTCCACTGAAAAAGGCAAACTGATAGAGGGCCAAAGGTTAGTACCTCTTTCTCTACTCAGACAGGAAACAAACCCGATTAGACCAAATCACTATTATAACATAAGAGGCTCATGGTGTTTCATAAATCTGATCTCAATTCACCTCTGGAACATCCCCGAAAGGCAGAGAGAGAGAAAGCAGAAAATAGAGCAGAGCTTTGGCTGGGATTTTGCATTTAAAGTTTTTGCCAACTGAAGAGGTATCCTGAAAATTGACAAAATGTATGTAGCCATTAGTGATTTTGTTGAGGAATGAATTAGAACCCTCTCGCTGTGGGAATTGTAATGATTGGTGAGTCACCTGGCTAAGGAGGGAGCCCAGCCAACTGCTCAGCTACATCCCAAGGAAGCATTTTGGTCAATGTTACTGCTTAATGTCAACGTTTAACTCTCCTTTAGGTTCACTTACATTTGTGAGGTGTTGTTTTACTGTAGGGTAATAATGTAAAAGTAAATTACATGGCATGGTGGTATGTTTGTAGTCTGGTATAGACCTCAAAGATTCACACAAATGTCAAAGGTCCTATCTTCAATACTTCATTATATTTTTACACATGAAGAAGCTGAGGGACAGTGTCTTACCTAAAAGGCACATGACAAGTCATTGGGTAAGGCCAGGAACAGAAGCCAGATTTTAAACTCCCAGTTCACAGATCTGCCCTTCAGAGACTGTAGCCTTATTTTCCTACTCCACTCATTCCAGGAGGAATTCTGAAATTCATTTATACTATCCCAGATTAAGTGTGAGCCACAGCCAATTTTTAAGAGAAAAGAGATGAAAATAGGTCCCAGTTGCTTCACTACTCTACCTTTTCTCTTTGATTACCAGAGGCCATAGGACATAACTCAGTATTTGATTTGATAAGGTTAAAAGTGAAGATGGCATTGATATAAATTAATTTCTGAATGTGAAACCTGAAAATCAGATCACATGAGGAATGATGGGAACCACTGTGAACACTGAACCTGAAGAAGCAAGGTCCACTGGGCAGAATCTACACCTGCCTTAGATTCAGGAAAGCAAGATTTGGCTCAATATAGGAAGCACTTTCCAACCAGGAAGGTTATCCAACAATAAAATGAACTACTTTCAAGAGCAGCGAGTGCCCGATCACTGGAAGAGTGATGCGTGGGGCTGGTTTTCACAAGGACTTATATTCTCGGTCAAAGCCTGTACCGAATCAGTGGTTCTTGAACTTTGGGGTTTCAAGGACCAGTAACATTGAAAATAATATATAAGGTAAAGTGTTTCCCATTGTTATTGTAATACATATGGTCATAAATAATTACGACCAATTTTATTATCAAAAAGTGTATGTGTGTTTGGGAGTGGGAAGGTAGGGGGCGGGTGGTAGAGGGGGGAAAAAAATCCCAGAATAAAAAGCAGTCTTTCAATTAAATAAATGTAGCTTTCAAAAGAAAAGAAAAAAAAAAAAAAAAAACCAGAAAAAAAAAACACTTCTATATATTGTCTATTTTCCTTAATTTAGCACCAATCAATGAAAATCCTATTGGGGACTAGTATTTCAAACCATCAAGTAAGACAATTTTTAATGATGTTTGTATGAACTATTGTTAGCCTTTCCCTTCAACTATCTATCTATTCCACCCTCTATTAGTCACTGAACTCCTCTGCATATGAGTATTTATACTTAAAAACATTTTTCCTCCATACTTACCCGATGCAGGTCTTAAGAAATTCTTTCCGTTTTTCAGGGTCCTGAATGCTCAAGTGCTCTCGATAATGGGACAGCTTTAAAAAAAGCACAGAAAGGCTGTGAGCTAGTTTGTCTCCTTAGAAAGGGGAGTTAACTCCTTAAGCAGACTTTCCATGCCTAAAAACTAAATTCTTGCTCAGCAAGTGTGCTCAGTAGTTGTATCAACCTATAAACCAGGAGATCACCGTTCGATTCCAGGTCAGAGCATATGTCCGGGTTGCAGACTCGATTCCCAGTAGGGGACATGCAGGAGGCAGCCGATCGATGATTCTCTCTTATCACTGATGTTTCTCTCGCGCTCCCTCTCCCTTCCTCTCTGAAACCAACAACAAATACACACACACACACACACACACACACACACATTTTTAAAGCTAAATTCTTCATTATCAGATATTCCTTCTTGGTATGGATTGGATGTGGGGATGGAGAGGGCAAAGAGTGATTTGAAATTACTCTTTGGGCCCTGGCCAATGTGGCGCAGTTGGTTGGGCACTGTCCTGTGCTCCAAAAGGTTGCCAGTTCAATTACCAGTCAGGGCACGTGTCCAGGCTACATCCTAGATGGGGGCATGCAGGAGGCAGCTGATCCATTTCTTGCTCTCACAACCATGTTTCTCTCTCTCCCCTTCCCTTCCTCTAAAAATCAATTAAAAAAATATTTACCAAAAGTGTCACTCTTTGGTTTATCTATAATTGCAATATATAATATGGTAGTCAATAGCCAGTTTACATGTAAATTTAAGCCAATTAAAAAGTAAGAAATTTAGGTCCTTAGTTGCAATAGTCATTTTTTAAGTGCTCAACAGCTACATGTGATCTGTGGCTCCCACATCGAACAGCATAGATACAGAATATTCCCATCATTGCAGAAAGTTTTATTGGGCATGCTGATCTATAATAAAACATATTCAACTCAATCATACACTGAGTGGCCAGATTATTATGATCTCTAAATGCATAATAATCTGGCCACTTAGTATATATATATTAGAGAGGCCCGGTGCATGAATTTGTGCATGGGTGGGGTACAGCCAGCCTAGCCAGGGGGAGGGGACATGGGCAGTTGGCCAGCCTGCCTGCTGGTCGAACTCCTGGTGAGGGGACAATTTGAATATTAGCCTTTTATTATATAGGATTATATAGTATATACACTGAGTGGCCAGATTATTAAGCGTTCAGAAATCATAATAACATGGCCACTCAGTATAATAGGGTACATGCAAAAAATAATAAAGTTATAAATAAAAATGAGTTACCCAAACCACATTTATTTTCACTAATCAAACTTCAAAACAACAAACTTTATAAGAATGCCATATGAAAAAAAATTCCTTATAGTTTCAAATCTATGAAGATTAAAAATAGAAACAAAGACTTCAAAATGATTACTACAAATTGCCAATCATTTTCAGCAGATAAGATAAAGCATTTTTTTGAGACTTTATCCTGCCTTAAATATTAAGTACATGTTCCTTTTACAGAATATTATTTAAAAATATTTTCCTGAGTTATACTCTGTTGTGCAAACAGTTTAACAACATTATTAAATGTGCCAGGCAAACATGAGCACTGCTCTCACCACACATGTGCTGTACAGTGACTCAAGGAACAATGCCACAGACAGTGCTGGGAAGTTCAGCCCCACACTATAACAAACTTCAAGAAATGGCCCTATGCCAAAACCGGTTTGGTTCAGTGGATAGAGTGTCAGCCTGCAGACTGAAAGGTCTCAGGTTCGATTCTGGTCAAGGGCATGTACCTTGGATGCGGGCATATCCCCAGTAGGGGGTGTGCAAGAGGCAGCTGATCAATGTTTCTCTCACATCGATGTTTCTAACTCTCTACCTTTCTCCCTTCCTCTCTGTAAAAAATCAATAAAATATATTTTAAAAAAGAAAAGAAAAGAAATGGCCCCTAGCCATTTGACTCAGTGGATAGAGCGTCAGACTGCGGACTGAAGAGTCCCAAGTTCTATTCCAGTCAAGGGCACATGCCCAGGTTGTGGGCTCGATCCCCAGTGGGGGTGTGCAGGCGGCAGCCATTCATTTATTCTCTCTCATCATTGATGTCTCTATCTTCCTCTCCTTTTCTCTCTGAAATCAATAAAAATATATTTTAAAATGGACCACTAAAGTTTTAGGAATACAATTAAACTTTTGGTTAAATTTCAGATTTAGTCTCATATTCCAGAAGTTCCCTCTATCATGGTGAAAATCTGTCAGAAATCTATTTTAACATTCAGTCATTGAGCTCTAGCTAAAGTGTGTGCTGGGTGTGCCACCAGCTTGACCTCTCTTCCTTCTTGACATATATCTGGCTTCTTATCCCTCTTAGCTTTCAATAGTGTCTTTTCTTTTTTTTATTGATTGATTTGAGAGAGAGAGAAAGGGAAAGAAACATCAATTTTGTTGTTCTACTTATTTATGCATTCATCGGTTGATTCTTTTTTTTTTAATTTCTTTATTGATTAAGATATTACATATGTGTCCTCATCGGTTGATTCTTGCATATTCCCTGATCAGGGATTAAACCCTTAACTTTGGCATATCAGGATAATGCTCTCATCAACGGAGCTATCCAGCCAGGGCCAGCATCTTCTTTAGAATTAGAAGCCAAAATCTAAAAGCTCCTACAGGAATTGAAAACATCTAAAAAGAAACAAACAAAATTGCAAACTGATGAGCCAATTTTCATTTATTTTTTAAAATTTACAGCCCGATTTAAAAAATGTATCAAAAGAATAATCATATGGACTAAGTTTCCAGGATTCCTAGATGTCTCTCTCTCTCCTGAATATAATCAATACAAATGGAAAAGAAATATGTTCAGTCTTTTCTGGGATCCTGGTGACTGAGTTTTGGCTTAGATTTCAGTTAAATAAGACGCCAACTGAAACAAAGGCCACACTTACCGCAAGCTCTTCTGTTCTATCTAGGAACCTGGGAAGAAGCAGAAGGAACAGACCATTTTAATCTATTGACATGTGGCAGCATAACTTCACAAAATAAGACAGCTGCTCTAAAAGAACACAATTCAAACTCATTTGCCTCCATACGTAAGATAAACCCTTGTCTTCATAAACTTTCTACCACAGCAACCCTTTGAAAACATGGTGGACAAGCAATCAATATTCCCTGATCTTTCTAGCTTAGAAAAAAGCAGGGCCCTAGTAACTGTAGGGTTACCTGGGCTCATGGGAAGGTCAGAGCCTCCTTAGCCCACAGTAATGCCATGGACCCTTTGAGGAAGAGTCAAGCACTCTCCTTCTCTGCCGATTCCCAAACAGAGTTCCTACACTGTTCTCTTGTTTTCATGTACAGTGTTAAGTGTGTTTTGTCTCTCCCAAAAGATGGGAAGGCCTCAGAAACAAGGACTTTGATGTTCTGATCCCTTTGCACTATACTTAACATCATGCTTTGCCATAGAGGTGAGGCTTACTGAGGCCCTGTTGACTGGAAAGAGGGAAGGAGAGAGAACACCTTGCCTCGATCAATGTGCCTTCTGAAAACTCATGGCTAACCATCTGTATTTTGACTCTAATCAGGTTATCTGCTTTTCCCACCTTAGTCTTTGGGGCAGCTCATCACTATGCTGAAGTCACTGGAAAATGGAGTTACCTTAGGCCACACATCAACCTCAAGAGAGGTTCCAACCCCTTCTCTGACACTGAAGAAAGAACATAATATACATACATTAAGGTAAAAACTTAAAGGTAAAAAATAACCTACTGATTGAAATGAAATAGGAAAGGAAAATAGGAGAGAAGATACCCCCTTCCCAACCCACTCTCCAAGCCCTACCTCTTACCTCTCCACCAATCAGAATCCTGCCTTGTCTCATAAGCCCAACTCAATTCCTAACCACTTCAACAAGGCTATCAACAAGGCTGGACTAAAAGTTACATTTGCTGCTTCTGCTCTTCCTGTACTTCTCACTACCAACACTGTAATAAAAAGTAACTTCAGCCATGGGGCTAGTAATAAAAGATACCTTCAGGCCTGGCTGGCATTGCTCAGTGGTTATAGCAATGGCCTTTGCACCAATCAAGGGCACGTCCCTGAGTAGCAGGTCTGATCCCTGCCCCCATTTGGGATGGGTGTAGGAAGCAAACAATCAATGTGTATCTGTCACATTAATGTTTCTCTTTCTCTCTCTCTCTCTCTCTCTCTCTCTCTCTCTCTCTCTCTCTTGAATCTTTCTCCCTTCTTGCTCCCTTCCACTCTCTCTAGAATCAATACAAAAAATATCCTCACTCCTTGAGTGAGAATTTTAAAAAAAGGCACCTTCATTATAGATCTTCTATTTTTAAAATGTTTATTAAATATTAATACTGCAGACTAGGCATTATGGAAGTATTTTAAACAACACTAACTCTTCATCTTCATAATGATCCTATGGGATAGGTATCACCATCTCCATTTTACTGATGTGAAAACTGATATTTGGAAAGGCTGGGTAACTTGCTCAAGGTCATGCTATGAATTAATGGCAGAGCCAGTATTCGATGCAGGTATGTCTGACTCCAGAACCGGTTCTGAACCACCTGCTACACAGTTAGCTTAATGCAGCCTGTGGTGCTAGTTATCCCATCACATTTCAATATCTTGTCTAATAAGCATTTCCAGAACAGACAAACCGTGTCTTCTTTGTGTTCTCCAGAGGGCTTTGAACAAAATACTTAATGTACTTACTGGACCAGATGATCAGTTCTTACCTGAAAAGATCTAATAGCAGCTTTTGATCCCCTATTTCCTTAAGGAAGTGAATGAGATGTCTCAGGGCAACCTGTCGCACCTCTAGCTCTCGGAAGAGGACCTCTGATGGGCAGGAAGAAGTCAGGTGGAGAAAGATTAAAGCCTATTACTCAGTGTAAAATTGGTCTCCCTACTCACACATTACAAAATTAATTCCTCAAAGCCAATCAGGAATTCTTTTTAAGGTACCCATTCCTAAGGCTCAATCCACCATCAACCCACACCATGCTTCAGGGAAGCTTTTAGCCACTGAGTCAGCTTTCAGTTCTCACCAATCTAAACAGAGGTACTCAGCATCAACTCTGACTTTCTCAAACCAGCACAGCTGTCTGTGTGCCCAGTACATAGAGGGGTGTTGCAGTTAATGTGGCTTCCACTAACGAATGACAACTGCCCTCGGAGACGTGAGATGAACTCTGAGGTGTCAGGCCAACCCAGCTGTCTCTGCAGCAGACGTGATGCTGGTAAATTCTGGTATAAAGCCACATGCCTTTCTCCCCTCAAGTGTAGCAGACATCGTACTGACTGAAGATTTCCCTCAAACCATGCTCACCTTTGCTCAGGGTCCTCTTCAGGAATATCAGAACCTGGAGGAAAAGAGAACAAAGAGCCCGAGCTGGTTTGGCTCAGTGGATGGAGTGCTGGCCTGTGGACTGAAAGGTTTACTGGTTCAATTCCAATAAAGAGCACATGCCTGGGTTGCAGGCTTGGTCCCCAGTGGGAGGCATGCAGGAGGCAGCCAATCAATGATTCTCTCATCATTGATGTTTCTGTCTTTCTCTTCCTCTCCCTTCCTCTCCGAAATTAATAAAAATATTTTTTTTAAAGAGAAAATAAAAAATTAATTACCCAGTGCATTCTTCTAAAAACAAAGCCCCGCCCTGAGCACCAATGTCTAGGAATGAGTTCAGCAACTCAGTAGGCATCTTTGCAGACCCAGATAACACATTTCTTGATGTGATGGAAGGACAGGTGGTGGACATCTGGAACTGCACTGTGTCTTGGGAGTTCACATGCCCGAGTCTATACTAGCAGGAGATACTTCCCTGCTCTCACAGCCCTCCTCCCTCAGAATATAGTAGCCAACCTACTGCTTCTTGATTATAATCAAGAGTTCTACACACACCACATGTCCTACCATCTAGGCTTTCAAGTACTTATTGCTGAAAATCCTACACATCAAAAGGAAATCTAGGATCTTTACTTGACATTTAACCTAAAAATGTTAAAGTCTATTCTGATTGGATTTTCAGAAACTAACAAAAAACAATTAAATAACAAACAAAACCCACAACTCACGGCAGTAATGACGTTTCCATCATGCATGCTAACTGCTTCCTCTAAGAGTAGTAGCTTGTCCTGTAAGGAGCGGAATCTTTCTAGTGAACAGACCTGGATGAATAAGAAGAGAATTAGTGAGCTGGAAGAAGACTCTTCACTATATTCCTCTGTCATTGGACACTGAAGAACAGGCAAGAATAAAAGGAGATGTCTCCAAAGAAAGCCACTTTATTTTACACTGTGATGCTCAGAACAATATCGACAGTAGGTTCCCACCACACTCTCTCTAGTCAGCCTTAAGCTCTATATGTCATTTCCTGATGAAGTCTCGCCAAAGTCACCAGGTAGAGATCACTTCCTCTTTTTATAATGAGATATAAATTACATACAATAAAATCTACCCTATTTAAATGGACAATTCAGTGAGTTTTGACAAGAATAGAATTCATAGAACTATTAACACAATCAAGATACAGAATACTTCCATCAGCCCAACAAGTTCCTTGTCTACTTTAATGTCCATATCTTCCCATCCCATCCCCAGTCTATTATATATACCACCATTTATTTACATGTCTAGCTCCGGATGGATATTTGGATTTTCACTTTGGGAACTATTATTAGTAAAACTGTATGAACATTTGTGTATAAGACTTTGTATGGACATGTTTTGGTCCATACAAAACATGAATTGTAAATGACCACAAATGAAATTAAGTGTATGATTAACTTTGTAAAAAATTGCCAGACTATTTCTCAAAGCAGTTTTACTATTTTTCCTTTTGGCTGACAGTGTACAAAAGTTCCACATCCTCCCAATATTTGGTATGATCAGTATTTCAAAGTTTAGCCATTCATTCCAGCAGCTGCATAGTGGTATCACACAGTTTTAATTCACACTTTCTTGATAACTAATAATGTTGAGCACCTTTTCAAGGGCTCATTGGACATTCATATATGTTTTTTATGATATATCTGGTCAAATCTTATGCCAATTTTTATTGAATTGTTATTTTCTTATTACTGAAAATATCTCATTATTTATATATTCTGGATGAAAATCCTTTATAATATGTATATTTTACAAATATTTTCTACCAACAATAATGATATTTTAGTTTATTTGTTAATCCTCACCCACGTATATTTTTTTCCATTGATTTTTAGAGAGAATGGGAGACTGAGAGAGAGATCGACATGAGAGAGACCCCACATGCACCCAATCAACCTGCAACCTAGGTACATGCCCTTGACCAAGAATCAAACCCTCAACCCTTTGGTCTGCAGGCAGATGCTCTGAGCACTGAGCAAAACCAACCAAGGTGGTCTTTTTCATGTTTTTAAATGCACTCAAAGAACACAAGTTTTAAATTTTGATTAAGTCTACTTAATCACCTTTTTCACTTTTTGTTTTTCCTAAGTAATAAATATTTGCCTAACACAAAGTCACAAAGATTGTCACCTATATTTTCTTCTAGAAGTTCTATAGTTTTAGCCTTTACTTATAGTTAGGTCTCTGACCCATTTTAACCCATTAGTTATTATGTTAATTCTCACAAAATTAATCTATAAATTCAATACAATCTCAATAAAAATTTCAGAACTTCTTTTGTAGACATTGACAAACTGGTACTAAAATCTCTATGGAAATAAAAAGGATTTATAACAACCAAAACAATTTTGAAAGAGAAGAGCAAGGTTGAAGGACTTATATTACCAGATTTCAAGATTTACTACAAAGCTACAATAGTCAAGACTGTAATAATGGCATAGGGTAAACAAACAAAGCAATGAACTAGAATAAAGAGTCCAGAAATAGACCTACACACATATGGTCAATTCATTTTCGACAAAGGCACCAAGGTAATCCCATGGAGAAAGAATAGTATTTTAGAAAAATAGAGCTGTAAGAAATGAAGAACTCTAGGGAAAAAAACAAACACACTCCAATCCTAATCTCCCACCATATACAGAGTGGGGCAAAAGTAGGTTTACAGTTGTTCATATGGAAAATAATAATTAGTAAATAATAATACAAGAATAAACTCAGTGTTTTGCATACTCACAACTATAAACCTACTTTGGCCCCACCATATATAAAAGTTAACTCATGCCCTGGCCAATTCTGTTCAGTGGATAGAGCATTGGCTTGCAAACCAAAGGATCATACTTCAATTTTGGTGAAGAGCACCCACCTGGGATTCAGGCTTAATCCCGGCCCTGGTCAGGGCTCATATGTGTCTCTCTCAGATTGATGTTTCTCTCTCTCTCCCCCCCCTCCCTCCGTCCCTTTTACTTTCTCTAAAAATCAATGGAAAAAAAGTATTCTTGGGTGAAGATTAACAACAACAAAGTTAACTCATACTGGATCTCAGACCTAAACATAAAAGATCGTGCTCATTCAACATGGGCAGTTGGCTGGCCTGCCTGCTGGTCTAAGGGACAATTTACATATTACCCTTTTATTATATAGGATATACACTGAGTGGCCAGATTATTATGCGTTCAGAGATCATAATAATCCTACCACTCAGTGTATATTTTATTGATATTCACAGAGGAAGAGAGAAAGAGAAACATCAGTATGAGAGTAAACATCAATTGGCTGCCTCCTACACATTTGGATCCAGCCCTGACGGAGAATCAAACCATAATCTCTGACTCTCAATCACTGAGCTATGTTAGCCAGGCTAAACCGGCAAACTTTTGGTGTACAGAACAATGCCCAACCAACTCAGCCACACTGGCATGGCCACCCTTATTCTTAAAAGTACTTTTCTCTCTCTCGTCCATCACTCTTTCCCCATTACCCTATCAAAGTAACACTAAACTCTAAAGAATATCAAATTTTGCAGCTGACTTTGCATTTTAGTGAATTTATTTTCTTCCTGAAAACTGCTTCATTTAACAAATCGAATTGAAGAGAGGGGTCAAGAAATCCTCCCTATGGGAACAGTGGCCAGCCTCCCCAAAAATATCCCATAAGACTTCTTTCCCCCGTGGCCTTACCTTGCCCTTCCGAAGGCGTCGCACCGTGTCGCTGGGGCTCCAGTCATTGCTGTAATCCTGAAATATTAGCAACACATGAATCCCAAGAAGTTAAGGGATCAGAATTATCAGTGTGCCAGCTCCCCGCCTCAAACTCAGTGTTTTAGTCCCTAACAGGGACATATTTTGTGGGAGGGAATGGGAGAAAAATTAATGAACTGGGATAGTCCTGTTCTGAATTTCTGAAGGATCTAGAACAGGAACAATACAGATGGGAAGAGAGGAATCAAAGACAGAATGAACCAACTGACAAAATCAGTAACCCTATGCCTATCAATCCCTCAATGCAATCAATCCCATTTTTGAGACTCTATTAAATAATAGCTATGTCAGCGTACGGAAAGAGGGAGACATGTTCCTTTTATAGACTTTAGGATATAGTTTCTTCCTTATGAACCAATTTGCTTTTTTATGTGCTTCATGGGAGTATAAGCTTCATCAAGTTTCCAGTTCACATTGATGATCCAAAGTTTCAAAGTATAGCCTTCAAAAAGCAGCACAATGGGGAAGGAAAGGGTGCTAGGACTGAGTCAGAAAATAGATACTTTTGAGTCCAAGTTCCACCATTTACTAGCTGTGAGACCCCAGGCAAGCCCTAATGTTTAGGAGTCCAGTGTTCTTATCTATAAAGCGGGGTTAAATTAACAGATGCTCAAAAAGTTGGGAAGATCAAGCAAGATAAGGTCAAAGCATTTTAGACTATGTACAGTGTCAACCCAGTGTAAGGTATTACTCACCCTAAATTCCCCCTTAGGTCTCCCCAGCTCTGGAGCATAGCTTTTGGCAGGTGTGTCAGTAAGAGCTGAAAGAGAACAGGCAGCTGTTTTAGAGAGACACCACCTTCTTGTCATTCCTTTCCTCAATGCTTCCTTCTTGACTTGCAGGGTCCCAAGGTATATTTTAGGGCCCAAAGTAATTTTTGGTTCCTCTCCAGAGCCAGTATCCCTAGAAGTCACCCATTCCCCTGTAACTAGAATCTACCTCTTACTCAGAATGAGAAAAATTCTCTAATAATGATGACTCTGAATAAATTTTATCAAATCGTCTAATTACCACTTTTCTCCATGACTCCCTAGACTATACCCCAGTTCAGTAACATCTCCCAAAGTAATCAAGAAAAGAGGGTCAATGCCTACCGTCAGAAAGGGACTGGAAACTTCCAAGTCTAGTTCTCCCTAAAGATAAAGAACACATGAGGAAGAGGTGAACAGTTAAGTCAGACCCACTCTCACTTGGTTAAGGATGTGGTGTGTATAAAACCTTAGTATGTATTATGGGAACTTAAGATTAAAAAAAACTTTATTCAATTTCAGAACTTTAAGATAACATGGAGGGAAAAGGCAAGGAGGAAAAAATTTTTAATTACAAGAAAAACTGAAGCTCTGTACCCACTAAGCAATAATTTCCTGTTCCCCTCACCCCTGCCCCTGGTAACCACTACATATTCTACTTTCTGTTTCTATGAATCTGACTAGTCTATATAAGTGGACTTATACACTGTTTATCTTTTTGTGTCTGGCTTATTTTACTTAGCATAAAGTTCTCAAGGTTCATCCATGTTGTACTATGTACCAGAATTCTGTTCCTTTTTGGCTGAATAATATTCCATTGCATGTACATTTGCTTATCCATTCATGAGTCAATGGACATTTGGGTTATTTCTACTTTTGGCTATTCCGAATATTGCTGCTATGAACATTGGTGAATAAATATTTGTTCATGTTCCTGCTTTCAATTTTTGGGTATATGACTAAAAATGGATTTCTTAATCATACGGTTACTGTGTTTAACTTTAAAAATTTTTAGGAACCGCATATTGTCTCTCACAGTGGCTACACATTCTACATTCCCACCAGCAGTGCACCAAGGTTCCCAACAGCAATGCACAGGGGTGGGGAGAAATTTTGACCTAGGCAAATTTCTTCAGTACCTGTCAAAGGGTTAATGCCAATTTTGTTCACATTTTAGAAACCCGGACCAACCCCTCTGAATTTCTCTCATTTCTCCCATTCTTGATCCCCAACTGCCAGCTCCAAAGATAATTCTTTTCCTTCAATAATCTCCTCCCACAGGAAATAAATAGTATAACCCGAGTATTTTGTTGTTGTTGTTTTTAATCCTCAACTGAGGATATTTTTCCATTGGTTTCTTTATGGAGAAGAGAAGAGGGAAAAACAAGAGAGAGAAACATCAATGTGAGAGAAACACAATTGGTCGCCTCCCGCACGAGCCCTGACCAGGACCCAGGCCAGGGAGGAGCCTGCAACCAAGGTGTGTGCCCTTGACCGACATCGAACCTGGGACCCTTTGATCTGGAGGCTGACACTCTAGCCACTGAGCCAAACCAGCTAGGGCCTGAGCATTTTTTTTGAAAAAATAAAAGACGATTCCCGGTGGCTTTAACCCCCACTTTTTTACCTCTAAAAAAGCTGCTCAGGGAATAGGAAGAAGGAGGTTTGGGTAGCTGTGCATAGGAGAAGCTGTTTCGGCTCTTTAGCTGTTCACGCCCCTCATGGTTTGACCCACTGCTACCAGCAGTCTCTTTGATGGACCATGAGATACCTGTGAGATAGTAAGAACTAAATCAGTCATTCTCATCCAAATAAATCCTAGATAACAAGCATTCCAACAAACTCTAAAAGCTTTTCACCAGAGGCTCTGGTCCTTTGGCTGACATGAACTCCAAAAATCAAGGCAGGGGGAAAGAATACAATCAAATACACTAATCAACAGAAAAATGGGCAAAGGAAATAAATAGATGGATCACAGAAAAAAACATTCAAGTGGCTATTAAATACATGAAAAGATGCTCAACCTTACTTTTAATAAGATAATTACATACATGAAAAGTACACTTAAGCAACACTGGTCCCTTTTAGGATTAGCAAAGATCCCAAGGTTTAATAATACCCTGTGTCGGCAAGGCTGTGGGGAAACAGGAACCCCTGACAGTGCATTGCTGGTGGGAGTACAAATTGATGCAACCCACATGGAGGGCAATTTGGCAATATCTATCCAATACAGATGCAATTGCCCTCTGCAATGATCACTCTAGGACTTGATCATTCATAATCACCTCTGAGCAGAATACAAGGTTACTGATAGCAAAATAAACAACACAAGTCTGGAAGCAATATAAAGTTCATCATTAGTGAGCTGATCAAATAAATTACAGAAAATGCATATAGCCAGGACTGGTTTGGCTCAATGGATAAAGCGTCGGCTTGGAGACTGAAAGGTCCCGGGTTCGATTCCGGTCAAAGGCATGTATAATACCCTGGTTGCGGGCATATCCCCAGTAGGGGGTGTGCAAGAGGCAGCTGATCGATGACTCTCTCTCATCGGTGTTTCTAACTCTCTATCTCTCTCCCTTCCTCTCTGTACAAAATCAATAAAATATATTTTTTTTAAAAATGCATATATTGTAATACCATACTGCTATTTAAAAAAAACAGAGAATGAGAGAGCTCTTTATGTACTGATATGAAAAAATTTCTAAGCGATAGTATTAAGTGAAAAGTGCAGGGTATAAAGTATGCTATCACTTGTATAAAAAAGGGGTAAGTATATTCTTATATGTATCTCCAAATGTAAAAAGAATCTTTTGATGCATACACAGGAAGCAAACAATGACAATAATTTCTTGGAAGGACAGGAACTAAGAACTGAGTAGATACATGACAGTGTGGGAGGGAAACCTTTGACTGTATGCCTTCAATACTTTTTTTATTTTTAAATCACATGAGATTATTTGCTATTAAGAAAAAAAATGCTTTACTATCCTTAAAAATCTGATAGACTGCAAAAGTATTAAGTGGTATTATATAAAGACTAGGCAGCGAGACTTGGTGGCTAAGAAAGTCAGTTTTGCCAATAGTTATGAGCATGTAAGTCAGTAGTTCTCATACTAGAAGTATCCGCAGTGCTTTTTATACAATGAGACCCCCTCCACCCTATCCTTATCACCTACTGAATCAGTGTCTCTGGAGTGACCCTAGGAACCTAATTTTAATAAGCACCCAAATGAATCTTAAAAAGCCAGGTAGGTATTGGCCCTAGGACAGCAGACCTAGCCATATGGGAAATACTGCTGTATTTCTCCAAGGATCTTCTCCTGGGGTTACATTTCCAGGTGTCTGCATCTGAAAATAGCTACCCTCATTCCCTTTCCTGACAAGCATTGAACAGACAAACAAGTGGGCCTTCATTGGTGACAAGAACCCTGAATGTCACTCCCCTTACAGGGCCTTTTCTACTTACTTCCCACAGGTTCCCCAGTCCAGCTGACTCTTTCCAGGTCGTCATCATCGTCATCATCCACGAAGTCTCGAAGGCTATTCACTGCCCGCTTGGATTCCTTTAACTGCAGAGGGACATCAGGAGGGACACTCAGGCCATTAGCAATGCATACCCTTCTCTTCGAAAAACAAGAAGGCTGAGGAATTGGAATTTGAAGATGGCTAACACTTGCACCTTCTGTAACAGAAAGTCTATTCTGCTAAATATTTGCCAAGAAAACAAATTGCTTTTTAGCCGAAACCAGTTTGGCTCAGTGGATAGAGCATCGGCCTGTGGACTGAAAGGTCCCAGGTTCGATTCCGGTCAAGGGCAAGTACCTTCGCTGCGGGCACATCCCCAGTAGGGGTGTGCAGGAAGCAGCTGATCGATGACTCTCTCTCATCGATGTTTCTAACTCTCTATCCCTCTCTCTTCCTGCCTGTGAAAAAATCAATAAAATATATATATTTTTAAAAATTGCTTTTTAGCCAACACTGCAGTCCCATTGCAAAGGAGTTGAGAGGGCTCAGAGCCACCTTTGGGTTCTCATCATATTTCTGGCAATGCCTTGCTGTGTTTACCTGAGTGAGTTTACCCACTCTCTCAGTTGTTAGAAGAGATATGTTCTCACATTTATAAAACAGTCACAATAAACAGACAAAATCTCCAACCAGTTCATTTTTCAAATAGAATAAATTATATCACATGATAAAAGACTTGGGATTCTTAAAAATAAAACAAAACAGAAAGAAATGAATCAACTTAAGAATATAAAGTAAGCCCTAACCGGGTTGGCTCAGTGGATAGAGCATCAGCCTGTGGACTGAAAGATCCCAGGTTCAATTCCAGTCAAGGGAATGTACCTTGACTGTAGCCACATCCACAGTAGGGAGTGTGCAGGAGGCAGCTGATTGATGTTTCTCTCTCATAGATGTTTCCCTCTCCCCTCCTCTCTGTAAAAAATAAAATATATTTTTAAAAAATAGAATATAAAGTAAAAAGGGCAGAGTTGGTTTTTATAATCCTTCTGTTTCTGAGGTCTCTTTTCCACGAACATTTTCCTAAAGATTTGACCCAAAAGATTTCTAAGCCTAATGGAAACCTGGTGAAAAGTCAGGTTACCAAGCACACAAAGGGAAGGAATGTTAGAGGCACTGAAGGGAAGAGTGCGACCTTCAGCAACTGTTCATGGAAACCTACCTGAGAGAGCTCATCATCTTCATCGTCAAAGGTGAAAGCCTTGAACTTGGAGCTATTCCAATATTCCTCCTCATCAACCTTTGTCCGATTCATCTGGAGTGAGAGGAAGACCAATGTACAATATGTCCTTTTCTAGATTCCCTACGCCCCCCCCCCAAAAAAAAAAAAAAAAACTACAAACTTCCCACAGTAATCAGAGATGTATAAAAGAATCTGATAAAGCAAATGCTGAACCTTCCATGTAAAATCAGATTCTGGAGTAACCAAATGATCAAACAATACTTTTGATCCTCTAATTACCAACAAGTAGTCATTCATTCCTACAACATCTACTTTGTTCAAGGCACTCTCTCAGGAATTGTAAGGAATATTTTAAAAGTGCAAGACACAGTTCCTCTCCTGAAGGACCCACTAACAAGCTAGAGTATTCAGCACAGGTATTTAGAGAGGTAACAGTGCAAGGCAGGCAAGTGTTTTAAGAATGCATTGCCACCCAGTCACTGTGGCTCAGCGGTTGAGTGTTGACCCAAGAAACAGGAGGTCACAGTTAAGAGTTCCAGTCAGGGCTCATGTCTGGGGTTGCAGGCTCAAATCAAAGCACAAACAAGCAGACCATTACTGCATTCATGTGTTCAGAGAGAGAGAGAGAGCTCTGAGGCTCTGGAAATACTACAATGAATAAAACTGACAAACATCTTGCTCCCATGTATGCTTGTTAAATGCCTGAAAGAATAAAAGCAATTTAAAAAGCATAACTATACTTCCTATATCTTCAAATCTTCATTAACTTATTAACAAGTACCTGCCCAAACTTGGGAAGTGAGGGCATAGCAAAAAAAATATGTTTATATACATACACACACACACACACACACACAAGCACGCACACACATACATATACATACATATGTTTGTGTGTGTGTGTGTATATGTATATAAACATATTTATTTATTATAGTATACACACATATTTGGTCAAAAGACCACAAATCCCTCTCTCATCTACTCTAAAATTAGATTCTGGTCTGAAAAATATTTGCCCTAGAATTACAAACTAAGTCATCAATGCTACCTGGATAGAGTGAAAACTGGTTTAAACCTAGAACTAAGTCCAAAATTTCCACAGCATCAAAAATAACTCCAAAGGCTCCATAGTGTCAAATTCTCAAGGATCAATGTGCTCTTCCTTTCATTACAAGCACCTTTCTCAAGAGAAGCTTCAGAAATGCTCATCTTGGCAGCCCTGTTGTGGTTTCTGGTGACCCTTACCGTATCCTACTTTCCCTTTCTGTGTTTTCAGGGGTATAGGGATGGCAAAGGGATGGTTGACAATTTTCTACCACCTGATCCCTTCCTATTCTACTGACCCCAGATGTAGCTTAAAAATTTTTTTTCTTTTTCTTTTTGGTAAATATATTTTTATCGATTTCAGAGAGGATGGAAGAGGGAGAGAAATAGAAACATTAATGATGAGAGAGAATCATTGATTGGCTTCCTCGTGCACATCCCCTACTGGGGATCGAGCTGCAACCCAAGCATGTGCCCTTGACTGGAATCAAACCCAGGATCCTTCAATCCATATGCCAATGCTCTATCCAATGAGCCAAACAGCCTAGAGCACTTAAAAATTCTTTTGTATTCTTAATTCCAGGGAATCAAAACCAAATTAAAAAACTGGCAAACAATGAAATCATCCCTCATTAGTGATACAAGCACAGGTTTTGTAGTTAGGTAGCCTTGAGTTCAAATCTTGATTTCTCCAATTCTCAGCAAACTGAGTAATAATTTTCCTCTTTAGAGAAAATCATACCCTACCTACACAGGGTTGCAGTGTAGAATACAATGAGTGGCCAGATTATTATGATTTCTGAACGCATAATAATCTGGCTACTCAGTATATATTTTATATAATAAAAGGCTAATATGCAAATTGTCCCCTCAACCAGGAGTTCTACCAGCAGGCAAGCCGGCGAAACACCCATGTCCCCTCCCCCTGGCCAGGCTGGCCAGATCCCACCCATGCAAGAATTCACACACCAGGCTTCTAAAATATTATACACACACACACACACACACACACACACACACACGCACACAAACTGAATGGCCAGATTATTATGTGTACAGAGATCATAATAATCTGGCCACTCAGTGTATAGAGGACTCAGGAAACACCTAACAAAGTGCCTACCAGAAAGTAAACATTAAACATTAGTTCCTTTTAGTATAGGATCTCTTACTGACATCGTCCTACCTCAGTTTCCTCATCTGTAAAATGGACATTAATAATAGAAATCTACTTTATAGGATTGTTGTGTGGCTTAAACCATTTAATACATGCCTGACACAAAATTAATGCTCAGTATTCATTTATTTTTTTTTAATTTTTTTATATATTTATTTATTTATTTACTTATATATTTATTTTTAGAGAAAGAGGGGGAGAGAAAGATCCATTTGTTATTCTACTTATTTATGCAGTCATTGATTGATTCTTATATGTGCGCTGACCAGAGATTGAACCAGCAACTTTGGTGTATCCGGCCAATGCTCTAACCCAGTGGTCGGCAAACTCATTAGTCAACAGAGCCAAATACAACGATTGAAATTTCTTTTGAGAGCCAAATTTTTTAAACTTAAACTTCTTCTAACTCCACTTCTTCAAAATAGACTCGCCCAGACTGTGGTATTTTGTGGAAGAGCCACACTCAAGGGGCCAAAGAGCCACATGTGGCTCACAAGCCAGTTTGCCAACCACGGCTCTAACCAACTGACCTATCCAGTCAGGGTCCTTAACTTTTATTATTACTAAAGCATTATGATACGTTGGAAGAAGGTAGAAAGAACATATTTTTAAGTAATCCTAAAGACTTTTTTTAAAAATAATGATATAAAAAATCCTTAGTGGCCATCGCAAACACTGAAGGTATGCATAAGAGCATATACTGTAAATGTCTCTGGCACAGGTGCCAATTTACAAAGTACTCACTTTGTTATCTTTAGAACAATCCTGTAAGGTAGGCCTGGCAGATTTTTTTCCCATTTCATTGTTGAGGGAAATGAGGCACAAAAGGATTAGATATGAAAGCCACCTTGCCAATTGCTCCTATGATCCTGGTTTGCTGCCTCCTGGATCATTTCCATGCTGACTTGCATGGTCCTTCTATTTTTCACTGTAGGAAAAACTAGGGCAGGTTATCTTTCACTATAGTAAATAAATATATGTAAATATCTACAGAGAATATGATTTTATTGATTTTAATAAGAGAGGAAGGGTGGAGAGAAACATTGATGTGAAAAACATTAATCTGTTGCTTCCTGTACACGCCCTCCACTGGGATCAAACTGCAACCTAGGTATATGCCCTGATGGAAATCGAACCCAAAACTTCTTGGTATACTCAACCACTAGAACCAACTGAGCCACTGGCCAGGCCTGGAATTTCTTAACCACACATTTTAGACTTGGACAGATACTTGACATCAATTTATCTATTGCAAATCAGAACCTAGATTTACTTGGCAAGCAAAGGGGTAAATATTTAATGGCTCAAGAACTTATAAAGCAAGCAGGTACAATTTTAAGAGTGAAAAGGGTGTCTTAACATCGTTTAAAATACTTCAGAGGTCCAGCCAGTGTGGCTCAATGGTTGAGCATTGACCTATGAACCAGGTGGTCACAGTTTGATTCTGGGTCAGGGCACATACTCCTGTTGCAGGCTGAACCCCAGTAGGAGGCGTGCAGAAGGCAGCGGATCAATGATTCTTTTCTTATTGATGTTTCTAATTCTATCTTCCTCTCCCTTCATCTCTGAAACCAATTAAAATATATATTTTAAAAATACTTCAGAGACTTGTCCTTATGGTAGATCACCTTATTTAATAAAAGCCCACAAGGGGAGAATAAGAACATGACCAAGAAAGATGGGGGTGAGGGGATCAAAACCTGGAAACCAGACCCTGGCTGAGCAGCTCAGTTGGTTGAAGTGTGGTCCCTAGGTTGATGGTTGGATCCCTGGTCAGGGCATATACAAAAATCAAACAACAAATGCATAAATAACTGGAACAGCAAATAGATATTTCTTTCTTTCTCTCTCTCTCCAATTAAAAATAAATAAATCCATAACCAGCAAGTTTCCCTGCCTCAGGACATCCCAGAAGCCAGCTACTGAGTATATTCTGATTCAGTTATCCTCCGCCAAGCCAGGCCTTCAGGGATGAGGCTATGAACTGAGACCAGAGAATGTGAGTTACATTAGTGACAAACGTCCAAGACGTCAAGTATCTCCCGCAGTTGCCACAGCCCGGCGGATCCTTGGTTGACTAAACACTCGTTTAAAACAAACGTCGGAGCTGAGTCCCAGCTCCAACCCTGAGCGTATTCTGGTCTCCCAGCCTGGGGTATTCCGACGGAAAGTCAGGCCTGGGGGTGTCTAGCGACGCCTCAAAGAACAGGGGGAAAGAACACGGTGCGAAGAGGCTGGACTCAGCCAGATCCGCGGCTCAAGGGGTTTGGGACACCCTCACCTCTTCCACACCGAGCCCTCCCAATCAGGACAGCGCCAGGCTCTTCGGCTGCTAGACAAGCCTCCCTAGACTGGCTGTGCGGCATAGCATAGGGGCGGAAGAAGACAGTCCCGGAGGGGCGGCCGGAGGGCATCTGCGGCAAGAAAGGCGGCGCAGGGCATGCTGGAAGTTGTAGTTTCTTCCCGCTCTGGCGTCAGGCGCTGCACGCAGGACCACGGGCCTTATTCACTACAACTCCCAGAATCCCCAGAGCACGGTGCTTATGTCGTTTCCTTCGCTTCTAGCGCGACCTTCCGTGGCTACCCAGCGGGTCACTTAGCGAGACTACAACTCCCAGGAGGCTCAGCAGAGCCCACTCGGGTCCAGGAACACTAGGAGACGTGTCCTTTGTGTCCCTCCGGATTAAGGGCGGTGGCGTTTCGGGCCCCTTTGATAACCTACGGCAGCCTGCAAGAACCGTAGGACTGGCGGAAGCCAAGTCCGGCGAGGGGGAACGGAAGTCCCGGGTGGGATTGAGGAGGAGCCGGAAGTTAAGGCGGGGAGGGGGTGGGGGGTGGAGGGAAAAGCAAGCCAGAAGGTTCTGCGGCCGCTTCTAGTAGTTTCTAGGCGCTGCCGGGTGCTTGGACCAGGCGGTATTGGAAGTGGTTGCCGGGGCTGCTCGGAACCAGGCGGTACGGAGGTGGTTGCTGGGGCTGCTCGGGACCTGGTGACGGCGCGATCGGAAAGCCGATGGCCAAGTGGGGCGAGGGTGACCCACGCTGGATCGTGGAGGAGCGGGCGGACGCCACCAACGTCAACAACTGGCACTGGTGAGGGCTAGCGGGCCAGGCCGCCGGGGCGCTGCGCCGCGCCGGGCTGCGGGGTCCCCGGGGCCTCGGCCGGGACAAAGCGGGGGCCGAGGCAGCCCTGCCCGGGAGGGAGGTGGGTTCTTCTCGATGCTGTGGTCCTAGCCCCCCAGGACTCCCCCGGCTGCCCTTTCGGTGTCTAGGAGGCGAGGAGCAGCGTGGAGGGGTGTCCCCAGAGGAGGAGTTGCAGAGAGGTGGACACATAACCTCTCCGGCTCCTGCTTGCAGCCCGAGCTCAGAGGTGGTCCCCACACGTGGTCAGAGGAGACCGTGCGGCCCAAACGGCGGGCGCGGATCGCGTGGGGAGATCGCTGTGTGAGGCTGGAGGGGGGGAGGGGGAGCTCGGATTCCTGTTTCGCGGCTTAGGGGTGAAATAAAAAGTCCTGGCAACCCCCGCCTCTGTGCAGAGAGCGGTTGGAAGCGTGCTCTCCAGGTGCCCAGAGCTCAGGATGGTGAGGACGCCTTGGCCTCACCCGGAACTGGTTGGTCGCTTGTGTGGTAACTCCAGGGGCTGCCCCCAGGTTGCCGGGCAAGCATGGTTTTATAACCTAACCACTTTTCAAAACGCCTCCTCCCCTCCATGAAAGCTTCCAGAAGTCGTTTTCTTATCTTTCGACTTCACTGAACTTGGTTCATACTGTCTTCACTGTTTTTTTTGTTTCGTTTTGTTTTTACTTTGTTGCAGCTTTTTTTGCTGCTGCTGTTCTCTGCTAGTTTAGTAAGTTGCCAGACAGACAGTCCTTTTTCTTCTCCTTATCTCAGCCCGGCCCCCTCTCCCGTTAAGGTACACGGAGTGTTTGGCCTAATTTTCGCGTGTTTTGAAGCTCTGGGCTCCCATTGTTCCCACGGCCATCTAGAGGGCACACAATGTGGAGGGTGTGCATGACACAGCCTGACCCTGACAGGTCAGAACACTGTGCTAATTGGGTCAAGATTATTGGTTTATTCCTCCCTGGACTTCTTATGCCTTCTGTGGCTGCCTCTGTGCTGCTTGCTTTCAGTGAGATGCGCACAGATTTCCACCCGGGCACATGGCACTGTGCACCGTGGGAAGGTATCCTGTCAAATACCGAGGCCAGAACCATTGTGCGAATCTAGTTTGTAACCGTTCTGTACAGCCGGTGTCCCCGTTGACAGGATGGGACTCCTCGTCTTCCTAAAAGAGAGGGACACGTCTGTGGACATAGCGGAATGGGACTGAGGAGTTTCTATTTTCACACCGTTTGTCAGGCCTCCGTTAGCCTGCCGTTTCCTTGATGAGAGCAAGCAGAGCACTCTGCACTTGGCTGCTGGTCCATAGCCATGTTTCTGTTTTGCAGGACAGAGAGGGATGCTTCAAATTGGTCCACCGATAAGCTGAAAACACTGTTCCTGGCCGTGCGGGTGCAAAATGAGGAAGGCAAGTGTGAGGTGACAGAAGTGAACAAACTTGATGGAGAGGCGTCCATTAACAACCGCAAAGGCAAACTTATCTTCTTTTATGAGTGGAATATCAAACTGAACTGGACAGGTGAGTCTGTGGGCTGAATTGGCTGATCGGCTAGGGAGCCAGGCGGAGCAGTTTTAAGAGGTCGTGGACTTTCCAAGGGAGGTGTGCTGCTTTGGTGACCCATAGAAAGCGGTGTTAGATGCTGGGACACTAAGTGGGTTTCCTCACTGGGAGTCTCAGGGTCTCCACAGGGAAGCCGCTGTGCACCTGTATTTTGGGGGCTTGGTCTGGAGCTACTTCTGTCACTTGGATGATAGAATAGTGGGGAGAGGGATTTTTCTTTGGTCTTGTTCTTATTAATTGCCTTCACTGTGGTTTTGGCAGGTTAAACTGTGCTGACAAAGCTCACGTGTGACTAATTTGGGGCAGCTTTATCCTCTAGATTCGTGGTGGGCAAACTGCAGCTCGCGAGCCAAATGCGGCTCTTTGGCTCCTTGAGTGTGGCTCTTCCACAAAATACCACGGCCTGGGCGAATCTATTTTGAAGAAGTGGCGTTAGAAGAAGTTTAAGTTTAAAAAAATTGGCTCTCAAAAGAAATTTAAATCGTTGTACTGTTGATATTTGGCTCTGTTGACTAATGAGTTTGCTCACCACGGCTCTAGTGTCCCTTCTGTGATATTAGCAAAGAATTGGGACCAGCATATGCCCTACTAGAAGGTTCTTCAGTTGGGAGGCTGAATTTTAAAAAGCCCTAAAGCTAAAGAATTATGTGTAGGAGGCAAGTCATAAATTTGTGCTTCAGTAAATATTTCTCAAATAAGTGATAATAAAGAAGGTAGAAATAGATATATCAGGTCTGGGTTTTTTTTTGTTTAACTACTAAAGCATAGTGGTCTAAAAGGAACCTTGAGTATCATCTTGACCCATCCTCTATTCATAGATTGAGAAACAGGCCGAGTGAAGTGAAAGTAATTAAATGTTTTGTTGATTAATTTTGAAATACAGTCAGTTCTGCTATAATGTATCCCTAAAAGTCACTGCACTATATTAAGTTGCTCAATGAGAACCACAGGGCTAATTGAGAAGAGCGGATTAGGCATACAACATGCAAAAATGTCATCATTGACTTGTTTTTTAAAATTTAAGAACGAGCCTTGCCCAGTGTTTGCTAAGTGTTTAGAGCATTGGCCCAGGCAACTGAAGGGTTCTGGGTTCAATTCCCAATCAAGGGCACATACCTAGGTTGCAGGTTCAATCCAGGGCCCGCTTGGGGTACTTGTGTGAGACAGCCAATCAATTTGCCTCTCTCGCATCAATGCCTCTCTCCTTCTCTCCTTCCTCCTTCCCTTCCACTCTCTCTAAAAATCAATGGGAACATATCCTTCGGGTGAGGATTAACAAAAAGGAATTTTAGGAATGCAAATGTGGATAACACAGTTTTAAACATGTTAAATTATAAGAAACACATAAATAATAAAATAAATATGTGCTTTATTTGAAAAAGACCTGAAGCTTATTGTGAAAATGGGCCACAGAAGAGTTGTGGCTTGGGCATTATTGTGAAGTGGTGGGAGGAGGGTCATCTGAAATCAGAGGGAACCTGATAACACCAGTTGTGAATGGCGTGGCTTATAACAGGCATAGTGCACTGAAGTCACTAGCAAGGAAATGTTTGAGATGTGTTTTATGTGTTCCTGTGCTGCTCAATTAAGTGAGTGGTGTGTTTTTTTTATGTTCACCAGTGTTTATCATAGAGGGAATCACACATGAGCAAATGTGAAGTTCACATTATGATCAAATGTCCCCTAATGTATCAATCACATTGGGACAGATTTGTATTTTCTAACTAAGCATTCTAGCAGAACTGATTGTACTGGCTATTGACTCCAGTCCTCCCTGGCAGAATTTGGCAGTTCTTGGTCCCACATGGTAATAACACACAAGTGCAAGAAATCTGACGAGGAAAGACATTTCTGCTGGGGGAAAGTCAGTTGCATCTGGTGTGTCGCATTTTTCTCAGAGTAAAGAGGGTCAGTTCAATTGTCCAAAAGAAGTGCAAGCAGGGTTGTAGATAGGACTCCAGAGCAGATGACTTTCCTTGCAGGGGAGGAGATAAGTGACATTGTATTGCTTTTGACAGGTACCTCTAAGTCTGGAGTGCAGTACAAAGGACATGTGGAGATCCCCAATTTGTCTGATGAAAACAGCGTGGATGAAGTAGAGGTTTGTGCTTTCTAATTCCTCATCTGAGTCTTCCACGTCCTCTTATTCTCAGAGGAGAATAATGAGCTGTCACTCAAAAGTAAAGGCCAGCGGGGTCCGCGCATTCAGAACCCATTGGGATGTCTTTCTAGGCAGCCTCCAGAGCAGCTTGTGCTTCTTTAGCTACTTTACTTTGAGCTGGTGATTTGGGTTCTAACATTGTCCACCTTTGCCTTGGCAGAGAACTTGAGAAGGGACACTCATGGGGATTGTACGAATACCCCATCCCTTACCCGTTTCCTTTGGAAACGTCAGTTATCTAATTTCTCAGCACCCACATTCCTCAGCGTAGGTACCCCTCAAGTGATTTACCACCTACTTCTCATCTTTCACTCAGATTAGTGTGAGCCTTGCCAAAGATGAGCCTGACACAAATCTCGTGGCCTTAATGAAAGAAGAAGGGGTGAAACTTCTCAGAGAAGCAATGGGAATTTACATCAGCACCCTCAAAACAGGTATCCCTTGAGTAGTTATGTATGCCTTGAGGTAGTTTTCCACCTGTCAGACTCATTAAGGGGCTTGACAGTCTTTTCTTTGGCAAATGGGTAAAGATTTGGGGGGAGGGGCCTTATTTCATCTTGAAGTCAATCTATACACTCAGGAAGGGAAGATCTAGAGATGCATTGTCTAATATGCTGGCTGTTGAGCAATTGAAATTGACTAGTTCAAATAGAGAGTACTTTGAGTATAAAATACAGTGGGTTGAAGACTTAGTACAAAAAGAAGAATGTAAAATATCAATTTTTTTTACAATGATAATATATTGAAGTGATAGTTTGGGTACATTGGGTTCAATATATTTTAAAATTAATTTTCCTGTTTAAGTTGTTTATGTGGCTGCTAGAAAGTTTTAAATTACATCGGAGGCTGGCATTACACTTCTCTTGGACAAGGCTGGGGTACAGACTTGCATCCCCAGCCTCACTGCTGGAGCACAGTCCTTGAGCATTTCTGATATGCATTTTCCAGGGACATTTAGGGGTGACTAGAATACTAATCAGCTCAGCCTAGAATTCCAGCTCTGCCAGAACGTTTTTATCCTTGTGGAGTACATGTAATGACCATTAGAGGGAACCAGCCTAGAAGGTGGGGACCTGTACTTTGATGCCAGTAGTTGTAGCTGTTCTACTTACACAGAGTGGATAAAGGGTACTAAACACGCATCCTTAGGTATCTTCCCCCACTCTGGAAGTCATTGGAAGTGCAACGACATTCATTGGCTACCCTCCGTAATAGACTTCACGTACATTTAACAAGTTATAATGCTTCCAATTGAGTCAGGTTTAAAATAATTCCAGTGAACATACTACATTATATAACATATACTCAAGATACCTGCCTGGCCTAGACCAGAGGTAAAAACATAAAGTAGATAGACCTGTTCCTCGTCTTTAGCTCATTCTGGATTGAGATGGCCATATTTGTTAAGCTGCTTGAAACCCCAAATCACAACTAAGAAGTAACTTCGCAGAGCGGGGATTTTTATCTTTGCAGAGTTCACGCAGGGCATGATCTTGCCTACGCTGAATGGAGAGTCAGTAGCCCCAGCTGGTCAGCCAGCACCGAAAACTGAGGAGCGCAAGGTAAATGGTCTTCCAGCGTGGCAGGGAGGCTGTCTGCAAAGGGTGTTCGGACACTGCCTCCTCCTTAACGCCACACTTCAGCTTCTCTCTGGCTAACCTGAGCCAGAGCAGCTCGTGGTGCTTTTCTCGTTTATTTTTAACTATTGCTAGAGCAAATGTAAGTTGACCCTTGGTTGCATTTAACATCAGTCATGTTGTGGATACAGTATGTTCTTCACCCACATATGTCTTCAGTATTTTTGCTAACTGGGGTGTTAATATCTCACAGTTTGATAGTTGAGGTCTCATCAATGTATTGGGTTAGGCCACTAACTTCACTTATCAGGAAATTGATTGATTTCACCGCATTGGCAGGGTGAGCAAATATATTTTCTGGAACTTGTGTAATTCAGGCTCAGCACTCAGTTTTCAGCCCTCTTACCCTTTGTCAGCACAGTGGAGGATGTTTTGGAGATGGGGCGGGGTTGGAGGTACTTAAATAGTTTTGAGCTATTTAAGCATAGAATTTCTGTTTGAGAATTACAATGTGTTCTTCAGAAATACCTAATGATTTAACATGATGGGTTTTTAAAACAGTAGTGGTCTCCCCTCACCTAAAGTGGTTGTTTTCAATGGGAATTAAGGATTTTTTGGAAAAGTTCCTCTTGTGACTGAAACACCCATCAAGTTCTCTCCAGCCCCCTGGGACAATTAGCCTTGGAGGTGAAAACATTTGTGAGAATAAGTGCAGGTTTGTCCCGGAAGCCATGTTAATTGAGGTTTCACCATTACTCTAACAGCTTTCACTGTGACTTTCACAGGCTAAAGCTGCTCCTTCTTCAAAAACCCAGTCCACACCTGTTGGTGTCAAAATCCCCACTTGTAAGATCACCCTTCGAGACACCTTCCTGACATCCCCAGAGGAGCTCTACAGGGTGCTTACCACCCAAGAGGTAAACGTAACCTGTCCTTCGGCCTCATGGCACCTGCCGGGCCAGGTGACTTGGGTTGTGGGCGCATCCCCATCAAGCAGAGGAAGAGCTAGTGAGGAGAGCCTGGGGGCTTTCTTCTTCCAAGCAAAGGCACAGGAAAACCCACTTTTGTTCAGCCTACTCCTCAAAGTGTATTTGCCCTCTTTGTTCTCATATGCATTAGTTTGGGGTCCTCTAAATGGAAACCACTGGGAATCATTCTTTTTAGACAGTGGAACTGAAGTAATGTTGTCATGGGTTCCCACTCACTCAAGTCAAAGCCTGGTCTGCAGTGGAATAGAATAGAACCTGGAACGGTCATTGGGCAAAGTGGTGTCTTTGGAATGAGAGTTGAGGCATGCGGGTGTCAGTTGCCATTTGTCCCTGGATCCCACTGAAAGCCAGATATCTTCTCCCTACTGTTTTTCCTACAGCTGGTTCAGGCCTTTACCCATGCTCCTGCGACGCTAGAAGCAGACAAAGGTGGGAAGTTTCACCTGGTAGATGGCAACGTCACTGGGGAATTCACTGATCTGGTGAGTGCCTCCTGGCCCAGGCCTGGGATGCAGCCTCTGTCTGGTCAGAAGAATATCATTTCTCCTTTTTCTCACTCTGTGGGTAAAATTTAAGGCTTTAATCTCTTTGGTTAGTAATCTTTTGTTCTGTTTTTCAAAATAATGCTGCCATTTCAATCCTCTTGCTTTCCTAGAATTTTTCCCTTAATGGAGTTAAAATCAGTTCTTCCTAGAAGAACTAATGGAAGAGAGGTTGTATATATTGTTGCACTGAAATTTCACCTGGGCACAGTTGACCACATCCAATTTAGGATTAAGAGGAGATATTAGGAACTCTGGAGTCCACTTTGCCCTCATGATGGTATAATTGCACTGATGGTAGACTGTATGTAAGACAGATAGCTAACCTAGCTAGGCTTGGGTACATTGGTCTGAAGCACTGATTTTCAACTGGTGAGCCACAAGAATTTTTAAAACATGCAATATGTTCCTGACTATGTAATGAAGGGCACTGACCTCTTGTCCCTTAGATTGTCAAATTAAAAATGGCAACAGCCTGGCTGGTGTGGCTCATTGGTTGAGTGTCGACTCAGGAACCGAGAAGTGTTGGTTTGATTCCCAGTCAAGGGATTGATCCCCAGAAAGGAACATGCAGGAGGCAGCTGATCAATGATGTTTCGTTTATCAGTATTTCTATCTCTCTTATCACTCTCCTTTCCTCTCTATTTTAAAATTCTTAAAGTTAGAAAAAAAACAATGGCAACAGTCAACACAACAACTGTCTGGTGTGAATGAATCAAAATTATACCTGCTTTTATCATTAGATTGGTAAAATATGTTTTTTGGTGTGCCGCAGAAGTTTAGTGATACTTGTATGTGTGCCATGAGATGAGAAGTGTTGAAAATCCTTAGTATAGACTAATCTCTTTGGGTATTTTAGGTCCCTGAGAAACACATTGTGATGAAGTGGAGGTTCAAATCTTGGCCAGAAGGTAAGCAAGCAAATTTATGGTTTTTGTTTTGTTTTATCTTAATATATTTTTATTGATTTCAGAGAGGGAGAGAGAGATAGAAGCATCAATGATGTCAGATAATCATTGATCAGCTGCCTCCTCTGAGCCCCCTACTGGGGATTGAGCCTGCAACCCAGGATTTTGCCTACCCGGGCATGGAACTGTGACCTCCTGGTTCATGGTCGGTGCTCAATCACTGAGCCACACCAACCAGGCAGTAAGCATATTTGTTTACTGCCTTTAACCCCAGAATTTTTATTTTCGCCTTAATCTCAAACCCAAGTGGAAACCCTGGATCTGAAGTCTCCCTCCCCTCTGCTTTTCTCCAGGACACTTTGCCACCATCACTTTGACCTTCAATGACAAGAATGGAGAGACTGAACTGTGCATGGAAGGCCGAGGCATCCCTGCTCCTGAGGAGGAGAGGACACGGCAGGGCTGGCAACGCTACTACTTTGAGGGCATCAAACAGACCTTTGGCTATGGCGCACGCTTATTTTAGAGCCAGCAGCGGGAGCTCCAGCCTGCCCGACACTTAAGTCCAGCCCTCTCCTGACTGAGGCTTGACTCATAGGATTGCACCATCCCAACCACTAACTTGGGGCTGGGACCCTTTCCCTTGCGTATACCTTGGGTTTGTGCATGTTTTCTGCTGGGTGGGATCAGAGGGCAATTTCTTTTATGTGTACATATGCTAAGTAAACGTAATTTAAAAAAATGCGTATCTGGAACATGTGTTGATTGGGTGGCTAGTACTAAGAGTTCCCTTGACAGTTTATATATATATTATTTTTTTCAGAGCGGAAGGGAGAGGAATAGAGAGTTAGAAACATCGATGAGAGAAACATCCATCAGCTGCCTCCTGCACCCCCTCACTGGGGATGTGCCCGAAACCAAGGTACATGCCCTTGACCGGAATTGAACCTGGGGCCTTTCAGTCCACAGGCTGATGCTCTATCCACTGAGCAAAACTGGTTTCGGCTCCCTTGACGGTTTTGAATTTTTTTTATTTTATTTTTTTTAAACTGGAGGGCGGGAATAAGGCCTTGCCTCCATTCTGGAAAAAGGATGTGATTAAGAGGCATAAGGGAACTTACCTATCTCCAAGCATTCCTGCACTGGCCTCATACAGCAGGCTGCTCCGTTCACTGAGGGGAAGGAAAGGCAGATTGGTGCTCTGGCATAAACAGAGCCATCAAACATCACTGATGGAGGTGGCATCTCTCTATGGCCTCAACTTCTTAAAAGAGGTGATCACCAGGTACTGATCTGAGCTATGGGGAGACATTCCCACTCTGTGGCAGAGAACTATAGCCCTTGGATTAACAGCTTCTGTTTATTGAGCAGTTAGTATGTACCAAACACTACCCTAAGTAGCTTCTTTGTATTAGCTCACTTAGCTCACTTTGTATTAGCTCACTTTATTTCAGAGCCCTATGAAATAAATACTACCATTATTTCTGTTTTACACGAACCCAACTCTTAGATTTCTTAATGTCTAAGAACCAACTGATATTTAGCAGAGTTGAGATTTGGAAGAGGAACCGTAACCACAGAGCCAGGACTCAAGTCTTAAACCACTGTCTGCCGCCTTGTCATTGGACTCACTTCCACAAAGCAGCAGCTGTGTTTCTAGCATCCCTCCTAAGTAGAAAATTCCAGGCCACAGTACTCCCAGAAAGAGGAAGAAGTAAATATTGTTGCATTAAGCTTCCTGAGCACTGACCATGTGCTGAGGATACAGAATAGTGGGGCTCACACTGCCATGTTGCCGGAGACGTAGCTATCTGGACAGGAGGTTCACTTTCCCCTACCCTGGTGTCCTGTCCCCCAGGATGAGTCAGTGCCTGCTAATTGGACACTGCTACTCCTGCAGCTACAGCTATTTTCCTCTGATTTTCGCCTGTTTTATTAGGGGACAGGCCTGCAGACTAATCCTACCAAAATGACTTGGCCACAGTGTTGTAGTTAAAGCAGAAAATAAGCACTGATCTGGATAATTTTGACCCCCAAAAGCCACCTGTGTCTTTTTTATTATTATTTTAAAATATATTTTATTGAGTTTTCACAGAGAGGGATAGAGAAACATCGATGAGAGAGAAACATCGATCAGCTGCCTCCTGCACACTCCCTACTGGGGATGTGCCTGCAACCAAGGTACATGCCCTTGACTGGAATTGAACCTGGGACCTTTCAGTCCACAGGCTGATGCTCTATCCACTGAGCCAAAAACCGGTTTCGGCGCCATTAGTTCAGTCCACACTCAACGTACTGGACTGAACTAATAAACATCCAATTCTGTATTATATCTGCTTCCTGAGGCTCCAGAAAGACGCATTTTGATAAAAAGCCTGGACTCCAGCTTAAATCAACAGGCCCCTCCTAATACAGACTCCACTCCAGCAGAGACCAGTGTCAACAAAGGAGCCCTTTCACTGGCTGGAGAGTTACCAATTAAGAAAATTGTACTTAAAAAAGTCCCAAGGTAAAGTCTACAGACACCTTTTAAGAAAACCAAAGCACTAAACCAAGTATCTGCTACGTGACATACACATAAACACATCACATCCCCAGTCCTGATGGCTGTTCCAGTGTTTTCCATAGTCGTGTTAGCCATCTGAACCCACAAAGCAGAACGATGTATCTAAAAACAAAACAAATTGGGTTTGGGTTTGAATTGTAAATATGCCACTTCCTGGGACAAATGTCCTCATCTGTATAATGGGTATAACAGGTGACTTATGAGAGAATTAGAGATGATGAACCCAGAAGTGCCGGCAGCTGGCAGCCTTCAGCAAATGGTAATTCCATACTCACGAGCCCATATGTTTTTTCCGGAGTAAGAATATTTTGAAAAGTTGGTTAATTGGTCAAATTGTAAATCCTAAACCAAGGAGTCTCCTCACGTAAGAGCCATCTGTTGAATTCAGAAAAGTGGACCCACCGCTAGAGATTTTTACTCAGTGGGTGTGGCCTATGAACTTGCATTTTGATAAGTATCTGAGGGAATTTCCATACCAGGAATTCATTTTGAGAAGTGCCTCAACATGTTAAAACCTTTTAATGGCTAAAAGAAGCATACTTGGGTCCCTTTTGTGAATAATGGGACAAAGGATCTAAAACACCGTATCTTTCAAGAGACAAGGGAGGTCAGCAGGACCCAACAGGCTTTGTGTTGTTGGTTAAACCCTAGTAAGAATTCAATGTGGCTCAGTTGGTTGGGCATCCTCCTATGTACCTGGAGGCTGTGGAAGTTGCTGTTTCGATCCCTGGTAGGGGTGTACAGAAGGCAGCTGAATTCAATTTGTCCATCTTGCCTAAATTAGGATCCCAGATGAGAAAAACCAGAGGGGGAAAATCAGGCAAAACCACCGAGGTGGTGGAGCTAAATTGGAAACAGTAGTGGTGGTCGTAAGCCATGCGTGGCCAAGGCGGCTCCTGGCATTTGGAGCAGGAAGAACAGCCAGTGACACCAGTGAGCTGACTGTCAGTGGACTGGAGTGTGGGGAGGAGCCCTCTGATTTCCTGGGCCCCTCCTGGCTGATGCTAGCTGCTCCCAAGCTGCCCCCTTTCACAAGTGCTGTGCACCCTCCACCACAGTTTCTCCTCACACCCAGATGTTCCCCCACCTGCAGCTTCCTGCAGTGTCTCTCTCTCTCCTCTGCAGGGTTTGAATACACGTCATTTTGTAGCTGACCACCCTAATGCCTTTTTCTTGGTTTCTCTCATCTGCGCTTGACATGGTAGCAATTAAGCATGTCACTGAGATTACAGATTAAAAATGGGACTAAGTCCTTTTAGGTAATAAATAACCGTTAGGTATAGATCAAGTTTAGACAGCAGCCCTAGCTGGCTTGGCTCAATGGACAGAGCATAGGCCTGTGGACTGAAGGGTCCAGGGTTGGATTCCAGTCAAGGGCAACATGCCCAGATTGTGGGCTTGATCCCCAGTAGGGGGCGTGCAGGAGGCAGCCAGTCAATGATTTACTCTCATCACTGATGTTTCTGACTCTCCCTCTCTGAAATTAATTTAAAAAAAAATTTTTTTTTTAATTTAGTCAGCAATGTGTAAGTGACAAGGTGAGTTACATTAGGAAGGAGGGGAATTTGCAGTTTTCTGTGAAAACAGAGTCTGGGATACCTCTAATTGTTTATGTTTATGCTAAAAAAAAAAAGTAATTAAAACATGTCTTTGCTCATTAATGGTATTGAATTTTATAGATGAGAGAGAACTTGGCTTCCATCTGGTGACCTGAGATCCTGCCCTCTCTGACCCTGTAATATTCTAATTGCACTGTGGTATTTTTAGACTGGTCCAGGACCAGACTAATAAACTCACCTCGATAATAGCACCTGCGATGCTAATCGGAAACACGTGGCTCTCTGGGCTCCTCCAAGTGGCAGCTTGGAAACACCTTGCCTCAATCTACTTTCTGCTTCCTTGATATGTCTCTTTCCTTTCCCAAAAGCCAGGAGTGACAGCAGAGTGTCTGGTAAGGGTGCCAACTAAGGCCGGGGCCAGGCCCATCACTGCCACCCTCTAGGTATAGTCCTTGGGTAGCTCTGTGCTGGATTCCCTCACAAGTTACCTGGGGAAGTGGAGCCACTTCCTCCGGAGTGAATGCAATTTACCTCCTCGACCAAAAAACTCAGAAGTGAACCTGCCTCCAAGGCAGCCCTTTGCAAGTGTGAGTTTGGTCAAATCCCTGCACCCCGGAGCCCCGCCAGCCCAGCGGGGTAAGGCAGTCACAAACAAAACACGAAACCCGTGGGAGCTGGATCCAGCGTGGCCTGTAAGCAAAGGCTTGCAACCCACACTACCCTGCAGGGCCACACACTCATCAGACAGACAGACAGACTTGGGAAGTAAAGTGCTTTATTGCTGAGGATCCCAGAGAGCTTCAAGGCAGCTGTCTAGGGGCGAGCAGTGAAATCCCCTACCCTGCGGAGGCTTTGTGAGCAGGGACGGTGGGACTTCAGCATTGCGGCCCCCTGGAAGGCATGGCAGTGTGGCTGGGGGTGAGGGGAGGTAGGAAGAGGCACAAGGTGTGTGGGGAGAGCCAACGGTGCTTGTCTCCCCAACTCTGAGCTCAGTGCATTCAATGACGTCACCATGGGAGCCTAGGATAGGCCATGGTGAGAGTATTTACACCACAGAAATTGCCCAAATGTTACATTCAAGGATTCCCGACTCTCTGCCTGAAGAACTGGTTTACCAGGGCACCAGGAGCCTGCCGCACCTCCTGAGCTGGTTCTGAGTGCACCCCAAGCCTGGCTGCTATGGCAAGCTGCCACTCCCCCGTGTGGAGCAGCGCCATCTCCCACCGCCCGGACAGAACACAGGTGGGCGGGACAAAGGGGACCTGACCTGGTGATCCTGTCCCTGCCTGGAGCCTGCCCGGGCTGGGCCGCCTCAGCCTGTCTGTCCCCTGAGAGCTTCCGCCCCGGACTGAAGTGTGTCCTCCGAAAGGCAGCTCGGAGCTGAGGATAAAACCCTTTTGCTCAGTGGCTCCCAGCAGGCAAGAGGGCCAGGTGCAGCCACTCAGAGGTAATGAGAGTGGGTCACCCAGGGCAGCTGTGGGGCTGAGATGAAGGGACTGGCCCTCGGGGCTGAGGGTCTAAGTGATTCGCCGCAGGTCCTAGGACCAGGCCGTGTGGAGAGTGATGCACACCTGTGTGCAGAACCAGGGCAGGAGAGCCCAGCTCCCGGGGACGGGGAGGGAAATGAGCGGCCAGGGTGGGACAGCACCCCTTAGCTTTCCGCTGCTCCCCCAGGGACCTGGGGGCTGAGCTCCTCCCCTCACCCTGCCTGAGCCTGTACCCCCTCCAACCATCTCCCCAATCCCACCTAACACTCGGGTGCTGACCAGCCTGGGTTCACAGGCTTCACAAACTAAGCCTTTGCACTCCCCAGCCTGAGCAGGGGCAGGGGCCGGGGCCTGCCAGGGAAGCACTCAGCACAGCAGCCCTCCCCTCAGTACTCCTTGGCCTCCTGCAGCTGGGCCAGGTACTCGGGCTCAGGAGGGTTGGCGGGGCAGGCCAAGCCATTGTTGGGGGGCCGAACAGAGTGGTAGCGGCTCCAATCCCCCTTACACATGATCCAGGGCATCCTGTCCAACCTGAAGTGCAGTTCCGGGGAGACGTCCCCGCTGATGAGGTGAGGTGCGCCGGCGCCCTTGCCCCGGGTCAGCAGCCGGTGGCTGGAGTCGTAGCAGCAGTGCTGGGCGGCCAGCGTTTTGCTGTCCCGGGACAGCAGGGAGCGCAGGCAGTGGCTGGCCGTGGGCTTGTAGATGTCCAGGCGCTCTCCCGGGCCGCTGGCGTCCCTCCACTGGACGCTGCGGCCAGTGTGCTTGTCCTGCAGGCTCATGGTCTTGTGCGCAGCCTCCCGGGGGTAAGTGCACGGGCAGCTGGGCAGGTCCTGCTGCACCTCGCTCAGGTACTTGTCCAGGAAGTCGCTCTTGCAGTTCAGCCACTTCTCGCAGTGGTCCACACCTGCGGAGGGCAGGAAAGTGGGGGAAGCTGGGTCAGCTCCTTGGGGTGGGAGCGGGGCCAATGGGTGGAGAGGAGGCCAGAGCCCCCGCTGGTGCAAAGGGGTGGCCAGGTCAGTAAGGGCTTAGGGGCCAAATCTGGGAGCACCCCGACCTGGCCCCCACTGCTGCCAGACAGGGGCTCCGCTCCCACACAGCGCCAGGCAACCTGAAGCAAGAGGCCCTGGTTTGAAACAGATGCAGGCCCAGGGGCTGGAGGAGGGGCCCAGAAGGCCTCCGCTCTGCTGAGGTGCTGTTCCTTTAAACGCTGGGTGGTAGGAGAGGTCCCGGGGAAGGAGCTGGGTAGTGAGAGCAGGGAGGACGGTTAAACCAATTGGTAAGGAAATGTTTCAGTACAGGGTGGGGCACAAGTAGGTTTGCACTTGTTCATAAGGAAAATAATACACTAATTAATAAATAACAGTACAGCCGAAACTGGTTTGGCTCGGTGGATAGAGCGTCGGCCTGCAGACTGAAAGGTCCTGGGTTTGATTCCAGTCAAGGGCATGTATCTTGATTGCAGACACATCCCCAGTGGGGGATGTGCAGGAGGCAGCTGATCGATGTTTCTAACCCTCTATCCCTCTCTCTTCCTCTCTGCGAAATATCAATAAAATATAATAAATAAATAAATAAATAAATAAATAAATAAATAAATAACAGTACAAAAATAAACTGTTTTGGGTACTCACAACTGGAAACTGACGTTTGCCCCACCCTGATTTTATGCACTGGCCCATTCTTGTTTTCATCTCTGCCCTTCTCAGGCCATATGACCTTGGGTGAGTCACTCTGCCATGCTGGGCCCCCAGTGGCTGCCCTCCCCCATCTCTCTGCCTTGGGAAATGTGACTTCTGACCTTTGAAACCAACCATGAGCAGCTGTTGCACTGAGCAGGGGCCTCCTCTGCACAGGTGGGAAGAGGTGGCGGGGGGGGGGGGGGGGGGGGGCGTCCCACAGCCTCCTGGCTCCTTGCAAAGGGCAGGAGAGACCGAGGGACCCAGACACTGGATATGCTGGTGAAGACGTGGCCTACTCCGAGCTGCTGGAGGGAGGGGTCCCAGAGTTCTGGACCCCGGTCCACTTCTGGCAGCACCCCCTTCCCAGACAAAGCCTGCCCAGGGTCAAGGGAGTAGCCAGAATGTCCCCGTCCCATCCTACTGCCGGGAGAATATGCCCCACAGGATGGGCTCCAAGCTCTTTAGCTCCCATGGAGACCTTCCCAGCAGGAATCTAAAGCTGGGGAGGCCTTGCCAAAACCGGTTTGGCTCAGTGGTAGAGCGTCGGTCTGCGGACTGAAAGGTCCCAGGTTCTATTCCGGTCAAGGGCATGTACATTGGTTGCGGGCACATTCCCAGTAGGGGGTGTGCAGGAGGCAGCTGGTCAATGTTTCTCTCTCATCGATGTTTCTCGCTCTCGATCTCACTCCCTTCCTCCTCTCTGTAAAATATCAAAATATATATATATAAAGCTGGGGAGGCCAATGGGCCTGTCCTGGAGGGTGAGACACACTGGGGAGCCCTTGCTGGGGAGGCTAACCTTCCTGTTGGAAGATGACTCTCTGCCTCCATGGATGAAAGTGAGATTCCTGCCCATGAGATGCTGAGAGAGAGAGAGAGAGAGAGAGGGAGGGAGGTTCTCCCTCACTTCCCACAGGCAGGGCCTAGCCCTCCACTCACCTGGGTCCACAGTATCTGTAGCATTGAAGGCCAGGAGCGGCCACTCCTCACTGGGTAAATCCGAGGGGTCCTTGTCCTTGGCGCCTTTGGGAAGAGAGGAGGTCAGGCTGGTGGCGTCCCCAGGCGCCTCTGTGCTCCCGATGGAGAAGCCCAGCCCTCACGAGGCTCCTGGTGCCCACAGCGTCTGGGACAGGCTGGCATGAGGGAGGACCACCATGTTTGTGAGCTCCCAAATCCTCTCTCCCAAGACCACCCCGTACAAGGCTCACATGCCCGCATCCCCAGGGGACCACGTGCAGTGTGTGAGCCACTCCCTGTGCAGGAGCTGTGCTGCTCTCACCGGGACAGAGGGGCAGGTCGCAGTCCTTGGTCTGGGTGACGGTGCAGGCGAAGCCACAGGACCGGGTCCTCTGCTGGGTGCTGTTGCCGCAGCTCCCACTGCAGGGAGACCAGGGGCCCCACTCCTCCGGAGGCTCGTCATCTGCGTCAAGGCAAGGAGCAGGGGTGAGTGAGCACAGCTCACAGGCTGCCCTGGAGAACATTCGCCTTTTGCCGAATTTCTCAGGAGGAGGCAACTCGTGGCAGGGCCCTAAGCCCAGTGCATGGAGCAGGGGATAGATTTCAGCCCCTCTCCGGCCCCTGGTGCGGTGAACACCTGTGCAAATGCAGGAGGTGGCCCTACAGAGACCGCACAGCGCCCAGCACATACTCTGTGCCAACACAGCAACAAGGAGGAAACGGTATCTGGGCTGGAGGTCATCTGGCCATTGTCAGGGTGACCTGAGCGAGTCCCCCTCTATCTCTGAGCTGTAGTTTTTATGTCAATCAAAACCCAGGATGACAATACTCTCCTGGAAGTATTAAAGAGCGCCCCTGCACTAGCTGGTTTGGCTCAGTGGATAGAGCATTGGCCTGCAGACTGAAGGGTCAGGGGTTTGATTCCAGTCAAGGGCACATGCCAGGGTTGCGGGCTTGATCCTAAGTAGGGGGCGTGCAGGAGGCAGCTGATCAATGATTCTTTCTCATCATTGATGTTTCTATCTCTCCCTTCCTCTCTGAAATAAAATACACACACACACACACACACACACACACACACAATACACACACACACACACACACACACACACACACAGTGTACATATGAATATCCCTGCTGCCCATGTTAGGGGCCGGGACCTGCTGAGAGACTTGAAACACCCTGTCTGCGCCCACAGCCCTGTGGCTGGGCAGGGCACAGGGCTCTCTGGGGAAACCACCCAAAGTAATGACACAGCCAGTGCTCTTCTCACTCTCTGGCAGACCCGAGCAGGCGGCACCAAGAGTCTAAGGATAATAAATAGAAGAAAAGCGGAAAGTCATGAAAGTTCTGCCTGTTTGTGTATATTATGTTGGTAAAACTGGGAACAGGCTGTTATAACTTAGTCTTCATCATTTCATAGGGACCTCCATCCAATGATGAAACAGCTAGGCTCTGGGGAGAATGGCTGCAAATATGTGTGAGATGGTCTGCACCCAGGAGATCCTGAACTATGGTGTGCAAAAATAAAAATGGCTGCCTGGAGGGTTGGCAGGCTCTAGGTGACATTTTCTGAACAGACTATATCATATTGTTTTCTAATCAAAATAGCAGATACTGTGTTTACTACATGCAGGCACTTTAAATGTATTAACTGACTCAATACCCTCTGCACCCAATCCTATGTAGTAAGGGTTGTGCTATTCTCCATTTTATAGAGGAAAGAACTGAGGCACAGAGAGGTTTAGTAACTTGCCTAATGTCACTCAGCTGGTAAGTGGCAGAGTCGGGGTTCAAACCCACATAGCCTGAAAATGAGGTCAGTTGCAAATGGTAGGATTCATAATATTTTGCAATTTGTTGGAAACTGATAGATACGAATATCTATACTAATAAAAGCCTTGGGGGTGATCAGGCCAGCAGGGAAGCAGTTAGGTGTCAATCAGGCCAGCAAGGGAGCAGTTAAGGGGCAATCAGGCAAGCAGGCAAGCTGTTAGGAGCCAGCAGTTCCAGATTGTGAGAGGGATGTCCAACTGCCGGTTTAGGCAGGGATCAGACATCCCCCTGAGGGGTCCCAGATTAGAGAGGTGCAGATTGGGCTGAGGGACACCCTCCCCAGGGCATGAATTTCACTGGGCCTCTAGTATATACATAATATTAATATGTCTGTTTTGCTTAGGGGATCTCAGAGCTGTTGTGAAGGTGAAATGTTTTTTTGGGCAAAAACTTTGCAAGCTATGGGTGATGTTACCATTTAGCAGATGATGATGTTTGTATAGGCCTAAGCTCCTGCTCCCCCAGCTGCCCCTGCCCAGGAAGCTCTCAGCCCTCTCTCTACCCCCATCTCCACTCTGGACCTGAAGGGCAGCAACCAGGGATGCCAAGATGGATATGCTCACCATAGAAGTCCCTGAAGGGGTACAGCCAGCCTTGCTCCTTGTTGTCATCTTCCTCAGCATTGTCCTCTTGTTCCTCAATCTCACTGTACTCATAGTCTATAAGGTAGTCCTCCTCCTCCTCCTCTGTTTCCTCCTCCTCTGCTTCCTCCTCCTCTGCTTCTTCCTCTTCTTTTGGGGCTCTGTCCTTGAGACTGGACCCCGCCTCCTCTCCCCTGAAGTAGTCCTGGAGGAGGGACTTGGAGGTCTCCATGGCGGTAGACAACCAGCCGAAGGGCCAGACATTGCTTGGCTTGACCAGCACATCCTTCTCCACCTTGGCCTGGGGGTCCTCCACCACTTCAATGGTCACCTGCAGGGAGAGAGATTCCAGGCTGGTCAGCGAGGGAGGCTCAGAGCTGGACACCAAGGAGAGGGAATATGACAAGGGAAGGAGGAAGAGGACCAACCTTCTTGGCCTTCCCGGGCACATGGGGTCACAGCTTACGACCTGGTTGTGCGTCAGAATCCCCTGAAGGTTCTAGACTCCCCAACACTACCTCAGACATGGGTGTAACTGGCCTTAGGTGAGGCCAAGCATGGGGCTCTAGCATGTGTCAGAGAATCTGGCTTTGAATTCTGACCCCGCCAGCTTGCAGGGGCCTCTAACAGCCCTGAGCCTCCATTTCTTCCTTGTAAAACCAGAAAGTGAGAGCAGAGACAGCACATCCCCAGAGCAGCCCCTGGGGGGCGAGCAAGGGCTCTGTCTCACCACATTGTGGAGGGGGGAAATGAAACATGGAATCATTTATGTAAAAGTGAACCTTAAAAACATCATTTGGGGTTCTTTTAAATTAATCTGAGGTCACTGAACAAAATTTTTTTTTTTGCGGGGCGGGGGGGGGGGGGGGTGGTGGTGGGAGAAACAGCAAAATTTAAAGAAGCAGTGAACGTTGCCCATATTCCATCACTGATCACTGAAGAACATTTTGGTGATTAACGTTCCGAGTTTTACATATATACACATGTGTACACACATATACTTTTAAACAATTTTTATAGTTAATGAAGCATAATAGTCCCTCCTTTGGAAAACTGCTGTTTGAAACTGCTGTTTGAACTACTCTGTTATTCTTAGACAGTCTCTTATTCTGTAAAATAACTGTTTTAGTCTGAATAATAGAAAATATAAACTTAATTGTCTGACCTTACAAGCTAGGGACCAGACAAGCCAGGTGTCTGTATAGATATGTACCAAAGGTTACAGATGTCTGTATAGATAGGATATGTACTCAAGGTTACAAGTTGTTTGTATAGATGTGACAGGTGTTGGTTAGATATGCTATATACTCAAGGTTATAAATTGTCTGTAAAAATAACTTACACAAGGACCTGAAAAGATATAAAAAGAGAATGCTTCCTCCTTTGGGTGTTCAGATTTGACAGAGGTAATCTGCTCTGAACCTGCATGCAATAAAGATGACTCCTAACTAATTGGCTCATTAAGGCGTCTTGTCCAGCTCTCTGATTTGTGATACAACATTCTGTTCTATACTTTTCTCTTTCAGTGAAAGTGTTTTCTAATGGTAGATGCTACACAAAAATGCAGAATTATTACCATTAGGAATTCAGGACTGGCAGTGGGGTATGTCGGTCCCCCACCCACTGTACTCAGTTCCTCAGGGGACTGCATGAGGGGTTGGGCCTGGGTGGGGATCAGACCTTCAGGCTTTTCTACAAGGCCACCCCTGGGTTTCCAAAGTCTCATGCAGCTCAAGAAGCATTCTCTGCTCATTTGGTTTCCATGACAGCACAGCCAGGTTGGCGCCGTCTGTCCCTTGCTGTGGACTAGGAGTCCCGTGGTCTGCAGCTTAAAAGCAGAGAAGCAGGTCTTCCCCACAACAATTCCATGGAGACAGCCCCAACCCCCACACAGCACCGCACCTCCAAGAAAGGCAGGACAGGATGCCCAACCTCAGAGCTGAGCCCCTGAGCCCAGCTCCTCCCCTGGTGCCCACTGGGCCCATGACCCTCCTGCAGCTCTCACCTGGATATCGGGGTTTGGGGTACTCAAGTCCGTGTTGGCCAATCCTGGCAGCGTCTGCAGCTCCAGCAGCAAGGGGGTGTCCTCCTGGGTGCCAGGAGGGGCTGTGTCTTCTGGGGTCAGAGCTGCTGGCTCAGTGATAATCCAGTGCTTGCGTCTTTGTGGCCCTGCCTGGAGTGGGGTCTCCTCCTCTTCCTTAGGAGAGCTGGGGTCTGGGGAGGCTGAAACCTAAGGGGGAGAACGGAGGTGGGAGAGGTGACTGAGATCAGGGATTGCCCCATATGGATCCAAAAAAGACTGGTGGGGAGGGGGAGAGGAGAAATCAGGAGCCCTGGGGTGTGACCAGATCACAGACTCGCTGTGACTGTATAACCAAACATGAGAGCTTTTAAGGCCTCGGAGGGTAAGTGGGGCTGTTTCCACAAAGCACTTGGACAAAGAGTCAGCATGAGGCATGAGAGGAGGGTTGAGATCAGGTTTCTGCACATGGAAGAAAGTCCATCCTCCTTATTTTACAGAAGAAGAAACTGAGGCCCACAGAGGGAAGGCAGTGGTTCCAAAGTGCAGTTTGCAGCCTGAGAATCCCCCAGGCTGTGATCATTGGAGAACACCCCCTGCCACACAAGTCAGAGAAGGAAGCCCCAGGAAGGCCTCTGGGTGGCCAGGGCCCTTCCCCTCAGAGCTCCCCACTGGCTGGCCTTCCCCAGCGGCCCATGTGGATTCCCTAGCATCTCTGACCACAGCTGCCTGTCTTTGCCTGTCCACCTGGGTCTGGTCCCTTTTCCTGTTCCAGGCTGCTCCCATGGCTGGCAGCTGCTAGCTAATTCCCTCCACCAGCCTGTGCCCAGTGGGCCACACTGCACCATCCTCACTGCAGCACAGGTAGTAGGTGAAAGGTAGATCCTAGCTGTCTCTGACTCCCGCTGCAGGGCCCATCTACTCAGACAGTGGGACACTGGGGCCGTCCACCTACCTCCAGGCTGCAGCCATTGCCCAGTCTTCATGCCAGAGCAGAAAGAGCACCGTTCAGAGCCACCCTTCTAAGCCTCAGGCGCCATGAGCCTACTCTGATCCCTGCCACAGCCTGGAGCCCACCTCCCATCTTACCGGGGGCAGTGTGATAAGGCTGAGAAACATGGGCTCTGGAGAGTCAGACAGGCTTGGGTTTACCTCCAAGCTCTGCCTCTCACTAGCTCATTCAATTTGATCCGTAAAATTAGGATAATTCCTACCCAGGTAACAAGCTGTGTGGCTGGGGGCAGCTTACTTCCTCTGCCCAAGTCTCTCCCTGTGTAAATTAGGAAACGCCGTCCCTGTCTCATGAGGTGCCTCATGTGTGGCAAACATGCAATGAAGCATTTGCACGCCATAAGGGGCTATAGATGCAGCCGGCGGGCCTTTTTAAGTTAAATTTGAAGTGTCGTGGCAGTTAACCCGGGAATGTTACTGAGAGGTGATGATGGATGGTTCTCAGAGGGGAAGGAGGAGGTGCCTCTTTCTCCAGGCACTGTGTTAGCTCTTCACATCCGGATTGGCCTGAAGACCTTCCACTTCCCCCGCTGACAGAGGACCTGGGCAGATATATTCCCCAGCGTTCTGAAGCGAATTAATTCTGAGACTCCTCCTGCCTGTGTACGGACACCTGTCATGCCCCCAGGACACTGCCCCCCACCTGTTAAGCTTGCATGTGGAGTTTCGTGCAGGCTCAAATAGGCAACTCCATCCTTTGGGGAGGGGGGCGGGGAGGGGGGGGGGAGGAGAGAAGACAGGAGTCATTACCCAGAGAGTCCTGAGATGTAGAATTTACACCGGTTCTCCCCACTATCTGAAAGGAGGGCTTTCCTACAAAACCTTTCACCAGGAGAAATGGTGTAAGGTGAAGAAGCAATGACCATTCATTCACATGGAAAATGTCTTCAGCCTTCCCAGACCACCCCCACACCCCCAAACCGAAACTAATTCTAACTGTGATAAAGGCAGTGGCTCTCTCGCTGCTTGGGAGCGCACTGCCCCTGTATGGGCTTGCGGCAAAACAAAACTGCAACGCTATTTTTGCTTCCTCCCTCCACCTTTAAAAAAATATTTCCTACCATATTTTTATTTCTGCTATATGTTCCCCCTTTTTTCATAAAAGCAAAAATCCTCTCAGATTTTTTTTCAGTTAGCAAAAACAGGGTACTGATGTGAGTTCTGTAAAAGTGAAGAGGAGTAATGTGAACTTTCGAAAAGCAGGACATGCCAGTACTGAGATATATCTCCATTCTCTCTCTCTCTCTCTCTCTCTCTCTCTCTCTGTCTCTCTCTCTCTGTCTCTCTCTCTCTGTCTCTCTCTCTCTCTTTCTTTCTCTCTCTCTGTCTCTCTCTCTCTCTTTCACACACACACACACACACACACACACACACACACACACACACCTGCATGTGCCCTCCCAGGCTTGGCCAGCAGCCCTGACCCATGTGTTCCCAGTTAACACAAGAGCCCTCATCCCCACAAAGCTTTCCTGCATTGCACGGCCTGCCTGCTAACCTGTTTCAGCCCCTCCCAGTCCCCCCATTCCCCTTGCTCCTCTCTGCCCCGGGTCGGAACTTGTTGGGATAATGAAATCCAGTTGCCAGGTGCAGGCCAGCACCTCCCCTCCCTGCAGCCCCAGCTGCTGAGGCCGCAGCCCATCCCTACACAGCAGGCTGCACACACAGCACCCAGCAGGCAACAGCAATTGCCTCTTGGGCCAAGCTGGAGGACCCCCGGACAGAGGGAGGGGGCTGGACTTCCCTCTCCTCACTGGTCCACACCAGCCTCGCCCAGCCCACCCTGGCCCCTCCCTGTAATAAGAGTACTTCTGAGAGACACCCTCCAGCACCTGGGCTGGCTCAGGTTGTGTGACCCATGTACCTGCCCAAGGCCCGGCACCTGGTCTATGCTCTGCTGCTGCCATTGAGGAATGCTCAGAGGCCCACACCCCATTCTGCACTGAGCCCCACAGACTACACAGCAGGTCAGTCCGGGCTCCCTGCATGTATCGACTCCAACCCTCCTGGGGCAGGTACTAGCATCCTCCCCACTTAAGAGACAAGGCAGTAGCCAAAACCGGTTTGGCTCAGTGGATAGAGCGTCAGCCTGTGGTCTGAAAGGTCCCAGGTTCATTCAATTCCGGTCAAGGGCATGTACCTTGGTTGCAGGCACATCCCCATTAGGGGATGTGCAAGAGGCAGCTGGTCGAGGTTTCTAACTCTATCTCTCTCCCTTCCTATCTGTAAAAAAAAAAAAAAATCAATAAAATTTATATATTTTTTAAAAAGAGAGATGAGGCAGTCAAGGATCGGAGGTGAAGTTCCGTGGTTGGGGTCAGAGGGGCTGGCAGCGCAGGATTTGAGGTGCTCTGGCTGGACTCTGTGCTCTTAACCCTCGTGCTCTGCCAACTCCAGACAGGGGCTGCCCCTCTGGCTCCCTGCCGGCCACTCTGGGGGCCCGAGTGTGGCGATGAACAAAACACTAGAACAGGATGTTCTGCTTTTCACATCCATTTTCCCTTTGATCTTCATAACAAGCCAGTGAGAGCCAAAGGGAGGAGGAGATTAGGAGACGGGAGTCAGGGAGGTTGGGGACTTGCCTGGGACCACGAGCAGGCAAGCCTCCAGGCGCCTCCCTGTTCCTGCCCTTCCCTCTCTCTCTCATAACCAGCTTTCCAGTGTCCCGAGCTCTAAGAGCAAGAAGAATGATCTGGAGGAAGAAGGAGGCAGGGCCACAGGCTCAGCATCACAGAGGCCCGGTTCCCCTGTGAGTGTCAGAGGCCAAGCTGCAGGAAAATACCTGCTTCTCAGAGTCACCCACCTGGCAGGTGAGACCTTTCATCCCACAATTCCCTTCCTGCAATCCAGCCCCTGCACCAGGCAACTGGCTGGACAATGGACCAGGACTGAGGTGCTAACTAAACATGCCTATCCTGTGTATGATGGCCCCAGGCCTGGAGGCTCCTTCCTCTGCGCTTAGCTCTTCATTTTTTTTTTTTTTTTTTTTTTTTTTTTTTTATAGCTTAAAGAGAGAGAGGCCCTGACCGGTTTGGCTCCGTGGATGGAGCGTCGGCCTGTGGACTGAAGGGTTCCGGGTTCGATTCCAGTCAAGGGCATGTACCTTGGTTGTAGGCACATCACTAGTAGGGGGTGTTCAGGAGGCAGCTGATTAATGTTTCTCTGTCATTGATGTTTCTATGAGAAACACACCTATCCCTCTTCCTTCTTCTATGTAAAAAAAAAAAAAAATCAATAAAATGTATTTTTTTAAAAAGAGAGAAAGAGGAAGAGAGAGAGAGAGGGAGAGGGAGAAACATTTATTGGTTTGGCTGCCTCCTGTGCACCCCCTACTGGGGAATGAACCTACAACCTGGGCATGTGCTGGGACCGGAAATGGAACCAGCAACCTTTTAGTGCATGGAATAACGCCCAACCCACTAAGCCACACTGGCCAGAGCACAAACTGGCGACTCATGCTGCTGCTGCTGCAGGAACCTCCCCAGCTCTGCCCTTGCAGCCTGGAAGAGAGGACCTCTCAGTTCTTCTCCTGCCCATTCTAATCTTCATCACCCTCTCTCACAGTGGTCACCAACTTTTCGGATCTCACAGACCACCAGTGATTGGCAACCGCTGCTCTATCACATACTAATAGCATGGCCCAAGCTATGCCCAACGTCCTCAACACCACTCCCCGTCCCCGGAGGTTTTTCCTTGCCTGCCTAGGAAGTGGTGTGTGCCAGACTACAGCCCAGGGCTGTAGAATTAAGCAAAGCTGGGTCTGCATCCTAGCTCACCACTTACTGGCTGTGTGATTGTAGGTTAGTCATTGGATCCACTGTTAGTTCCCTCAATCCTAAAATGAGAATAACAAGACAAGAAACACAAAATGCTAGGCACAGTGGCTGTTGGGCATTATTCTGATCTTCACTAGAATAGAAGATGCCCAATGCGCAGAGCTGTGCTATTCTTTGCCTGTCCAGCATCCTGGTAACAAACTGCCTGCTCCCAGACCCTGGCAACGGCGGTGTCACCCATGTATGTGCACTGTGTTTTCACACCAAGCATGCACCCCATTGGACAGGAGGAGTGAACTGGGTCTCAGCAACAGGCCTGCCCAGGGAGAGGGTGGCATGTTTTGATCAGAATGCTAACGATTTCAAACTGATATGCAAAGATTAACCTAAAGTTTTCAGTGTAGCTCTTGAAATGACAGACCTGGCTCCCAACCCCAGCTAGGTTTAACATCTCTGCACCTCGGTTTTCTCATCTGAAAAAGGGGAATCATGCCCAAGGCAGAATGGTGTGACAAGGGAATGACATCACTAACATCTTTGTACCAACTATGCAGGGCCCAGGGAATGCTCACTCCCCCAGTCATCCTACACCACTAGATCGGATGGATTTACGTCCTTCCATTTCTTCATAAAAGCCCTTGAGTTGGTCATTTCTGACCTATCACCCAAGACCCTTACAATGGCAGTCTGCATTCTCTCAGCAATGCCTCAACTAACACCTTTGATGTGTAGGAGATGATTTAGCCCCTCATTTTTGTTGTTACTATTAATCCTGACCTGGGGATATTTTTCCCATTGATTTTTAGAGTGAATGTAAGGGATGGAGGGAGAGATGGAGAGAGAGGGAAAGAGAGAGAAACATGGATGTGAAAGAGACACTGATTAGTTGCCTCCTGCATGTGCCTGACCAGGGTGGGGAGCCTGCAATTCAGGTATGTGCCCTTGAGTGGGAACCAAACCCTGAATCTTTGGGGAGCTGGGGGTGGAGGAAGGGGCAGGACACTCTAACCACTGACCCATGCAGCACAGGGCAACTTATTATTATTATTATTTTTTTTACAGAGAGGAAGGGAGAGGGATAGAGAGTTAGAAACATCGATGAGAGAGAATCATCGATCAGCTGCCTCTTGCACACCCCCTACTGGGGATGTGCCCGCAACCAAGGTACATGCCCTTGACCGGAATCGAACTTGGGACCTTTTAGTCCGCAGGCTGATGCTCTATCCACTGAGCCAAACCAGTTTTGGCAGCACAGGACAACTTAGCTTCCTCATGAAAAAATAAAAATAAAAATAAAAATAAAAATAAATTAATGATTTCAAAGAGGAATGGAGAGGGAGAGAGACAGAAACTCAATTATGAGAATCATTGATCATCTGCCTCCTGCATGCTCTCTACTGGGGACCAAGCCGGAAACCTGGACATGTGCCCTTGACTGGAATCAAACCCAGGACCCTTCAGTTTGCAGGCCAAGGCTCTATCCACTGAGCCAAACCAGCTAGGGCCTGCCCCCTCATTTTAATGTCAGGGAATTGCCCAAGGTGACTCACACAGGAGTTAATGACCCCCTGGGACCAGAACCCCAGGCCCTGGGCTCCAAGCGCTGTTTTTTCCCTTCATGGCACTAATTTGCTTTCACATGTTGAGGGCTCGTCCAGGCCCTAAGGGGGCTGGGGATAAGACTTTGGGTCTGAAATAACTCATCCTCTCCGCTGCAGGAAGATCTGGCAAAACTACCAAAAATAATTACAATACAAAGCAGTAAGACTAAAATAGAAAGTATTTAGCCAAATGAGTAGAAAAACTGCCAGTGTGATTAATTTATGACCACTGTCATCTCTAATTAGGAGGTGGGACTAGCCAGAGGCTGTTCAGTTGCTCTGGACCGAAGTGGGTTCTCAGCGAACAGATAGCAAAGTCTGGCTCGGTCCGGGAGGGGAAGCAATAGGCATCTAATAGGCTTGGGATGCTGCAGCTAGACATCCTACAATGCACAGCAAAGCATTATATAACCAAACGGCAGTAGTGAATCTCAACGGGGGGGAAAGGGACTGGATCTCAGGGGCAAAAAAAATAAATAAATAAAAAATCTTAGGTGCTAAAATGGTTTGTAGCACTCCAAAGGGCCATAGTACCTGAATAGTTTATCTGTGTTATTAAACTTTCATGGTGGGGGAGCACTTGGGGGGGGAAAATGCCTAAAAGGCTCCTTAGCCTGGCCAGTGTGACTCAGTGTTTGAGCATCTACCTATGAACCAGGAGGTCACAGTCTGATTCCTGATCAATGATTCTCATGATCTCTCTCTCCCTCTCTCCTTCCTTCCTCCCTTCCTCTCTCTCTGAAATCAATAAAAATACATTAAAAAAAAATAAAACAAAAGGCTGGCGGGGGGGGGGAAGGACAGCAGTGCAAAAAGATGGACAGCCCCTGGTCCACACAGATGCCCCTGAAGTGCAGGCTGGGGACCCTCTGGTCCTGTTTTCCGGGGGTCGCAGCGGCCTGGGCACTAACAGTGTGTCCCAAGCTCTGCTCTCCCTTCACTCACTCACCAATCTCCAGCACATCTGTCTGGACCCCCCAGTGTCCTCCTCCAGAAAAAGGGGAGAACTGCTCTGACCTCCTCCAAGAACAGCTCCGGGCAGAGGCGGGGCCGGGACCCCCTCCCACGCGGGCCCCCTCCGGCATACCTCGGAACGGGTCCAGCAGGTTTTGTCTTTATGGGGATGAACGTCCACTCCGGTCCAGGAGGGAACCGCTGGACTGTGGATCCCCGGTGACAGCAGGCACAGGTTTCAACAGACTGTGGTTTCTCTCCACGACCAACACCGCTCTTTGGGGTCTCACCCCCGTCCTACACCCACCCCTGGGGACCCACTCTCAGGCCGCCCAGAAAGTGCTCCCCGACGCCTGGGTGATCTCTTCTGCTCCTCCAAGTTCATCATAATCTAAGGTCCCTGGCGGACTGCTGACCCCCAGCAAGTCGGAGGACTCCACTTACCTACCTCACCTTGTCTCAATTCATGCCCAAAGGTGCCCAAACCCTTTGCAGATGGAAGAGGCTGCACCTTGACCGTTTGAAGCTCAGGAACCCCTCTCCCACTCAGGGCGCACCCTCGGAGGGCGCACCTGGCCACGCGGCGGCAGGGGATACGCTCAGAGCCTTTCGGGGCGTCCACGCTCCTCACTCGGCGCAGGAGGGAAGCTGCTCCCCGGGCTTGTGTGGTAGTGGGGGCTCCCGAGGCCCCGCGCCCTTGGCCCTCTCTGGCCCGGCCCAGCCTTCGCACAGGTTCCGCCGCTGCTCCGTCCCGTTCGCGTCCCCCAAGCCGCTGGAGCGGACGTGCCGGGAGGGGCCCGAGCGCGCAGCCCTGCGCTCAGCACTCACCTCCGCCGGCCTCGCCTGGCTCCGGAGCCGGGAGCCCCCCGGCGTCTTCGTGGGGAGTCCCCATCCCTCCGCCAGCAGCGCGGCCAGCAGCACCGCGCCCAGGAGCAGCCCTGCTCTGCCGGGGAGCCGAGGCATCGCCGCTCTCCAAGCCGCAGCTCCGGTGCCTCCCGCCTCTCGGGGCGCTCCGGAGAGTTTGTAGGCTCCCGGCCTCCGGGGGCGGGGAGCCCGGGGGCCACCGCTCAGCCTGGCCGCGGGGCGCGGGGGCGCGCGGGGCGGGGGCGAGCGGCGCGCCGCCCTCTCCTGCCTGAGACCCGGGCACCGAGCTCTCTCGGCTCTCGGGGTCAGCGCCCCGGGTCCCCCCTCCCCTCTCCGGAGGGCTGGCTCCTCCGCGCCTCCTTTGATCTGGCCCCCTCCCCACCCTCTGTCCCCGCCGCCGTCGCCATCGCAGCCCCAAGCAAATTCTTGCAATGGGGAGTTTGCAGACCTCCGGCCCGGGGCGAGGTCGCTCCCCGCTCCGGCGCTCCAATTCCCACGGCGACCCTGGGGCGCGAGGTAGCCAGGGCCTAGCGCTTGCTGACCCCTCAGATTATGGGCAAAATGTTTACGACTCCAGGTAGGTAGGTCTGCGTGGAGAGGAAGGCCTGGAAGCAACCTCCAGACTTCCAGCTCCCCTGCGGGGCGTGGAGGCAGAGAAACACCTGCCGCCCTGCACCCCGTTTTCTCAGGCTGCTTGGCCTCGGGACACTGCACAACCAGTGGCGGGCGATGGGACCCGGAGGGAGGGTCCAAGGGAAGTTTTGTTCCCCCGAAGCTGCCTTGTGGGATGATTTTAAGCTGTTTATTAAGAAACAAGACTCAGAACCTTTATGTGTGCCCTTCTCCTGCCCAAGAGAATTCAGACAAAAAACCTGTTTTAGGAAGGAGATCTTAGGATGCTGCCTTAACGACATTTAATTTAGGTATAAAGAGAGGGCTTCTTAGGTACATGTGTCCCACTCTTCCTCGGCTACCTGTAAATCACCTAGCCTCACTTTTGAAATCTAAGACCCCTTTTCTTCTTTGCCCAGAATGTCTTATATACCCAGTGTTGCTTCTCTGTCTCTGGATTTCATGCTTATGTGAATTCCCTGTACACGTTATTGAATTTTTTATTTTCTCCTATTAATCTGTTTCTGTTCAGATTATTAACCGCCTAGAATTTAGCGAGTGGGAGAAGTATTTATTTTATTTATTTATTTAGCCCCTACAGGTTAAAGCCCCAGAAAGACAGCTGGGAACCATATTTGAGGGAGTGGCCAGTAGATGCTGCCCTGCTGCTGGTGTCACCTGTTTTATTCCGGATCTGACAGTGGGACTGCCACTCTCCCCAGGGCAGGGATCCTCATGGAATAACACCTCAGTTTTATGGTAAACACCAGGAACTCAAAAGGGCAGTGGCAATTTCAGTGACTCAGAGAAGGGCTGTTAGGGGATGTCAGCTCGGTGACACAGGGCGAGCGGGGTGGATTGGGTTTGGACAGGTTAGTAAGGAGCATTTGGAGGAGAGGAAGGAGCACAGGCTGCCTCAGTTTCCAGGTAGGGAAGGATGCTCTCTGGAGGTCCCAGGAGGATGGCCAGGAAGCCTGATTCAGGGCTGAAACCTGGGATCTGGGTTCAGTCATAGTGAACCTCTTAGGGGACTGGCTTGTTTCTGAGAAACGGCTTCTAGCCCCAATAACACAGCCCAGCACTCTGCCATGTTTTGAATCGTGCATCACAGAGATTACAACCTGGGACTGAAGTGGCCACAGGTTTGAATGAGGCTTCTACCATTCACTAAGGAGTTGGACATCATTGGACAAGTTCTTTGACCTCTCCCTGCTTTTGTCATCTGTAAATGTGTGTGGGGGGTAGGTGGAGGGAGAAGGGTACCTACTTCACAGGGATGAGAATGACCTAAGAATGTATGTGAAAAAAATTTGTATTAGGATGAACTATATAAAGTTGCCAATGTTAGTTAAAAAAGATTACATACTGGCAATTTCATATGATGCAACCTAATCAGATACCTGTGATATGTGTAAACACTGTTAGCCAAAAGACACCTAGCATTTGAGCTCCTCCTACACCATATTGCTTTTACTAGACTAAATGGGAGACCACTTTGTTTTTTGTTTTTTTAGAACTTTTTAAATATATATATATATATATATATATATATATATATATATATATATATAATTGATTTTTTAGAGAGGAAGAGATAGGGACAGAGAGCTAGAAACATCGATGGGAGAGAAACACTGATCAGCTGCCTCCTGCATACCCCCTACTGGGGATGTGCCCACAGCCAAGGAACATGCCCTTGACCAGAATAGAACCTGGGATCTTTCAGCCCACAGGCTGACGCTCTTTCCACTAAGCCAAATGGGTTAAGGCAGAACTTTTTTTTGATAAAACTATTTTTGAGTCCAACCATATATTTTGTCTTTCCATCAAACTTTTGCACCAAACTCAGAGTTTGAAAATAATGGGTGCCCTGGCCCATAAGATTCAGCTGGTTGGGCGACGGCCCATGCACCCAAAGGTTGCTGGTTCCATTCCTGGTCAGGGACATGCTCAGGTTGTGGACTTGATCTCGGTGGAGGGTGTGCAGGAGGCAGCCGACCCATGTTCCACTTGCACATTGATTTTTCTCTTTCTCTCTCCCTCTCCCTTCCTCTCTAAAAATCAATACAAATATTTATTAAAGAAATAATAGTGGTTTTATGTATCCATGTGTAACTCTTTTAAAGGCATAGGTTTTTTTCTCTCTCCAGGTCCCCTCTCCCCTTTTTTTTTCTTTTAATGCAGTGGACAGAAAGGATGTGAGATTGGTGAGGATCCTGGATGGGTTACGTTATATAATTCAGGGACTACCCTAATGACAGTACAGATCTCTTGCCACCATTGGGTCGGGTGAGGGTAGGATTAGTATCATATAGCCAGAAATGTCCTGTGCCCTTAAGTGAAGGGTCCCATGGTTTCCATGGACCAAACTCTACCAGGCATATTTCCAGAACACAAAAGGGGTGGTCATTAGGTAGTTGTTGGTCACGGTTATATAAGTGATTAAATTGGCATCTTAGGTTTTTGAATATTAATAAGGTAAGCCCAGGAGGAGTCCAATATGGCAGTGGATTAGTTGGGAGCCACACTGATCTCCCAAGACCAAACTGGAATTACAACTAAAATATTGAAAAATCATCCTGAAAAACCAACTGAAGATTAGCCAGAGAGAAGCCTTACAATCCAGGACTTAAAGAGGAGACCACATAGTGACTGGTTGGAAGTGTAGAGGCTGGCTGAAGTGCTAGAGGGATATCTCAGGGGTTCCCCGTAGGAAGTCTGAGGTCTAAACCTCAAACCAGGCTCCCCATCCCAGAGCACCAGAACTAGGAAAGGTGCCCACATCACATCTGGCTGGGAAAAGAAGCAGGGTTGCTGTCTGCCAAGGAGAGATGGCTAGAAATGCAAGCACCCTCTTAAAGGGCCAACACACAAATTTTGTTTGTAGCCATTCACCTTAGGCTCCAGCAGAGGAAGGGCAGAGTGGACGAGAGCTGTGTGAGGAGTCCCAGGTTCGTGGCTCTGGGGTGAGAGCTGAGGAGACAGCGGCCTGGATCCCTATGCTGAGTCATCCCCCCATACTGCAGAGGGCACCTTTCTCAGACCTTTCCTATCATGCAGCATTAGCCTGGGGGGAAGCAATAGCCTTACCTGTAGGAATCCCTCTCACCCCACCCAGTGGAGCTTACGCTCTGCTGAGAACTATAGTCAGAGACTCATTAAGTAACTGAGACTACCAGACAGTCTACAGGCAGAGGCGGATCTAGAGGTACTTTGAATCTGCTTCTCCAGCTCCTGGGCCTGGGACTAGGAAAAGCAAACCTTGGCCTGCAGCTTGGTCTTTTCCACATGTAGCCAGGCCCAGCAGAGGGAGCCATAAGCTGTGGATTGCTGGGCCAGTCACAGAGAGTATCTGACATTGTCCTGCACCAAAGTCCCTCCAAAGAGGCCCAGACCAACACAGAAGTGCCCAGCTTCAGGTAACAACAGAGCAGGATCCAATAAGCTTCACAGGCAGCATATCCACAAGGAGATATTAGCAGGCTCCAGAACCTGCTGAGACAAATCCCATTTCGTGTGATCAGCACCTGCACAGCAGCCTGCATACTGTGTTGCGGGTTGAGCTTCACTGTCAGCCAGCCCGAGTGTTGAACCCATGCATTAATGGGTCAATAGCAATCAAAACTCAATTTCAATAGGAGGGCCCACCAATGTGCACAAGGAACATTCTTAGCTCCCAGTTCTGGTGATCAGGAGATTACCTCACTGGGTCCCACAGCTCACCTACTACATAAGGCCACCCTACCAAGACTGGGAGTCATAGCAGAACTATCTAATACATAGAAACAAACACTAATAGGCAGTCAAAATGGAGAAACAAAGGAACAGGCATCAAGCGAAGGAACAAGGTAATTCTCCAGAAGAAGAGCTAAATGAAGTAGAGGTAACTAATTTATCAGATATACAGTTCAGAGTAATGATTATAAGGATGCTCAACAGCATGAAAAAGGATAAAGAATCCATAAAAAAATACTATGACCTGTGATATTGTATTATTACATCGACAGGGGGAAATTTCTCCTAAAAATAGGCCTGAGTCAAATTGATTTTTAAAAAAACATATATTTTATTGATTTTGTACAGAGAGGAAGGGAGAGAGATAGAAAGCTAGAAACATCGATGAGAGAGAGTCATCGATCAGCTGCCTCTTGCACACCCCCTACTGGGGATATGCCCACAACCAAGGTACATGCCCTTGACCGGAATCAAACCTGGGTCCCTTCAGTCCCCAAGCCGATGCTCTATCTATTGAGCCAAAGCGGTCTCGGCTCAAATTGATTTCTAATGCACAGAGATGAGCTTTTTACTAATGTGAGTGCCTGCCTGACAACCTCACACAGTATGTAGCTGCCTCTTCCTTTTTTAACCCACTAAGTGCAGTTTGCCTCCCACCCCATCATTCATCATCCTGGTGTGTAGAATGTAGTCCAGTCCTGCACATGACCCATTGCTGTGTATCAGAGAAATTAATTTAGAGGTATAGCTTT